AGCCTCATTTACCCTGGAAGGTCCAGGTGATACTCACCAAGTCTAGATCCTCTTTGGGGACAGTCTCTATTTTAGCAATTTTACCCTGAAACTTCTTGGAGAGAAAAGATGAAACTTCTCGTTCACAACCCTAAATCAAGATCAGAATGAAAAGACTTAGTAAAAACTATTGTTTTCCTTGTATGTTCCTCTAGAGGCCTCTTTCAGTTCTGAAGCCCCCCCTATAAAATGAGGCACAGGTCATGTGACTTAATTCTATGGACGACAGACTTACCTTTCTGGCTGCAATGTAGAAATACGGCTCGTAGGGCAAGGCCACCTGCAAGAGCCACCAACCCATTCAGGGGCAATAAGAAAGAAAAAAAGGGAGAAAAGTGAAGACAGGCTATTTGCAGTTATACCCACAAGCAGCCAAGATCCGACGTGTCCTTGACTTTGACATCTTTTACCAGATGACACAGTCAGGAATTAGGACCTGCACATATGGCAGGAGCGAAAGTCCGAGACAAACAAAATCTCTGTCTTTCCAAGCTGGTTATGATATCTTAAATAGTGACCCATGTGGCTTCAAGGGGTCCATGTCCCTGACATGCTTCAAGCAGCTGAACACTAGAAGCCTCCCAACCCCTCTCCTCCCAGATAAATGAACACCTGCCATATTGGACCCCACCTATACCTCATCACTGAGTGGGTCTTAGCTGCCTGGGGTTCAGGAGCTTACCTTAAATCTGCTCCCATCATCTTGAATAAAGTAGTAATCTACTGCGCTGACTAAGCGTTTGTCTTCATCTAAAATCTCAGTCTATGAGAGAATGAGTCAACATGGGCACAAAGTTATCCTCTATGTAGTACAAGAACCCTCTTGCTCCTACTCTTTGGGAAACTGAACACAAAAACAAAACCCTTCTCCACCCCCACATAAACACTACCAACCCTACTCACAAGGACCATACCACATCTTCCAAATGAGGATTTCTCTCAATCTCTCCCTCATCTTTGAAAACTTTTTATAGGTTAACAGGGACACCCCTCAGTTTTGTATTCCCAGTAACCTCTATACAGCCCAGTGACATTAAATAAGGAGGAGAGCTACAAACAATCCCATCTCCAGCTGCACTACCCACTCTTCAAAGGCCTAAGCCACAAGGAGAGTGCAACTGCCCAGGTGCTTACAGGGTGCATGTTGATGAGCCAGCCCGTCTTCTCCCCAGACTCCTTGAGTCTCTCAAAACCAAACCGCAAATCCATCTTATCTGTCCACTGACTGCGCTCCAGGCGCTTAAGTGCTGAGACAGAAGAGGAGAGGCCATCATCCCTGAATGAAAGGAGAAAGGAAATTCTGTCTTCACTGATCATGACACTATTCCTGCAACCCTCAGTTCACCCAGTGTAAGCAGTTTGGATGCCACATAGTAGATGCCTCCCTGAAAAGCCTTGGCCAAACAGTTCATTAAAATAACAGAAGCTGCAGGAACCATGACTGGGGCAGGAGCCTCAAAACCTATTCATTTTTTTTTGTTTGTTTTTTGTTTTCCAAAACCTATTCAACTCTGTAACCAGAACACTAATAAAAATAACCATCATGGCAAGCCACTGCTGCCTTATAAGATATTAAAATGCCCAGGAGCACCCCACGGGCTTAGTCGGCTAAGTGCCTGACTCTTTCAGCTCAGGTCACGATCTCAGGGTCATGAGACTGAGCCCCACACTGGGCTCCACACTGGGCATGGAGCCTGCTTAAGATTCTCTCTCTGGGGTTCCCTGGGTGGCTCAGTCATTTAACTGTCTGCCTTCAGCTCAGGTCGTGATCCCAGGGTCCTGGGATCAAGTCCCACATCCGCTCCCTGCTCAGCAGGGAGTCTGCTTCTTCCTCTGCCTAGCACTCTGCCTCCTTAACCTTTCTCTTTGTCAAATAAATAAATAAAATCTGGGGCAGCCCTGGTGGCTCAGTGCTTTAGCGCTGCCTTCAGTCCAGGGGTGTGATCCTGGAGACCCAGGATTGAGTCCCACAGCGGGCTCCCTGCATGGAGCCTGCTTCTCCCTATGCCTGTGTCTCTGCCTCTCCCCCTTCTTTATTTATTTATGAATAAAGAAAATCTAAATAAATAAATAAATAAATAAATAAATAATAAATAAATAAATAATAAATCTTAAAGCAAAACAACAACAAAAAAACTCTTTCTCTGCCCACCCCTCCTGGGCATTTGCCCCAGAGGAATGAAAACTCATTGATACAAATACTGATGTGTGAACATTCATTCCACTTCATTATAGCCAAAGCGTGAAAACAACCCCAATAGCCCTTAACAGGTGAATAATTAACCTATGTAATATCCATCCCATGGAATACTATCCCATCAATAAAACAGAAGAAACTGAACTGATTCATGCAATGACTTGGATGGATCTCAATGGAATTATGCTGAGTGAAAAAAGCCAACCTCCCAAAATTAAACACTTTTAATCCAACTTAAGTAGAATTCTTGAAAGAAAATTAGAGGTGGAGATTAGTGGCTGCCATGGATGAGGAAGACGGAGGAATGAAGGTGGACATGGCTACAAAAGGGTTATTCTGTGTCTTGCTTATGGCCAGGGTCACAAACACACAATGTGTACAGAACTAAATACACACATAATAGGTAACGAGTGTCCATTCAGTGTATGAGCATCAATTTCCTGGTTGTGACCTTGTGATCTAGTAAACTACATCACCACTTGGAGAAACTGGCTTAAGGGTGCATGGGATCTGTGTAATTTCTTACAACCGCATAAGAATCTGCAACTAACTCAAAGAAATTGTTTCTTTGTATTTTTATTTATTTCTAAAGTGACAGCGTTCAAATTTATTATTAGTTTGTTTCTTGGTAAAATAAAAGTAACATATCTACCGTAGGAGGTTTTGATGCATATTGTAAGAAACAGTGAAAACTGCAAAGTTGGCAGCAGGGTACTAAAAAAAGCAAGAATCTTGATGACCAATTTGGACTGGATTCTAGTTTTGCCAAAAAAACGAGCAGTGACAAGTCATATGCATATGATAGACAGGATTCTTTGTTCACACTGGACGCTCAACAAACAGCATTTCTGATATTTATTAAAGATCAACACGATGTAAGAATATATGTACTTTTTGTTGTCTAAGGGTGAACTTCTGCAACGAACACATTATCTGAAAGACATTACTTGACCGCCCTGATCGGTTCACTTGTTTCTATTCACAAAGCCTGCGGGGCGGGCGGTGGGGCTCGGCTCACTGACCCCAGCCCAGGCCCCTGTGGGGCACAAAACACTCGGTCCCCTCACAGCCCCCCCCCCCCCCCCGCACACACCCCTCCCGGTCCCCTCACAGCCCCCCCCTCCCGTCCCCTCACAGCTCCCCCTCCCCCCGCCGCACACACAGTCCAGGTCCCCTCACAGCCCCCCCCCCCCCCCGCACACACCCCTCCGGTCCCTCACAGGCCCCCCCCCCGCACACCCCTCCCGTCCCCTCACAGCCCCCCCCCCGCACACCCCTCCCGGTCCCCTCACAGCCCCCCCCCCGCACACCCCTCCCGGTCCCCTCACAGCCCCCCCCCCCGCACACCCCTCCCGGTCCCCTCACAGCCCCCCCCCCCCCCCGCCCCACACCCCTCCCCCCGGTCCCCTCACAGCCCCCCCCCCCGTCCCCTCACAGCCCCCCCCCCGCACACCCCTCCCGGTCCCCTCACAGCCCCCCCCCCGCACACCCCTCCCGGTCCCCTCACAGCCCCCCCCCCCACACCCCTCCCGTCCCCTCACAGCCCCCCCCCCCCCCCCGTCCCCCCTCACAGCTCCCCCTCCCCCCCCCGCACACCCCTCCCGTCCCCTCACAGCCCCCCCCCCCGCACACCCCTCCCGGTCCCCTCACAGCCCCCCCCCGCACACCCCTCCCGGTCCCCTCACAGCCCCCCCCCCCCCGTCCCCTCACAGCCCCCCCCCGCACACCCTCCCGTCCCCTCACAGCCCCCCCCCCACCCCTCCGTCCCCTCACAGCCCCCCCCCCGCACACCCCTCCCGGTCCCCTCACAGCCCCCCCCCCGCACACCCCTCCCGTCCCCTCACAGCCCCCCCCCGCACACCCCTCCCGGTCCCCTCACAGCCCCCCCCCCGCACACCCCTCCCGGTCCCCTCACAGCCCCCCCCCGCACACCCTCACGTCCCCCCCCGCACACCCCCGGTCCCTCACAGCCCCCCCCCGCACACCCCCCGTCCCCCAGCCCCCCCCCCGCCCCTCCCCCTCACAGCCCCCCCCGCACACCCCTCCCGGTCCCCTCACAGCCCCCCCGCACACCCCTCCGGTCCCCTCACAGCCCCCCCCCCGCACACCCCTCCCGGTCCCCTCACAGCCCCCCCCCACCCCCGCCTCACAGCCCCCCCCGCACACCCCTCCCGGTCCCCTCACAGCTCCACGGCGCCCCGCAGCCAGCCGGGAGAGAGGTGAGGGAGAAGCGTTCGCACGCGCCGTGACCCAGCGGGGTCGCGCTCCCCGGCCCGGCTCTGCAAACCACGGGAGGCTGCTGTACTGCTCCGTCCGCGGGAACCAGCGCCAGCCCAGGAGGAACGCGCCGCGGCCACGCGCTAGGCGCTCCGCAGAAGGCAGCCCGCCGCCCGCCCGCCCTCTCCCGGCGTCCCCCCGCGCCCCTCACCGGCTGGCCTCGCCGTCCGGGCCCGGCTCCGCGCGACGCCGGCCGCCGTCCCTCCAAACCATCGCGCCGCGCCGAGGCCGCCGCCGCTCTCCGGGAGAAATTTGGCGCGCTCCCCCCAGGCCTCGCGAGAGAGCGGAAGCGCCTGCCGCCCAATCGGCAGGCTCGCCGCTCCCCGCCCCCCGCGAACTCCCGGAGCCGCGGCCGCGGGGGCCGGATGGGGGCGGGGGGCGGGGAAACGGGGCGGGACAGGGACTCCGGGGAAAGTGTGAGGACGCGCCCGGCGCGTACGGCGGGGGCGGCGCGGGGGCGGCCCTGCGGGACGCGGCGGGGCGGGAAATGTGAGGCGGTCCCCGCGGCCCGGCTGGCGTGAGGCGGGGTCGGGGTCGGCCGCGGTGGGGACCGCGAGGCGATGGCGCCGGCGGCGTCCAGGCTGCGGGCGCGTGCCGGGCTTCGGGCGCTGCTGCAGCGGGCGCTCGTCCAGTACTTGCGCCTCCTGCGGCTCTACCCAGTGCTCACCAAGGCGGCCACCAGGTCGGCGGGAGCGGCCGCGGAGGTGGGCGGCGGGGGGTGCCCGGAGCTCGGCCGGCCGCGGGAATGGGGGCGCAGAAGGCGAGCTGCCGGGACCGGCCGGAGGCTCCTCGTGGGCGGGTTCTGAACGGCGGTTCCCGGGCGGCCTGGTGCCCCGCCTGCAGCTCTCCCCCGCCCGGCGGCCGCAGCCCGATGGCCTGCGCGGGCCCAGGCCTCCGGCGCCGCAGCCCGCGGGGCGGCCTGTGTGCACTTTCGTGGTCTTAGCGGCTTTGAACTGGGGAGGAGGGTGCCCGAAGGCCCCCGGGTCGGCTGCTCCGTTGCACCCTTTAAATCGGGGTCCTAACGTTTTTATGAGCCGTCGCTCTCCCTCGTTAGCTTAATTAGTTCATTTTATGAGTTCGTCCCTTTTTTTTTTTTTAAATTTTTATTTATTTATGATAGTCACACAGAGAGAGAGAGAGAGAGGCAGAGACACAGGCAGAGGGAGAAGCAGGCTCCATGCACCCGGAGCCCGACGTGGGATTCGATCCCGGGTCTCCAGGATCGCGCCCTGGGCCAAAGGCAGGCGCCAAACCGCTGCGCCACCCAGGGATCCCTAAGTTCGTCCCTTTTTATTAAACGGAGCCTTTTTCAAGTACGTACAGCGTGTCCCCGGGGCGCCAGCATCAGCAGCAAGTAAGTGAAGTAAGGTCCCTGCCCTCAGCGGACCTTCTATTCTATTGAAAAAGTAGAGAAAACCCAGATACAGAGATCACACAGATAAGTGCCCGGTAGGTTTTATCTGAACAAAGACCTGAAGGAAGGGAACAGGCTCCCTGGACCGAGGGTGCCAAGTGCAAAGGCCCCCAGGGAGGAGCAAGCCAATAATGGAGCAGTGGAGAGGAGGGCTGCGTTGCTGCAGAAAATTAACAGTGAGGCAGGAAGCAGATCAAAAAGGTCCTTATCCGCCATACAAAGAATTTTGGAGTTTTTAAGTGCCCAGAGCTTATCAGAAGGTAGCTATAGACCAAACCTTGGAGTACCTGGGCCCCGGTCTCCACCTTTCTACTGAAACTCTTACTGTGGTAATTGTAGGTTTACATTCAGTTGTAGGAAATAATACAGGGAGTTTTCTTTCTTTTTTTTTTTTAATTTTTATTTATTTATGATAGTCACACAGAATGAGAGAGAGGGGCAGAGACACAGGCAGAGGGAGAAGCAGGCTCCATGCACCGGGAGCCCGACGTGGGATTCGATCCCGGGTCTCCAGGATCGGGCCCTGGGCCAAAGGCAGGCGCTGAACCGCTGCGCCACCCAGGGATCCCTACAGGGAGGTTTCTTGTACACTTTGCCCACTTTCCCCCATTGGTAACACTTTGTAACACTGTGGTACAATATCACATGCAGGTCACTGGCATGGGTACAGTCCACAGGTTAAGGGTGCCTGTGTGTAAAGTTCTACTGTCTCCACCTTTAGATGTAGGGACCTTACACTGGGGCTGTTTTAAAAAGGACTCATCTCCGGGGCGGGGGGGGGGGGAATCCCTGGGTGGCTCAGCAGTTAAGCATTTGCCTTTAAAAAAAAAAAAAAGGACCTATCTCCACCCATGCCGCAATGATCTCAGAACAGCTATGTTGATTACATGCAGGAATGACACACTTCTGCTGCTTGCTCCTGTTTTCTTTTTTTTTTTTTTTAAGATTTTATTTATTTATTCATGAAAGACACAGAGACACAGGCAGAGACACAGGCAGAGGGAGAAGCAGGCTCCTTGCAGGGAGCCAGACGTGGGACTCGATTCCAGAACTCCAGGATCATGCCCTGAACTGAAGGCAGGTGCTAAACCACTGAGCCACCCAGGCGTCCCTTGCTCCTGTTTTCTGATTATATCTCTGTCCACAGTGGCATTTTATCAGCACTTGGGAATTTCCTGGCCCAGATGATGGAGAAGAAGCGGGAAAAAGAAAACTGCTCTCAAAAGCTAGATGTCAGTGGCCCTCTCAGATACGCCATTTATGGGTGAGTTCCATAAAGGACCCAGTAGAAAACTAATTATAACAAAGCTAGGGTATCAAGACCAACTTTCTTAAATAATGTGACTTGGAAAAATAATTTTTAAAGAGCACTGAAGTAATCATGGGGAAAAAACCAGAATGGTGGATAATGTGAACTGGTTTTATGGTTTTCATTTGAATTGCATGGGTGGGAGCGGCTATCTTCTTTGGGCTGAGAGATCTGAGAGCAGATAACTCACTTGAACCTAAATGAGATTTCAAGACACAAAGACCATGAAAAAGGAAAATGGACTCAAATATGGCCAGTTGTTTCTGTTATTTTCATAGTGTAAACATCCAGAAAATAAATACTTAGGTATCCTGAAAAATGTCCAGTTTCTGAACCACTTTTGGAATTGCAGAGACCACAGAGATTCAGGAGTTTTACCAATTAAATCCACACTGAGTTCTCTGGCCAACAATAGTGTTTGTATAGATGGATTATTTTGAAGTCTTTTGCAACATGAGTCATTTTTTCAATGTAAAGTTCACAAATATCACTTTGTATTTGTAAGCATGTTGGTTGCAGTCATCACAAGTTTCCATACTATAGTTAAAGCCATAATCACCCAGGAAGGAGGGAGCATGTCAGAATCCCTGGGAGGCTTTATCCACTCAGTTTCCATCTTCAAGACTTCTGTTCCTTCTCAGGGCACCTGGCTGGCTCAGTCAGTAGAACATGCAACTTTTGATCTCGAGGTCATGAGGTCAAGCTTCACGTTTAGAGATCACTAAAAAAAGAATAAATACAGTTAAAATTCTGTTTTCTCCCATTAAGGACCCCTGCTCTAGGCTACTTAATGTGTGGCAAGATAGGAAGTAACAGCCGAGAACCACTGGTGTAAGAACTTCCAGTGTCAAAAATTGGAAGACCCCTGGGTCCCTGCCCATCTTCTTATTGCTGAATTTTACAGAGTTACAGTTTTGTTGCACCAGGAGATGGAGTGGCTGGGTTCAGTTCTGTCCCAGGTACTCTATACTTTGAAATACATAGTAGCAGTACAGACAAGTCAATACACAGCACCAGGTTTTATTTATTCAGACCTACTCTGAGCCAGGCCATGTTCTACGCACTGCAGGCACAGCAGTGAATAGACAGACACAAGTGTGTCTTGTGACATTTACCTCTAAGTGACAAAGAGGGCACCATATGACTAAACAAATGAGATCATGACATAGTGATACATGCTATCAAGACAATGAAACAGGACCTGGAATAGAGAATGGCTGGGAGAGCAGTGGGTTCATTGTCCAGAAAAATCATGAACAAAGTCTCCAAGCTGACAACGTTGAGAAGGAGCTGGGCAGGTAGAGACTGATTAGAGATCCAAGGCAGGAACAAGTCTGGAGACAAAAAAAAAACAGATTGAAAGAGAGCTTGTTTTCTAGAAGGACCACACAGGCCTGTGTGGTTAGTGATGGGGAACTCCAGGAAGGCAGGTTTTAGGACTCCAGGGTTTGGAGGTGAAGCTGGACCAAGAAGGGTACATCCAGAGAATGGCAGTCCTGCTCACCATCACGGGGGGGGGGGTCCTCAGGTTCTTCTTCACAGGGCCACTGAATCACTTCTTCTACCTCTTCATGGAACACTGGATTCCTCCTGAGGTCCCTTTGGCTGGGGTCAAGAGGCTTCTCCTGGACCGCCTCCTCTTTGCACCAGCTTTCCTGCTATTGTTCTTCCTCATCATGAACTTCCTGGAGGTTGGTCTCTGCCATAGCTCCTTGTCTGGCACAGCAGCTCTTAACTTGGCATCTGTGGGTGGAATTGAGAGGGTCTGTGAACTTTTCAGTACACTCAAACTGAAATTTTTCACTTCTCTGTGTAAACATCAACGTAAACCACAGTTGTACTGGCAGTAAGTGTTGGTCCACAGTAAGAAGTTGCAAATATCTTGATATCACACATCATTTATCCTAGACAGGATATCTTTTGTTTTGTGACTCCTCGTACCTGCCTTCAAGGCTCATTACTGAATAGGTTAATACGGAAGCACATCTACTGGTCTATCATGGGATTCTTTTCCTGAATATTTTGAATTTTTTTTTCTTTATTTATTTATGATAGTCACAGAGAGAGAGAGAGAGGCAGAGACACAGGCAGAGGGAGAAGCAGGCTCCATGCACCGGGAGCCGGACGTGGGATTCGATCCCGGGTCTCCAGGATCAGCCCTGGGCCAAAGGCAGGCGCCAAACCGCTGCGCCACCCAGGGATCCCTCTTTTCCTGAATATTTTGAAAAGTATATTTCAGTACAGTAGTGTAGTTGATTTATTTTATACAAACAGGATTCTCAGAAGGGGGGCCGTGAGATTCATGAAACAAATTTTAGGCCCCTGATGGTATTGCAGAAGCCTACGCTAACTCAATGCCTGAACGTCACAAGTGCTCTGAAGAGGTTAACGCGTCAGCGTAGACTTAAAACGTTAAAACCCACCACATGAGAGGTGTGTTCACCTCTAATCACCAGGCATGTCTGTTCACTGTGCTTAGCCGAAGTCCCTTCCCAGTTCACTAGCACCTCCACCCATCTCTCCATTCACTGTGTATACCCTGGATGTGTTACCCTGGATGTGTCATGTTCCGCTCTGAAAGTAATTGTTCCAACCAATCACAGCAGGTAAATCCTTCTTCAGGTTTTATTTTGAAACAGCATCTTGAGTTTTTGTTCCTGAGAACACCTCTTGTGGTCTAAAGCATTCCTGGGGGGAAGCAGGAAAGATGCTTCAACTTAACTGGTTATTAATGAGTCCCTGCTAGTAAAAAGAAGTGTCAGAGAAGCTCTTAGGAAATCTGAGGTAGCAAAGTGTGTAAAGTACCCCACAAATAAATGATATATGTGGGACCACATTATACCACACACACTACAGATACCTCTGCCTGCATCCGCATTAAAAAAATTGGGGGGGTGGGGGGCAGCCCGGGTGGCTCAGCGGTTTAGCGCCACCTTCAGCCCAGGGCGTGATCCTGGAGACCCCGGATTGAGTCCCATGTCGGGCTCCCTGAATAGAGCCTGCTTCTCTCTCTGCCTGTATCTCTGCCTCTCTCTCTCTCTCTCTCTATCTCTCATGAATAAATAAATAAAATCTTTTTAAAAAAATTAACAAAAAAATTTTTAAACCTGAATATAGTTGACAATGTTATGTTAGTTTCAGTTATACAGCACAGTGATTCAGTTTCTCTATACATTACACTATGTGTACCACAACTCTTATAATATCATTGACCCTATTCCCTGTGTTGTGTCAACGTCCAGCATTTTTTGATCACAGATACCATATCTGGACTGCACAGTATTCCACCATTTGCCTGTCCCTTTTGTGTAAGGATTCCTGTTTGGTTAATTCCTAGAATTGTCCAAAAAGGCTGTCCTTGCTTGTCTTTCCTGCAGTGGTACAGAATAGTACAGACAACTGACATTTATTGAGCACTTGTTCCAAGCTCTGCATTGAGTGCTTTGTGTCATCTGAGCCGCAAGTCAACCCCATATTTGAGGAAGCTAAGGCCCACAGCCTAAGTTGCCATAACTTGCAAGCCTGTGAGTCCAGTCAAACCCAGGCTTTATGATCCCAGAGCACCTAACCCTCGCAGCTTTGTCCTGTGTGGTTGGCTTCCACACACTCTTGATAACCATGATTGTATTTTTCTTTTAAATAGTTTGCAATTTGACACATAAAAAATAACGTATACATCTTTACTTATGAGATTGAACTTTTTATATGCTTGCTGTATTTCTTCTATGAACTGTTTATTTTCTATCAGTGTTTGCTTTTTTCTCACTGATTTGTATATTTGTGTATATTAAGGATCTCAATCCTTTGCCAAATACAGACTGCAGATACTTTTCCCATTTTTCAAGTTTTTGTCTTTTAGCTACAGATAAAGTTAAACATTTGAAGTTACATAAATAAAGCTTATTTATAGTGTGTTACTCCATACAGGAGTTTAAAAAATATATGTACTCAAATCTGTCATTCTTTTCCTTTGTGGGCTTCCTTCAAGGAAAATACTGGGAATATTCTCCTATAGTTTGTTTTATGATTTTATTGTGTACATTTTGATAAACAGATAAATGCAAATAGTCTAGTATCCTTTTTTATTTATATGTGGGAGATATACTTGTCTTGTTTCTTTCCATTTAATAGCAGTTTGTCTTGTTACCATTTATTGAACAATCTCCTGTACTTTGAAACATCCACTTTATCACTCTCTCATTCCCATACATGCAGGCCTTTATTTGGACCTCTGATCTTTTGCTGAATTCTATTGATTTCCATGGTATGGTGGGGTTTTTTTTTTTTTAGCTTTTACCATCATTTCAAAGTATTTTTTTAAATTTTTAGTGATTTAGGCCTCCCCTTGCTATTCTTTTTAAGATGACTATTCTTATGGTCTTATCTTTTAAAAGGCAAAAGATTATATGATCTGAAAAGAAACCAGAGTATTGCACTTATCTTTTAGAATCAATTTACTGGGGTTCAATTTTTAAACACTTCAAGTTTTGCCTGAAAAATCCATCAGTTTTTGAGATTATTTTGAGAACTGACAGCTGAGCCATAAATAGCTGCCCCTGGCCAGCAGCACAAATCCCACCATTCAGTCAGCTCTGTAAAGAGTGATGAAAGTCCATGAGGACCATCGGTACAGTGTCAGCAAGTGGGCTATCTCACTCTTGATTTCTCAACCATGCGGTTGGCTCCTTATAGCTGCAACACTAATTAGGCACACAGGTGTGCTGTCTACATACAAATGGAATAAAATCCAGTTTTAAAAAATCATCATGTTAGGGTTTGGGGCCCTCCAGACCTTGCAACCCCAGCTTGTTTTGATGGCAGTAGCAACTGCTCACCATCCATACTCCCCTCCTTTCCAGGGGAGAGACACAGCTGCTTTCGCTGTCCAGATAAGGAGAAGCTTCTGGCCAGCACTGTGCATGAACTGGCGAGTCTGGACCCCAGCACAGTTCATCAACATCAACTACGTCCCTTTGCAGGTGAGGGCCAGCTGGCACCATGCAGAACCAGAGGGGCCCTTATCTTCTACTACCAGTCTTATTTTTGCTTAGAATGATTGGTGATTTTCTCTCTGCCCAGAATCAGCAATTCTGGATTTGGAGAGATGAAGCAGGTGTCCACACCTCATCTGTTAGTCCCAGAGATGTTTTTGAAAAGCCCCCAGTCCAAGAACAGCTTAGATATCCCAGGGATATGGTACTGCCAGTGCCTGGCCCTGTGGGTCAGTCGAAAGTTCACACAGTTTCCAGGCAGTGTCAGTGCCCAGCAGGATGTGCAGGAGAAGCAAGGGCAGCCTTACCTGCAGTGACATCAGAGCGCACCCTGGCAGAGAGTGGGACATGGGGGTGGAGCAGCTCTTGGGGTGCCATGCACATGGGGTTCAGCACGTCTGGGCACCAGGTAGGTCATAATCTGAGGCAGGCTGCTGAAACTGCCCTGTATGCCACACCTCGAACCCCTGATCTGAGCAAGGTGGGAGCCTGGAGGGACTCTAAGCTTCAGGAACAGCTTACCAGGGTAAGGCTGAGCACTGCGTTTATACACCAAGTACAGCTTATCTAGGTCCAGCCCTAAGACCATACCCAAGGTTGGAGATCTGGTAGAGGGGTTTGGCATATCTGCATGCGCACGGCCTGGGTATATTACAGCCTCAAAGCAAGGTTATGCAACTAGATCCTAGGAATCCACTCCTCTCATGAGGGTCACACAGCAAGCTCTCATACACCACCAAAATGCAGCAACACGTAGGCCATGTTTCTGCCCAGGGAAGCCCTGTAGAGACACAGCACCTAGGGTTTTTTGGGAAGGCTGGTCATGTAGGCACCCTTTGCCTGGCATGTATCAGAATTCTAAACTCCCAGAAAGAGAGCAAGTGCTCAGCATGACCCATGTTTTAGCAAGCAGTCTAGGCATAGGGAGCCATTCTTACCAGTTGGAAAAAGGTGAGAACCCTTAGGAACTCTTAAGTTCCCAAGCTCCAAGTAAGGGCTAGCCTCTCAAACAGACCTTTTCAAGGACAGCAGCCTCAAGCTTTTTTTTTTCCCACAGTATTTAGGTAACCTGCTTGTTTTCACCCCTGTTCTAGAGAGGAGAGAGATCTGGGCAGAACTCCCTTGAGCGGGATCCCTGGGTGGCGCAGCGGTTTAGCGCCTGCCTTTGGCCCAGGGCGCGATCCTGGAGACCCGGGATCGAATCCCACGTCGGGCTCCTGGTGCATGGAGCCTGCTTCTCCCTCTGCCTGTGTCTCTGCCTCTCTCTCTCTCTCACTGTGTGCCTATCATAAATAAATAAAAATAATAAAAAAAAAAACTCCCTTGAGCAACAGCTCCACTGGAAGGATGGGAAGAGAAAGTGAGGGGCAGGGTCTCTCTTTCCCTCTCTCTCACACACACCATATGCATCAAGGAGTAGCAGAAAACCAGAAGGCAGTGACACACAACCACAGATATTGCAGGATTAAAGCAAAATGAAAATCAGTTTCATTGGCTTTAACAATGATCTTATCAGTGACCTTCCCAAAAGCAATTTCAGTGGCTCAATGAGGGCTAAAGCCAGACTGCTATGAATTGAGTAGTGAATGAAGAAAAGAAATCAGAAGTCTGCAAAACTCTATCAAAAAATTTGTGAAGGTATGGGGAGAAATGATGGGAGAGGGCTTTGAAGCTAGGAGAGGCCATATGTACTACCCTAAAGAGGGAGGCATGGGATTTGGGCATAAGCAGAGAGGTGCTTTAGGCAGAGGCCCTTCTTTCCTAAGACAGGAGAGAGGTGCCTGTACACTGGGGACTGCCTTCTATACCTCTTTACTCTGGAGGGCAGAGGGCAGGTCAGGGCCAAACTGAGTAGAGAGGAGATAGGATGGGTGTCTTGAGAGGAGAAAAGATAGGGTAAACTTGTAGAGAATAGTGGAGGGAGCTAACTGAAGACCCTCTTGGGCATAGGGCCCCAGGGAATCAGGGAGGATGGAAGTTTCTCCAGGGAGGACAACTAAGGAACAGAAAGGAAAGGCAACAAAGGCTTTGGGCCATGGATTCTAATGCATATAGAAAAGGAAATAAAAACACCTGGAGAGGCAGAATGGCTGAGGATGTGAAGGGATCTATGGATGGAAGAGCAGGAGAGCCTGGTAAATGGGACCCTTCTGGGCCACCTAGGGACAGAATACTGGAGGCTGTGGTTAGTTTCTATTTTAGGTGGTTGCAGGTGAGCGTTAAGAGGCAGTGGAATTTATTAAATATTTACTGAGCACCTACTATATGCGCCACTGCTCTAGACTCTAGGGATACAGTGATTAATAAGATAGAACAGACTCCTACTTTCATGGAGTTTATATGCCAGGGAGGTAGCATCAGGTGGAAGTACATCCATCAGATCATCGAATCAGGGTAATGGTCTGGGCTGGGGGGAGGGGTATCACCAATGGGCTGGGTGAAACCGCTGCATGATGGCCGGTCTTGGGGTCAGAAGTTGAGCCTGGAGCTGGTGCTCAGTGAAGAAGGATATGGGACAGTTACTGTCTGTTTTCCCTACTGGCCTGTAGCATTGCTAGGCATAGTGTCCCGGTCACCCCTCTAGCACAGTGCTTTGTATGAAATAAAGGCTCAGTGAATACAATAGTGGGCAGATGGACTGACCAGTGAGTGAGCTGTCCTGGGAGATCAGTGAGTGGTAAATATGGTCAGGGCTTCACTTTACTGTGGTCTGTGTTCTCTCTGGCAGTTCCGAGTGCTTTTTGCCAACCTGGTGTCTCTGTTCTGGTACATCTACCTGGCCTCTCTGGGGAAGTGAAGATGACCTGGAGTGAATGCAGATGCACACTGCCCATGTGGGTCTAGGGACCCACCTGCTTAGGGTGAGGGAACAGAAATGAATAACTTATCTGATTCCAGATCATGTGAATGGAGATGGAGAAACAGAAATCTTTTAATGTAAGAATCTTGTGTTTTAAAAAGTCAGGAACTGTCTTCAGGCAATGCTGCCTTAGAATCATAAAATACAGCAGTGTTGACCTCTCTCTTACCACCTTGAATCGAATTAGGATGGCAATAAATTATAATGTAGCTTTCTCTGTAGTGATTTTTTTAGAACACTTTTGTCACTTTGGTAGAAATGGGTGGCCAGAGGGCTGCCCGCAGACTTTTTCACTTTAAAAAAAGTTGTAAAATCTATAATGCTATTGCTTATCTACGTGGAGCCACTGGGAAAGGGCCCTTCCAGAACAGGACTTTACCTTGACATTTGGAGGCCTTAGGAGAAGTGTATGCCACCCTTTCAGCTGACTTTTTTCTGCTCTTACTGCTCTTTTGTTAACCCTACTCACATTTTTTTCATTTTCAGTATCCCATTCTTGTTTTATGGATACAATACCCTTGGATCTTAATTTTATATTTAATTTAAAAAATTTTGTCTCATATGCCATTTTCTCAGGGTTCACGGGTCTTTTTTCCTGTTTGTTTTGCTCTTTATTTTTCCAATCAGGATTTCCCCAAAAGTCTACTGATTATACCTAAGTCCTTAAGAGTCAGCCATTCAGGCAGTGCCTTCACTGTGGACTAACCAAGCATGGAGCCAGTTTTGTTGAAGATCACTCATTTTGAGTAACTGAGGCCTTTTCTCTTAGACTAGCCTGTTTCCCCAGAGAAGAATTCTTTAATTTTTTGCCTAGGGGAAGGGTCATGGTTGTAGTAGAGCATGGTATAAGTCTAGTGGCCAACACTGTTGTAGCTAACTAGAGGAAAAGAGGTCCTGTTAGTATAATCTCAGCTGTCTGGTGTTCTCAATCCATAGTCCTTCTGGTTTAAATCCTCTGGAATGAAAGTCTTCTGCCATGATGGAGGTGAGGTATTCACCTGAAGATACAGGTAACAGAGGGAGTATAGAGGACAACCTCTTACATGTTTTTCAATCATCCTTTGTTCAATCCCACACCTTTCCTCAGAGGTGCGGCTACTGCCTATAACTCCCAGATTCTCCCAGACTCACTGAACTAACTGAGCTTGCTTCTTGGCTTCCTGCAATGCTGGCAGCTGATGTTCCATCTTCTCAGGTCAAAAATGATCTGATTTCCAGCTTCCAATATTTTGTCAACCAATCTTTTTGTTTTATTTCTTCTTATGGGCTTGTCTTTTTTTTTTTTTTTTTTTCCTCTTAAAAATGTTTTTACTGGGTACTTGGGTGGCTCAGTTAAGTATCTTGAGTCTTGATTTCAGATCAGGTCTTGATCCCAGGGTTGTGAGTTCAAGCCCCATGCTGGTGTGGAGTGTACTTAAAAAAAAAAAATTAGGGATCCCTGGGTGGCGCAGCGGTTTGGCGCCTGCCTTTGGCCCAGGGCACGATCCTGGAGACCCGGAATCGAATCCCACGTCAGGCTCCTGGTGCATGGAGCCTGCTTCTCCCTCTGCATATGTCTCTGCCTCTCTCTCTCTCTCTGTATGACTATCATAAATAAAAAATAAGGGGATCCCTGGGTGGCGCAGCGGTTTGGCACCTGCCTTTGGCCCAGGGCACGATCCTGGAGACCCGGGATCGAGTCCCACATCAGGCTCCCGGTGCATGGAGCCTGCTTCTCCCTCTGCCTGTGTCTCTGCTTCTCTCTCTCTCTCTCTCTCTCTCTCTCTGTGACTATCATAAATAAATAAAACTCTAAAAAAAAATAATAAATAAATAAAAAATAAAAAAATATTTTTTTATACTATCATTTTAGTAAGCAACCTTCTGGAAGGAGTAGGCATAAACGTATGGGTTCAAGACACCATGTAAGTCAGATCATGTCGATTCCTAATTTAAAAACCTACAAAGAGGACCCAGCCATTCCATTTCTGGGTACATATGCCCTAAAACTGAAAGGGACTTAAAGAGATATTTGCACACCTATGTTCACAGCATTATTCACAGTAGCCAAAGGATGGAAGCCACTCAAGTGTCCATTGACAGACGAATAAACAAAATGTGTTCCATTCATAAAGTGGAATATTATTCAGCCCTAAAAAGGAAATTGTGACATATGTGACAACGTGGATGAACCTGGAGGACACCATGCCAGGTGAAATAAGCCTGTCTCAAAAGAACAAATACCGTGTGATTCTACTTACATGAGGTCCCTAGACTTGTCAAATCCAAAAGACAGAAAAGGGAATAGTGAGTGCCGCGGGCTGGGGGGGTCAGGGAGTCAGTATTCAATAGGGACAGAGTGTCACTTTGGGAAGATTTAGGTTCTGGAGCTGGTTGGTGCTGGTGGTGGTTGCACAACAGTGTGAATGTACTTCCTGCCACAGAACTATATGCTTAAAACTGGTTAAGATAGTGGGGCAGCACCTGGCTGGCTCAGTCAGTAGAACATGGGCCCTTCACATCAGGGTTGTAAGTTTGAGCCCCACCTTGGGTGTAGATTACTTAAAAAAAAATTTTTTTTAATGGTTAAGACAGGACACCCGGGTGGCTCAGCGGTTAAGCGCCTGCCTTCGGCTCAGGGCGTGATCCTTGGGTCCCGGGATCGAGTCCTGCGTCGGGCTCCCTGCATGGAGCCGGCTTCTCCCTCTGCCTGTGTCTCTGCCTCTCTGTCTCTCTCTCTGTCTGTCATGAATAAATAAATAAAATCTTTAAAAAAAAAATGGTCGAGACGGTAAATTCTGTCACATGTATTCTACCACAGTAAAAACAAGCCCTGCAGAGGTGTCCCAGTTCACTCAACCTGGAATCCTCAGTTCTATCGTAAGCCTCGGGACTCGCTCCAGTGCCCCGTCTCCAAGGAGTGGTGTGGCCTCGCGCGTCGTCTCACACACCCCTGCGCGCGCACTGAGAGGCCGGGTCACGCGAGCCAGGACACACGCTCTCCACATGCACGGCCGCGGCCCCGTCTCACACACAGTCCGAAGCGCGCGCGCGCACACGCTCGCCCCCCGGCCCCGTCGCGCGCACACACGCTCATCCGTACACGCTGGCGCCGCGGCCTCGTCTCCCTCACACGCACACGCGCTCCGCCAGCTCCGGTGCCCGCGCTGTGCCCTGGAAGGCGGCTCCACGCGCGCAGCGCCGTGCAAGCCGGAGACGCCGCGCGTAACGTCGCCGCTCGAAGGCAGGACTGACCTGCCCCAGGGACTTCAGCACCGTCGCACGGATAAAAAAATAAATAAAAAGTAAAAAAAAAGAACCGTCGCACGGCAGGCCTCTCCACTTTGCTCCCGGAAGCTGTCCACCTCTGGCCAGGAAGTTCCCCTCCAGCCCCCGCCCCGCTGGCCCTGGGGGCGGGACTTCCGTCCCCGCGCGGCCCGCAGGCCGGAAGCGGACCCCTGAGGAATCGTGTCCCTCGCGGCGCGCCGTCCAGCCGTGAGTTCCTGCGCGGGGTCGGCGCGGGGTCGGCGCGGGGTCGGCGCGGGGTCAGCGCGGGACGGGCGGGCATGGCGTTCCGACAGGCGCTGCAGCTAGCGGCCTGCGGCCTGGCCGGGGGCTCGGCAGCTGTGCTCTTCTCCGCCGTGGCGGTGGGGAAGCCCCGCGCGGGCGGGGACGCGGAGCCGCGCGTGGTCGAGGCGCCGGCGTGGGCGGGGACCGCGCGTCCCGGGCCGGGCGTCTGGGACCCCAACTGGGACAGGTGCGGGGCCGCGGTGGCGTCGGGCGCGCGGGCCGGTGGGCGCCAGGGCCTTGGGTCCGGGGGGGTCGGCCGCGCAGAGGGCAGGCGGGGCGGGCGCGCGGGTGGACGTCTCCCGGCGTGGCCGCGCGGCTGGCGGTGATGGCGGACGCCCTGGACGCCAGCGGGGCGTTTGCCGCACGGGGACGGCGGTGCCGGGGCCCGCGCGGCCCGGACTTGGGCGCTCAGCCGGGAGCCCTCGGATCGGACGGCGCCCGAGGGCGGAGCGCAGGGTGGGTGTGGGGCGCCGGGTGCCGGCCTGGGCCTCGAAGGAACCTCTGCTGGAAGACGTGCGAGGACCCGTGGGACAGGAGCGGGAGCCTCCAGGGGTTGTCACGCGTGGCCACACGCGGGAAGAGGCGCCTGTGATCCGGAAGCGTTTTTTTAGTGTCGTTTGATGTCGATGAATTTGAATCTAAAAACCAAACGGTGCAGGTGTTCCGTGCTGTTTCCGCGTTGCGATGGTAGCCTTGTTGATACGTTGGCTTCAATAAAGCGGATTTTTGTGATTTCACCCGTCCCTTTCTTCTTAAATGTAGGCTCTTTGGAAATTTAAAGGTACGTCTGTTGCCGGTGGTGCGTTTCTCACCGGACGGCCCTGCCCTGGAGTCTGGGAGTGGTCGAGTGGTCGTTGTGGGCCGGTTTACGCAACCGCAGCTCCTTCCTGCTTTACTCTGAGTGAGGGGCACAGAACTAGTATTTGCTGTCAGCCTCGTTTTGTCAGGAACCGCATAGGTGTTCTTTGTTTTATTTTTTATTTTTTTTAAGATTTTTTTTTAGAATTTTTTATTTATTTATGATAGTCACAGAGAGAGAGAGAGAGAGAGAGGCAGAGACACAGGCAGAGGGAGAAGCAGGCTCCACGCACCGGGAGCCCGACGTGGGACTCGATCCCGGGTCTCCAGGATCGCGCCCTGGGCCAAAGGCAGGCGCCAAACCGTTGCGCCACCCAGGGATCCCGTATTCTTTGTTTTAAACCTTTAATTTAAAAAAAACGTTCGAATAGTTTTGGATTTACAGAAAAATTGGAAAGCTGCTAGGAGTCATACTCCACCCCTGATTTTGTCCACTGCTAAGGCCACTGTCCTTGTGATACTAGTACGGTGTAGTGGTCCCAATCAGTGAACTGACATCTGTTCGTTACTATTTTTTTTTTTTTAAGATTTTATTTATTTATTCATGAGAGACACAGACAGAGAGGCAGAGACATAGGCAGAGGGAGAAACAGGCTCCATGCAGGGAGCCTGATGTGGGACTCGATCCCAGGACTCCAGGATCATGCCCTGGGCCAAAGGCAGACGCTCAACCACTGAGCCACCCAGGTGCCCCTGTTTGTTACTATTGACTGACATTCATACTTCTTCTTCGAGATTTCCTCAGTTTTCAGCTATTGTCTGTTGTCTCTTCCAGGATCCCACTTGACAATTTAGTCGTGTTTCCTCGGGCTTCTCTTGGGCGTGACAGTTTCTCAGACTTTCCTTGTTTTGATTACTTTGACAGTTTTGAATATTGATAATCAGGAATTTTAAAGACTGCCCCTCCCGTTGGGATTTGTCTGTTTTTCTCATGATTCGGTCAAGGGTCATATTCTCTTTTTCGAATTCCAGTACAGTCTTCTGGATTTCTTTTTAAGGAAACAGATTCATCGTGAGAATAAAGTATGTATTTGAAGCAGCACTGGATTCTAGCTCTACTGGTGGAAGCTGACACACTGTATTTGCTCACCAAGTCTGGGTTTACGAAGGAGGAGGGTGTGCTGGGAAGTTCTAGAGCCTCATCTGATGAAATGTCCAGCCTCTTTCTTCCTGGAGAATTTCATCCAGTCTAGGCTTCCTGTTTGTGCGCCTGTAGCCCCCATGTGTCTTCCCTGGCTCAGCCCTGGACTCCTGTGTGACATCTCAGCCTCTTTGTGTTAGGGCACCCTAGGCTCGCCCAGCAGGACCCCTGGGCTGCCACTGCTCTCCTCAGAACTTACCCTGCCACCATTTTGTCCCAGCTGGAGATGCTCTTTTCCTAGCCCCATACCACAGACCTTTAGCTTCTTTAAATTTCCGTTCTGGGAGCCACCAGACATCCCTGTCTCCCAACAACCAAATCTTAGGTTGTTTCTCAGCATCTTCACTGGTGCTGCCCCCCATCCTCACCCCCCACCACCTCTTCAGCTCCTCAGCCTTCCAGGAGTGCCATCCAATAGACTTTTTCATAATAACAGGAATGTTCCCTTCCTCGCTATCCAATGTGATCACCACTATCCCATGGGTTACTGACCATTTCAAATGTTCTTAGTGTGACTGGGGAAATGGAGTAATATCTTTATTATTTTGAATTTAAGTAGCCACATGGCCGGTATCTAGCATTGGACAGCACAGTTGCAGGCTCTGCTTCAACATGGCTACACCAGCTTTGTGGGCACTCCCCAGCTACCCCTTCCTGGTACCTGGTTTCGTTTTCTACACATCTCTTATCACTTGGCTGTTTTTATCAGTCTCTTTTCACTAGAACACAAGCTGCATGAGAGCTTCATTTGTCCACTTCATTCACTGATCACCCCAAGCAGGCCTGGCACTCAGCTCTGGGTAAATGCGATGTGCTCTAAGAGGATGGGCTCCTAGGGGCCACAGCAGAGGGCAGAGGGTATTGTTTGTCCCTGCGCTTTCCCAAGACAGAAATACCGTCTTGTCAAAAAAAACCCAAGGCTGATTTGTGAGCAGAGATCACAAGGACACGCCTCTCATATTTCAACATTAGGCGAGAACCACTATCCTTGGTCAACCTGCGGAAGAGGAACCTAGACTCTGGAGAAGAAGAACTGGCGTCCAGGCTGGACCACTGCAAAGCAAAGGCCACACGACACATCTTCCTCATCAGGCACTCCCAGTACCACATGGATGCCTCCCTGGAAAAGGACCGCACTCTAACACCCCTGGGTACGTGCTGGGACTCAAGCCCCAACTGACACTTGTCCTAGTGGCGCTGGGCCCCTTTGGACCTGTGTCAGGGGCTTGGCCCAGATTCAAGAATTGTCATTAACAGTGATCATCAGCCTAACTGATACAAGACAGGCATTGAAAACATCCTCAACTTTAGGGGCGCCTGGGTGGCTCAGCAGTTGAGAAGCACCTTTGGCCCAAGGCATGACCATGTGTCCGGGGATCGAGTCCCGCATCAGGCTCCCTGTGGGGAGCCTGCTTCTCCCTCTGCCTGTGTCTCTGCTTCTCTGTGTCTCTCATGAATAAATAAATAAAATCCTTGAAAAAAAAAAAAATCCTCAACTTTAAAAAATGTATGGTGGATCTCACAGGTGATCAGACCCTAAGCACAGCAGAGGTGTTCTGTACTCCCTGATGCTCTGTAAGTGGCATAGCCCATGCACCCTGTTCTGCTTGACTTAACCTGTTGCTGAAGATCCTTCTATTCAGCACTTGCAGATCTGTTTAAAGTTTGCTTCATAATGGTAAACAGACAGGATTGAGTGATAGCTCTAACCATCTCCCTGGCAGTGCTACTTATTGCAGTCTCTTGCCATCGTGAGCAGCACTGCGGGGCATGCCCTTCCACCGTGGTCTTTGTGCCCATGTGCAAGCATGTCGGTAGAAGAAATTCCTAGGAGAGGAAGTACAGGGTGGTCTGAGATAAGGTTTACATTTTTAAAGATGTCTTTGTTGGATAGGATATTAGCCATCTGTGCACATTCAGTGCTACCACATGCACTTGAAACTGACCTGAGAGCATTTTCATCTAGATCTAAAATATATTTTAGATATATATATATATATTTTTTTAAGATTTTATTTGAGAGAGTGAGCAAGACAGAGCACAAGCAAGAGGAGGGGAAGAGGGAGAGGGAGAAGCAGACTCCCTGCAAAGCAGGGAGCTTGACTTGGGACTCAATCTCAGGACTCCAAAATCATGAGTCCAAGGGAGACACTTATCCCACTGAACCACCCAGGCATCCCTAAAATATATATTTGAGAAAAAAGATTTGTATTTGCACACAGACTGTACTTAGTAATGCTGAGGCCATTTGGTCTTTACATGTTGACATCTGTGATAATGCACAACTGGTCGATCCATGGCACGTCGCAACTCAATGTTTGGACAAAATTAAAAGTGGCATAAAGGACACAAAGATAGGAACAGGACCCCAGATCTCAGGGATCCTCAACCTTGGTCATTAACATTCCTTCTGCATGGAGCTAAAGGTAAACTGCGTTACCTCATTGGTTCCGCCTGTCGAATGCTTGGCCCCTAGTTAGGGCCAAACCCCAGGAGGGTCTGCCCGTCTTGTTCCCCAGCCGTAAGGGCATTTGGTAAAGGACTGGAGTATTTCTGAAGTAAACAAAAGAGGAACTCCAGCAACCTATAATTCTCTGGTGTTTTTCACCTTCAAGGTCGTGAACAGGCTGAACTAACTGGGCTCCGACTTGCAAGCTTGGGGTTGAAGTTCAATAAAATTGTCCATTCGTCTATGACCCGAGCCATAGAAACCACTGACATCATCAGCAAGCACCTGCCAGGTGAGTGCCCCGCATCTCCAGGGCACTGGGCGGCTAGTCCTGAAGGGGCAGCACCTAGCTGCGGCTTCTCTTGCAGGTGTCTGCAAGGTCAGCACAGACCTGCTGAGGGAAGGCGCCCCCATTGAGCCCGACCCGCCTGTGTCCCACTGGAAGCCAGAGGCTGTGGTAAAAGCCCCACTCCCCCCGAGCCCCCCGACCTGCAGCCTGCATGCCCTGCGGCCTGCATGCCGTGGCCATCCTTAAGATTCCTTGCTCTGCCCCCAGCAGTATTATGAAGATGGAGCCCGGATTGAGGCCGCCTTCCGGAACTACATCCATCGGGCAGATGTCAAGCAGCAGGAAGACAGTTACGAGATCTTCATCTGCCATGCCAATGTCATCCGCTACATCGTGTGCCGGTGAGGGGTGACATAGGCTCCCTGGCCCACCATCCTTCCTGCCGGCCTGTGCCAGTGCCTCTTCCCTGGAGACCTTAGCCTTCTGGGAGAATGTCAGTTTGGAGTTTTTCCATGATGGTGTATTTATGGCGGGAATAGCACAAATGTGATCCACTTGTCCAGGGTAGGTCGGGGTGCCCGAGAAGTCAGTGGCACATTCTGGGTGATGCTAACACGGTCACTTGGTTCAGGCACTGTGCGCTGGACTTCACACCGTATAGTCGGTTTTTCCCCCTCAGTGATTTGTAAGCGTCTTGGGAGACAGCGCAAATCTCCTGTCCCTCTGATTTATGCCGACTGACTTTAGCCCATTGGGAGTTCCTGCCACAACGGATACAGTGGTGGTGCTCACCTAATGGTGGTTTTGCATTTCTGTCTGTCATTTGTTATTTGAAATCCTTCTGTAAGAGCTCACTCTTACTCTCTGTTTATTTGTAGGATTATAGACTCACAGATCTGTATTTACACTGTGGATTAGAACCCATCACCATGTTGGGCCCCCAGAAGGAGGCTCCTGTGTCCTCTGGACCTGCCTCACTTCCTGGCACTAACGGAGGTTCCAGAGCCCTCATGAGTGATGCCTGCCCTGAGTAGCAGCCATGTACCAAAGGCCCTTGGAGGTAGTTAGGCCAGCTGGGTGCTTATGTATTTAACCAAAGTTCACTTAGTGAAAAATTTGAAGTAACTGGAATCCCAGACACCCCCTGGACCCATTAGACAGTGTGCACTGGGCATTTTAACAGCTGAGGGCTCTCCTCTTGTGATGAGTCTGACAGTGGCAGGACAGGACACAGCCCACCGGCTGGCCCACGGCACTATCCAAATGTAGGCCCAGGGTCCTTGCTCACCATGCTTGATCCTTGGACCTTTCACCAGGGCTGGCAAGAACGGGGTCATTTCCCCTCCAGTGTCCCATGCATGGCCTCTGGTGAGAAGCCCAGGGCATCCGAGGCAGGTGGCACACGGATGCCAGGAGTCAGGCTTCTCAGCTTGGTCACAGGGCTCCAGGCCAGGTGGAGTGTTGCTGGGGAAGAGGGGTGAGCCTCAGGCCTCCACACACTCTGAAGTGCTCAGCACTTCATGCCTCCAGAGGGCATAGTCTCAGCTCCTCTGCTCAGCACGTGCTGTTCCCCGGCACCACCCTCGTTGCTGCTCTGGATGGCTCTGCACCGTGGAAACACCATAATCTAACACCCTGTGACAGGCTGACCCCGGCAGCCACTAGAAGTGACCCCAGTGCTGAAAACTAATCAGAATTGGGGACTTGGAGTAGAGGTGACCTGTGTGCCATAAAGGGCTAGAAGGAACCAGAGCATCCCTGTCACAATACATGAGGTTATTTTGGAGTTTGTGAGGGACACAAGGAGAAGACTTTAAAAAGCACCATGGTGGCTGCAGAGTGAGCCAAGGGGATGCCCCTTACCATTTAGGGCACAAAGGATGTCTGATGACTTGGGGAAGCCATGATGATACTGGGCTTTTCAGCAAATACTGCACCTAAAAAGAACATTCCTGAGGACAAGGAAAGGCTCTGGGCTCGTGGATTATACCACCCTGTTCCTGGGCAAGAGTGGAATAGGAATGGGTCCACTGCACAGTCCGGCTGCCCCTGCCCCCTTTTGGTTACACTGGAAGAAGAAGTCCATGGAAGCCGTGTATTTCTGACTCACATGCACATCTGGAGTTGGGTTAATCCCCTGACCCAAAGAGGGGCTGGGCTGTCCCCATCCCCCTTGATTTGATGGGATATCCTCAGCCCAGTAGCTCTGTCCCCTGAGAGACCCCTTGCTGAAAAACAGGAGGGACAGACTTGGCTACATGGGTCCCAGCCCCAAGAAAATCTCTGAGACCCTAACTGGGGTGGGGGCTATTGCATTGCCCAGACCCCAGCCTGTTTTGGTGGCTGAGCCCTGTGTTCTAGCATGTTCTCTCTCTTTCCAGGGCACTGCAGTTCCCCCCTGAAGGCTGGCTCCGCCTCTCTCTCAACAATGGCAGCATAACCCACCTGGTGGTACGGCCAGATGGCCGAGTGGCGCTCAGGACCCTCGGGGACACAGGGTTCATGCCTCCAGACAAGATATCGCGCTCCTGAGAGCTGCTTGGAGGACCTGCTCTCCTCTAGCCCCTGTGGCTCCCATGGGTGTCACCCAGGACATGGTTCCTCCCCCGTCTTCCCTCCACAGGCTGCACTGTGGCTGCACTGCACTCTTCCTGGAGAGTGAGAAAGTACAAATATCTCAAGTATCTAAAATGTGGCATTTGGGTCCATACTTGGCAGCCCAGGATAGAAAAGGGAATTGTTCTGAGCAGAGCAGCCTGACTTCCCTCTTGGGGTTTCCTGCCCTGTCTGCCAGGACGAGGCCTCACCGATGCCGTGTGCAGGGACCACGGTCAGTCCACATGGGTGTCTTCAGTCCCTCCCACAGCTGGCCACTTGGGCCCTTCCCGGCTCCTTGGCACAGTCCGTCCCGGCACTCAACTCCGAGGAGGGCCGCCAGCACTTCCATTCGGAACTCATCCTACATTCTTTAAGAGCCTTTTACCACTTAAATATTTGTCAACTAAAGACTCTCATCTGGTTTCCTGCTTTGATAACCAGTTTCTCAGTCTGGAGTCCTGCCCGACACCATTGGGTCTGAACCCAGCCACATTCAGCAGGTGGGGGAGGTGGCTGGATGCTGATGGGACAGCAGGGCATCCTGTTTCAATAAAATACTCAACAGCTCAGTCTTTGCCTCTGGCTGTTTATCCTTTATGCTTATGGATTAAACTATTTAGATGTGATGTGTCCATCCCAAGTATTCTGTTAACTTAGGAGAAACTACAATTTCTATGAAGTGGTTATGAACATTTTTTTGCAATCGGTACAACTGATTGGGACATTTAATCCATTTCTCTAACTTTGGAAATAACTGCAAAATAAAATTTTATTTTACCAACTTTTCAAAGTATTAATTGTGAGTGTTTTAAAGAAAATAAAAGCCCATGTACTGCAACAAACGGCAGCCCCAGATGCTGGAACAGTTGTAGCCACAGTAGCAGCAAGCTCTTTCCCAGAGTTGACAGCTTCCTTGGGCGTCTGCCCACGCACTAGGCCAAGGCCCAGACTCAGGATGTGAGCTGGATAAATGGTTTTCCACGGGCATCAATTATGCACCACTTTCTAGAAACAGTTTGGACAAAGTAAGCCAGGGGTTGTGCCAACTTCTTAAAGCATGGAACTGACAGGCAACACCTCTCTGACTTCAGGTGTGAAGGAGGCCCAGGAAGGTAAGGGCCACCCAGGCCTCATGTCCCACCCTGAGCCTGAGCCTGACCCCTGGACCCTCGAAGCCACACACCCGAAGGGGGAGGTGGCAGGTCCCCTTCCTTCTTCCCTTAAGGGGTTTATGCAGCTGCCTCACTGTTCTGCCTTCAAATATATGCCTGGATGGAACAATTTCACTTGACCTTTGAGGAGCAGGGCAGCATTTTGGAAGTGGAAAATGAGCCCACACGGGATAGAGCCGAGGAGCAGGAGGTGGGTCTTGATATGGGGTCACGGGGGCCCCCTGATGTGAAGATGGAAACTTTCTGACGTGCCACAGATGACCAAAGCCTTCTGAACTGAAATGGCAACAGTGTTTTAAGTTTGGTCAAAATGAAGCCTGCTAATTAGCCCACAGACCATGAGGGACCCTGAACTGACATCAATGGGAAGATACAGCATCCCTCCTATTGTGTTGTGCTGTTTGTTCTTCTGAGACAGCCAAGAAAGGTACAGAAGTGCAATCTGTAAACCAGAAAATCCTCAGTTTTTGTGTACAAGTGCAAAACATCAGTATAAGTAAGAAAAGCACATGCTTTGAACAGCCCAGTAAGCAGACCAAGCTCAGGGCAACGGGGCCGTGAAGCCACGGCATGGCAGGGCAGTAATCCCACAGACCACCATTGCCCCTGAAAGCTGTGAGTGTTGCTGCAAACATGCCAAAATTATTCCAGAGGACTTGTCCAAGCTGGAATGGAGGAAGGTCTTCAAAAAGAGGTGATGGCCAGTTGACCCATAAGCTCCTCAGGGCCTCCCAGCCTTGGCTGAGGATTCCACTCACCTGTCCCGGTCCCCGAGGTTGCCCCAAGGACACAGCCTTGAGATGGTGATGCGGTGGTGGCAACACCTGCACGGAATGGGGCTTCTGGATCAACTCTTCAGATTGGGAAGATGGCTGCAGGGAGCTATTCACCTTGCCACCGGCGATAATGAGCCTTGTAAGTTCCTCAGCTTATGAAACCTGCCATCTGGCAACCTGGAGTGGCCTGGCCCCTTCCTGCCTTCCACATACAGATCTCACCCAGGACACTCCCAAGAGGGCTGCAAACCAACACTTGCTCCGTGCGGTGGGCACTCGTTCTAGAACACCTTGCCAGTGGCTGTGCCTAGGCAATGACCAGGGGACTTGCCCATATCCCTTGTACTGCGGCCGGAGCCACAGAACCACCCCATCGGGGCAGAAGGGTTCCCATCATCTCTTTTGACGTGAATTAGTTACATGTCAGTTGTCAACATAATGAGAAAGGGTTGCTCATTTCCAAAGGCAATTAGGAATTTTGTGCTAGCTTAACTGAAAGTTAAAAGTTTTTCACAACCATGTTAAGAACAAAAGGGGCCAGAAAACAGCAAATTCACCACTATCAGGTTAACACACTGTTTCATCACAACATTACTTAAGATTTTAATAAAACAGCACCTGTGAGAGTCTTTCTGAAAGCTAAGAATTTCCACCACGAGGTTTTATTCATTTATTCCATTAAGTAGCTTAAAAAAAGAATGCAAAATCACCTTAAGACACATGATGATGCATTCGCTGGGGCCAGAACCACCTTATAGCAACAAACAGGTGAAGACCACCTATAACTTCAGAAAACAAGAACTGAGTCTGCAAAACTCAGAACACTTTTAATTTCCATTGGAATATTTACAACAACATATGGAAGAGAATTTTACAGAAAGCAGACCATTGCTGTGAATGTACTATCTGTATTCTAATTCCTTTTGAGAGCAAAGATGACTTTTATGAATGCCATTGGCTTTTAGAATAGAATGTATTTTTCTGTGTTATATCTAGATCATTCCACAAATGAAAACACCCTGTGTAACAACCATTCAAATTTTAAAGTCTAAATCTTGGTTCCAATATTACTGACTTGTCTCTTGTTAGCACATGAAATACATTTTTAACACAAGTTCCAATTCAGAATTTTTGTAAACAAAAACAAAAATCTCATGCCTACTTAGTATCACTGTATATTCACAAAAACCAAGTTTCAGGAAAATAAAAAATGATTTACAAAAGGCACTGAATTTAGCAAAAATTGGTAGAGCTTTCCATTTTGGATCAAACACTGGAAATGTTCACAGAGCACCACCAGTGTGTGAGCAGTCACGTACACCCAAGAGAAGTCAGCTCTCAACTCGGGTATGTGGGTGTCAATCGTGGCAGTAGTTCTAAGGTGACCCCCATGCTCCAGGCAGACCGCCCAGAAGGTCATGGACAAAGGGAAGCTAAAATAAATGTAGTAAGGTAAATGATCAGGGCTCAAAGATAAACTGCTATTTTCTGTACTAAAGCGCAATACCCTTTTATAAAGAAAACCCAATGGAAGTAAATTTGGAAATATGCAATACATTTCAAAACTAGAGAACTTAAAGGTCATTTTATTGGCACTACCTCAGCAACTAAACAAAGTAACTGGAACTGCAGGTCCCTCAGGGCTGCTGGCCTCTCAAGTGCTGCGGGACTACTCCCAGGACTCCCAGGACTCCCACGGACTGGAGGATTGACTCCCAGAGAAAAGCTAGTTTTATCTTCAGGTCACTAGCTTAAATGTTTATAACGACCGTAACTATAAATGCTGCAAGTATAAGTCAACTTCGAGGTTCGCTGACTCCTGAGCATCCACCTTGTCAATGGGTCTAACCCACTGGGACCAAATGGCAAAACAAAGATTTTCTATCAGGAACTAAGAAGTCAGAGATCCTTCCCAGAAAAATGAATGAAAGAATGAATTTTGGCACAAAATTCATCTTTGTTGTAAGAACGGAATTGAAGTGAGCACAACTCCGGGCAGCCCCAGCTCCGGCATTCGCCCGGGCTTCTGGCACACACAGAACGGGAATGGCGCCTTACACTTGCAAATGCAAACTTAAGTCCACATTGTTATACATTGACAGTTTCCAGAAAATCTGTATCTGGATTTGCTTCCATCAACTTCTCCCAAAACATCAGAAAACTAAATTTTATACAAAACACTAGCATTTTCTAAAAATCTTTTACTCTCAAAATGAGGACTAATAAATTAATCAGAATATATTCTTTTTGGTAGAATTTCAGCAATAAACACATTGCCCTTTTTTCTCTAAAAACAAAGAGTAAAATGAGATGCCCAGCAGCTTACACCCACCCTATAAGGCTGTGAGCTGGGCCAGGCGCGCCATCCTGCGGAGGTGGCTCCCACTTGCGGGGCTATAGCGCCCAGCGTTGCCCAGGCCCGGGGAGTGTGTGGGCCCGGGCTTCCCGGGGCTTCTCCCTGGGCTGCAGCTGTGGGGGCAGCCAAGGTCCGGCTGCTGAGACTCCAGCTTCCCTTTCAGCGCAGGACTTGGCCAACTGAGGAAACCAAGAAAGGTCTGTCAGCACAGATGGTGATGTGGGCCCTGCACCCAAGCCCTGGGGGACCACAGGGCTCCAGTAGAGGTACTGCAACCTCAGAACCACAGGATCTGAAGTCACAGAACACACGACTTCCCGGGAGTCCCACGTGGCTCTGACCAGGAGTCCCTACCCTTCCATCCTAAATTTCCACCTTATCACCTCCTGCTTTCCACCCAAGTGCACACCTCCTGTGTGTGTGGGACGCTGCCAACTATGGCCCTATCAGGATGCTGCACGTAAGCCTGGCTAACCAGTCTGCCGGTGTTCCAGATGAACAACTATGTGAACATATGCGAACTGCGATTGGACCGTTCTGGAAGCGAGCTACCAACAACCCTGTGTTACAGGTTATTCTGCAGGCCCACTGACCTCTGTCTGTCAGAGGGGGAGTAGCACAGGACGGCACTCTTCCATCTGTGTACGGCTGGGTACTGCTGAGGGTCCACGCTGGCATACTCCAGAGCTGCCAGAACATCCCGATCCAGTTTTGATGGCTCCTCTCTACAAGGCAGGAAAAAAAGGAAAGAAAAACCAGAAACACCTGTGATTAAAAAGACTTCCAACACCAGCACTCAAGAGTCCTGCACAGGAGCAGAACGGCAACTGCTGGCCCATCTCTGCCACCACAGGCACCAGCTGTCTGGGCTGATGTGGATTGTGGATGGACAAAGGCCACAGGGGCAGACAGGCCACACTGTCCCACGGGGGAGTGGTGGACCCCTCCACTGCGAACATGCGATTCTGAGCACCCCCAGGGTCAATGACCACAAGACTGACCCAAAAGGCCTGTCCCCTGGGAAGATGGTCTTTCTTCCTAAAACACACCAAGTTCTTGGCCTAGTCCTTCTGGGGGTGACTACTTCCCCAGGGAGTACAGCAAGATGTGAACCTGCACTGAAAAGAACACACCTCCCACCAACTTGGACAATCATAACATGGCACCCGGGGCTACAAAGTCATGAAAGAGATGGGAGCCAGAAAACTACATGCAACCACGTTGTGGGTAGAGAAAAGGTTTCCGAAAACTAGGACAGTGCCACGTGTGCTCACATCCGCTTCCACATCCACCCCCACAGCCTCACCCATGTGCACACGCCCCATTCATACCCAAAAAGGAAGAGCCTCTGGACAGGCTCCTTTGTGGTGGGGACCCCTGAGGGCTCTGAGGACACGGAACCACTCTGCTGAGCCTTGTGCACAGGACCATCAGGACCCAGACGTATTTTAGCTATTTTGGCTGACATTTCACTTTCTTTCCTGCTTTGGTTATTTCTAAGTGTGTCAACAGCAGGCGGCTCTAACAAGTCACTCTCGACTACATCCATTCTTGATGTCAAGCTCTTCCTGTCTCTACTTTTTGTAATTTTATTTGGTGTCTTAGAAAAGTTACTTCCTAGATCTTCCAAATTCAGTTTATCAAGGTCAACCGTCAAGCCTGAGACTGATGAGAGGAGAGCTTCCTCTGTGCTCGGGGCCTCTGGCCGCTTCCTGCCCAAGGTCCTGCCGCTGCTCAGGGGGCTAAAGAATCCATTCTTGCTGCTATGGGGACTGGTCAGGGTGGAGGCTTCTATAAGGTTGGTCTTCTGCTCCAAGGGAAGGATGTCACACTTCGAGTCCCCAAAAGTGCTAATTGTGGGCTGGGTGTTATTTCGAGCCATGTTCTGCCGATTTTTAATCTCTTCCAAACTCAAGTCATCATCTTCATCAAGAAATGCTCTCACAGAGATCGAATTGCTGCACTTCCGAGCATGGCCTACAGGGGAGAGAGAGCAGTTCTTCAGAGAGGTGTGTGACAAGAGTCCACAAGGGATCACGCGGTGCAGCTGCAAATCCCCAGAACCAGCCACAAACCACACTCTTTCAGAGCCACGTCCTCAGGCCCCCAGACAGAAGCCTGCACTGCCCCTTAAGAAAAGCCATGCAGGTCCCTGCACATAGAAAAAGCAGCATCCGGGCCCCGCGCAACGCCTTCACAGGCCGGAGAATGAGAAGGAAGCCAAGGTCAAAGGCAGGTGCACGTGGGACGTGACAGTGGCTGGCACCTCCCATCAAACTTGCTACGACACCAGTGGGCTGAGAACAGGAGAAGGCACGTATGTGCTCATTCACATGGACGCAGTTGGTCCACGGCCACAGGACAGGGTCCGAGTTCCAAGAACCTACAGATGTCTGAATGTCCTTACCAAAGGGGTTCTCCTGATGAGAGGCTTCATTTTCTCCTGAGTCCTGTTGGGCCTTTTTGCCTGCTTCCTGGTGAGTGAGATATTCTTCTAGTTTTTGCAGACCCTCCTGGGAAGACAGATCAACAAAACAACCCAGAAAGTCCCAGTACTCGACCCAGGGATACCCCAGCTCATGAGCCAGCTCCCTGCAAGAGTAAGTACAATCCATCAGTTAGAAAACCGGTTGTAAAAAAAAAAACAAAAAACAAAAAACAAAAACAAAAAAAAACCTCACAGATGTGACTGCTCAGAAAACAGCCACTTTATGCCAAACAATGCCTGTAATCTTGGTTAGGATTTTTATTATAAATTTGGGGCTCTGATAGTACTCTGCATTTCTCAAGCAGGACAAGGTTGAGCACGGTTTCTCTCCTGGACTGTCACTGAATGCAGTGCAGCTGTGGAGAGAGAAGGGGTCCCTGACCACCCACCCCACTCTCACAAGCCAGAGGGGCAACAAATCAGACACGAAATCCCATAACAGACCAGCCTTGTTTCCATATAACAACTGTATAAAGTTGGAGAGGATTCTGGTTTTCCTAAGGCACATAAAAATTTGGAAATCTTTATCAAGTTCAAGCTGTAAACTTGAAACTGTTTGAGAAAAAAATTCTAAAACAATCAATGTAGCTTTGATTTCACTGTAACTTAGCTTTTTGACTAAAAACACTTTGTTTTTGGAAAAAACACTTTTCAGGGACTTTTTACTAACAGCTTCTAGCCACATCTGCCTCTTGAGTTTTATTTCCTGCCAAGGAGACACCCAGCATATGGCCCCTCATACAGAACACTGCCACACCCTGGACATGCTTCCCATTAGTCTCTGCCAGAGGGACCGCTGTGGTGGACCCTGTGCTACACAGTGTGTGCAACATTCACAGGAAGCAAACCTCGACGAATAAACTTCACATACTCCCCGCTTCACCGTGAACACTTCCCAGAACGATCATTTTGCAGCTGTAACTGGTTTCCGTCCTCAACCAACATATAAGTGCACAGTATACAAAACGACACTGCCACTTGGCTCCTGTTCCTTTGTACAAAGCCAGTCAGTACCTTCCCACCCTCTCAATGCCTCTTTCTGGATCCGTCTTCCTGACATTGTGAAAGAAGCCTGCTTTCTCTCGAGGTGGTGTTTTCCAGAGCCTGCGAAAATCTTCTGCCTGAGGAGAAAACGTACCAAGCTATGCAATGTACCCGTCACAGGTAAATGCAGAGACCCATCAGCATCACAGACCCAGCTGAGTACCTCCCAGCATCCCTCTTCCTCCTCATGTGCCCTCCTGCATGGCAGTTAGACCAATAAACAACCAGTGCCTCATTATGACAGCAGCACAAAGGGGCTCGCTCTGGCAAAGATCCCTTCCAGTGGCCCACGCTGGGCTGTGAGGCTCCAAGCTGCCCCTCAGGCTCCCAAAGATGAAGCCTCACCCTGAGGTAGACCCTGCAGAGCTGCCTCACCAAGGGGCTCAAGTCACTTTCCCATCACATAAGAGGAAAATGCACGTCTATGTTTTTAAGTCACTTTTTTTTTTTTTTTTTTTTTTTAAGATTTTATTTGTTTAGAGGCACCTGGGTGGCTCACCAGTTGAGCATCTGCCTTTGGCTCAGGGCATGATCCCGGGGTCCTGGGATCGAGTCCCATACCAGGCTCCCCACAGGGAGCCTGCTTCCCCCTCTGCCTGTGTCTGCCCCTCTCTCTGTGTCTCTCATGAATAAATAAATAAAATCTTTTAAGAATCTCCCTGCAGGGAGCCTGGATGCTCAACTGCTGAGTCACTCAGGTGCCCTTAAGTCACTCTTATTAGAATTTTGTTTTATGCAACCTACTCTAACCATAACTCGTAACACCTGTTTTTGCAGACACTTCTATAATTGCAGGTAACTAATTACTTAAAATTATTAACATCGTGGTATCTGGGTGGCTCAGTCAGTTAAGCATCCGATGCTTGGTTCTGGTTCAGGTCGTGATCTCAGGATCTTGGGATCAAGCCCCGTGTAGGGCTCCCTTGCTGAGAGGGGAAATTTCCCTGAGATTCTCTCTCCCTCTACCCCTCCCTGCTGCTCTCTCTCTCTCTCAAATAATTTTTTTAAGACTTTTATTTATTTATGAGAAACAGAGAGAGAGAGAGAGAGAGAGAGTCAGAGACACAGGCAGAGGAGAAGCAGACTCCATTCAGGGAGCCTGATGTAGGACTTGATTCTGGAAACCCAGGATCACACCCTGGGCCTAAGGCAGGCGCTAAACTGTTGAGCCACCTAGGCATCCCTGAATAAGTCTTTAAAAAATAAAATAATTATCATTTTTAAATTTCATTAAAATAGAAGGTTTCATGTTTCGTTTTTAAAGATTTTAAGTACTCTCCACAGCCAACGTGGGCTCGAACTATAACCTTGACATCAAGAGTCACATGCTCCAACCAAGCCAGCCTGGCACCCTTTTAAAATCTTTAACAAGAAAGATAACAGTGTACGAAATACCTCTGCCCCGAAGGTGAACTTCACAGTTTGTAAATGGAAATTTCCTACTGACAATAAACAACCAAGAATATGGAATGGACAGCCCAGCTAGGCTGGCATGTACCATGAGAAGGGCCACTGATACGGACAGAAGAACCAGGTGATGATGATATTTAACCCAGGTAAACTTCGCTCCTCTGAAGTATGGGCTCACTACCATATTCACCCTGGCTAACCAGTGAGGAACAGGATCAAGACACTCTTGATTCTCTGGCAGGTGTTCTCAAACCTCGTCACCACCTCAATGGGATTCCACAAGTCCTGATCTCAAGACCAAACACAAAGCAAGCGCTGAAACATCCAGCACTTCTGGTGGGGACAGCCAGGAACTGGTTCCAGAAGCTTCTACAGGAGCTCACCTTGGACGGGCTCAGGGGCCCTGCAAAGGCTCTCAAGGTCAGAACAGGGTCTCTGGGGTCACCTCCACTGTGGCCGATGTGAGAGTTCTCAGTCGTCTGGTCTGAAGACCACAACTCCCCAATCACCGGAGACGATGTGTCCTCAGCTCTCAGAAGTGGCACATAGTAGTGGCCTGGAAAGAGGAGATACCCTGGTTAAGGCATCTCCTTGGGTGGGTCCTCACATCAGTGGCATCTGGTAAACAACCCAAGAAACACCAGGGGCTTTGCAAGGGATCCAATGATAAAAAAGCTCTGGAGCTAGAGGACCTAGGTGAGAGGCCAGTTTCTGTCAGACCACGTTCTTCCTCTGCGGGGAAAATAAAAAGGAAGGAAGAGGAACAGCAAACACCCCTCCGTACCCCCAGGTACTAAAAAGACTGAGGCAGGACCTGTATGAACAAGATTAGCATAAAAGTAGGAGCCTGAGAATGGTTAAAAAGAAGTTGTATTTTAATCTCTTTTAACCTTCCTGATCTGTGGAACAATATTCTATCACTGAACACACAATTCAAACGATCTGGCATCACAGGACACTCTGATGTGAAATCTGGACAAAGAATGATAGAGTGTGGTGATGTCACCTGGGAGAGTGGAGCAGGAAAGGGTCAGGACACCACATGCAGATGGATAGTTGTGGCTTTCATGTGCCAGCCACACAAAACTTTATTTACGAAGAGTAGCGGCAGGCTAGGCAAGCATCTGCTGACCCTTGCTTTAAATGGAAGGAACAGAAACTAAGAGACAAGGAGAGACAGCAAATGGGGCCAGGTCAAAGAGCTTCGAGCTTCAAGTATCTGCTGTCATGTCACATAGCAAATGGGGCCACCAGACTTCTAGCTGCAGATGGCGGGAAAGATGCCTCTGCCACCACCTTCCAAACACACTGGAAACAGCCGAGAGGAAGACAACAGGAAAAGTTCCTTTCTGAAACCAGCCACTTCCATGCTCCCTGAAGCTTCTGACCACAAAGTAGGGCCCAGAAGGCAGGGGTGAGCCCCCATAGACCTGATCAGGAAGGGCTGCCCCCACAGGTCACAGGCTCCCTGGGCAGCCAACAGGTCAAAAGTCAGCCTAGAGTGCTGAGATCCAGGGCCTATGAGGCTGCAGGAAGGAGCTGCCCAGGGAGCCAGGAGAAACAAGCCCTGGTGCAGAGGGCAGCACATGGAAGGGCTGACAGGGATCTGAGAAGCCAACCAAGTGCCAGATCAAAGAGCTCCAGGCAGAGAGCCCCTCCCACTCTCCGCTCTGCTAACTTGCAGGCTGTGCTTGGGCACCTGCTACATGGGACACCTGCAGAGATTACAGGGTGACACCATGAGGAACAGTCAAATGACAGACGACTTGTGGTCTCCCAGAGAAGTTCAAGGCTTCAAATGAGGCATTATAAGACAACAGGTGGCATGTGAGCTGCGGGTTCAGGAAGCAGACCACCCCAAGGTCTGTCACCCTGAGATGTCACCCTGCTTCAGCGAGCAGTCCAGGGCCTTCCCCACTGGTGGTCCTTACATTCCAAGCGCTATGCCCCAACTTACCCTTTAAGTACTCTCTAATCTGCTCCTTCAGTTCCGAAGACTTATTTTTGCTTCTTTCACAGATGACCTGTTTTTAAAAAAACAGTATGTGAACAGTCTAAATCTTAATTTGTCACATTTTATCATTAAAATGATTTTACAAAAACAAAATTTAAAGTTAACAATACAAGGACAATGTCCTAATATTGAAAATTTCATAAAGCCCACAATCAAAGCACATGTGTTTAACAGTATAATCTTTCTTCCAAAATGTTCTGTAAAAGCTGAAGGGGTCAGGACGAGGAGGACAAACTCTGTGAGTGAATTTTATGATCTTTCTTCATACTACCCTCCAGGTTCTAGTTTTCCACATCAGTCAGGCAGGAATAGGCAGACACACGTATAACTTTCAGCTCCATGAACTCCAATGCCCGGGGGCCTGTCTACTGCTGTTGTTTGGCTGGATTAAAACAGAATTCCTATTTAGTGTGGAACACAAGTGTTTTATTCTTGCTACTACAGGAATCAACTTTCTCCCTTAGAGAATTATAGTGACAAGAACATTTTCACTAGAATAAAAAACCAATAACCTTCAAATAAGAAACCACAAAATTACCATCTCTGGCTAGCCTGTAAGAGAAATCAACTACATTGTACCCTGTAAGTAGTGTTTCTATTTTTTTGTGAGGTATAGCAAGTGATTTAAGAATACTAGTTACCGGGATCCCTGGGTGGCGCAGCAGTTTGGCGCCTGCCTTTGGCCCAGGGCGCGATCCTGGAGATGCAGGATCGAATCCCATGTCGGGCTCCTGGTGCATGGAGCCTGCTTCTCCCTCTGCCTATGTCTCTGCCTCTCTCTCTCTCTCTGGGACTATCATAAACAAATAAAAATTAAAAAAAAAAAAAAGAATACTAGTTACCAAATACCATTTTACAGTGAAAAATATACATACCTATCACACAAAAAAGTTGAGTGTGACTCATGAAAAACAATGATAATTTCTGAGATGTAGAATAGGGAATTTTATTTTTGTTTATGAGTATTCTAAAGTTTCTATAGAAAATGGGCACTATTTATATAACCAAAGCAACTATAAAAGCAGCATTCACCATCAGATTAGAATCCTTACAGATTCCACTTCAAAGGGCTGGCTGGTTCAGATCAGCTGACCAACAACAGCTCCAATGCACAGGACAAATCACCGATCTTTCAATTCTTGTCAGATCGACCCCCCCCCCCACCTCACAAGTACAGACGCACCTCTGCCCTCTCTAACGCACATTTTGCTCCACTGCCAGCATTAGTCCTGACAAGAGTCGTATGGGTCAGGTGAGAATACCCGGGAGAGACTTAGGGCTGTGCCTGGCACATAATGAGCTAAAAACATGTTAGCTGCTTTCAGCCCCATCATCACCACCACCATAATCCTTATCACTACCCACCACCATCCTCACCATCACCACCATCCTCACCACCATCTTCATCACCACCACCATCCTCGTCATCCTTACCACCATTCTTCATCATCATCATCACCACCACCCACCACCACCTCCAGCACCACCACAACTACCTTCACCATCACTACCACCACCACCTTCATCATCACTACCACTACCCCCTCCTCCATCACCATTGCCTCCTCCATTCTCCAGTTCCCTGGTCAACTGAGGTAATGCATAAGCAGAACTTGATAAAAACTGTGAGATGATGAGAACAAATGACCATCGGTTTCAGGACGATAAAATAAGCAAACATGGGCAGTTCATTATTCTGAATCAGTTCCTGATGCTACTGATGCATCTTCTTCATGGTATACCTTACTTAGTAATCATGGTTCTTTGGTGTGCTCGTGAGGCAAACATGTTCACAGGGTCAGTGACTGACTTCACAGTAGCTGTCATCAATACTGTGATTTCACAAGTTTTCATGTCTAACAGTATACAGTAACAGTATTTTAATAGATACTTACATCTTCGGGAGTTTTATCATACTTATTCCTTGGGTTTTTTACAATCAACGGGTGTGAAGAAAGCACGTTGACCACATCTGCATTCCCAAACTTACAAGCAAAATGCAGTGGCGTGTCATAGCCCTGAGAGAGGTGCAGTGGAAGAATACTTATCTTTAATTATGTTTGTTTCAAAAGCTTGCTTTAAGATAAAAATATAAGTAACAGAACAAAAACCCTCAAAAACAAAAGACCATAAAAAGACATTATTTTAACAACTGAGAAATATTGGCATGTTAAGCGCATACTCACTTTAAGCCTGGACTTGAGGTTAGCCCAGCACCCTAGTAACTGTTGCCCAGTGCCTGGGTGCCCAGGTTCAGAAGGAGCTAACAAATGAGCTACGGCAAAGTACACTCTTTATGACCATGTCACCATTTCATATAACTTCCCACATGAACCTAAAAAAGTCTGGGCAATTGCCTACAGCAGCATTCTCTGACCATATCCTGCCCTTTTGTCCAGACTGGCAAAACTTCTCAACTGAGGTTCAGAAAGTGAACAGTTTAGGCCTTGCAGACCACCCAGTCTCTGCCATAACCACCCTGCTATGTATGTCTCTGCAGCCATGGATGATCCACAAAGAACGAGCAGGGGGTGCCTGGGTGGCTCAGTCAGTTATGTATCTGCCTTGGGTTCAGGCCACAGTCTCAGGGTCCTGGGATTGAACCTCATGTGGGGTATCCCTGCTCAGCAGGCAGTCTGCTTCTCCACCTCCCTCTGCCTTCCCCCCCGCCCCCGCAACTTGTGCTTTCCCGCATTCTCTTTCTCTCTCAAATAAATAAATAAATAAATAAAATCATTATGAAAAAAAAAGAGGGGGACTGTTGTGTTCCAATAAAGCTTTATTTACAAAACCAGACTGTCCTTTGCAGGATCTGCTCTAGTGCATTGTCTAAATTAGGACTTTCTTGATTCATGTTCTACCTGAGACAACTCTACCTCTGTGGCCCAAGCTCTACTAAAAGCCTGATCTTCCCTGCCAGGCCTGCAGAGGTGGGAGGCTGACGGGGCTGCATGTGAGGGGCCAATGTTTTCACTTAGCACTCAAAACACCCAACCTCAAAGGGACCTCGACACTCTCACTTCCTTCTGGCCACTCCTTTCCTTCATACTACATAACATCCGTCCCTAACCTGCTCCAAGTTCTGCACACTTGACCGTAACCTCTGCCCTAACTCCTGCTGGGACAACAGGCTCTGGGTTCTTCCAACACTGCTGGCCAGCCTGGTCCGGCTTTTCACCATGCTGGTCTCTGCCGTGCTCTGGTACTTTCTCAAGAGTCCAAATATTTGTGGCCAACACTGTCATTGATTCCTTTTCTTAGTGAGTTATGGTCAAAGATGGCCTATAACATCTGATTTCAAGAACTTATTAAATGTTTCCTGTAGACATGCATATGCACATTTTTCTGAGAGTACTACAGAGACATTAATAAAAAACTGTGTATTTTCTGTAGGGCACACACTTCTCTGTTTTTTGTTTTTTTTTTTTTTTTAAGATTTATTCATGAGAGAGAGAGAGAGAGAGAGAGAGAGAGACAGGCAGGGGAAGAAGCAGGCTCCATGCAGGAAGCCCGGTGCAGGACTTGATCCCAGAACTCCAGGATCATGCCCTGAGCCAAAGGCAGACACTCAACCACCAAGCCACCCAGGCATCACTCTGTTATATTTTTCAAGTCACACTTCCTGAACGTACTAATCAAATTAGGAATCCTTCCTTAAGTCTATCTACTCTTAGTCTAACAGACACAACTCTAATTCTGCTCCTTCTGTCTTATTTTACACTTACTATTGCTTTCATATAATCATTGTTTTCTAAACTTTTACTTCCTTCTATAATTGTGCTAGCTTGGCCAAATTTATCTTTATTCTCCCTTCTCTCTCTTGTTAATTTAAAAGTTATCCTTGCTTTGCAATTCTGGAGTTCAATGTGTCATTTGACATGTATCATGAAATAGTAAGTCATGTCCCACTCCAACATGCTTCTGTTATTCCTTCTTGTGACAACCACAACTTTTCAAACTCCTAGACTTGCTCCGAGTTTACAATTCTTGGCTCTAAGCTATCACTAGGTTCTGCTTTATGTAAATAAGTAAAATTCAAAAAAAAATAATAAAATTAAGTAAAATTCTTCGGTTTTAAGAATTCTTACGTAAGCCTACGCATCATTAAAAACCAACCCTTTGAAATTTTTAACTCTGCAGGAAATATTCCTAATATTAAGTGGGAAAAAAAAGATACAGAATCCTAGAATAAAAGGCACCAAAACCCCTTTTTACTTTCTTCTCCCTTCAGGTTGTTACACTGGTTTATCTTCCCATCAAAGCCCAGCTCAGGCCTCTCTGGACAAAGGCTAGGAGGGACCTATCCTTGCACAAAGCTGAGAGCCATATGCATCCTGCCTAGTGAGGCAGAGCTCTCATGTGTGAATGGATCTTGTCATCCATCCCTTTCTAAGCTAGGTGAAGTCAATGAATGCACATCTCCTCTCCACATGCAGGGGGAGGCAGTTAATAATCACATATGAGAGACATAAGTCTTGTTTAGACTAGCTATGACTCTTCCTACAGGACACTCACCACTTTGTCTGGAGTGTTCAGGTACAGGTCAACGATGTAACAAATGCGCTGCTGCAGCATATTCGGGTCATCGTCTGGGTACATGAGCCGCATAAACTCAGGGTTTTCCAGAGTCTCCAGAGTCAGCTGGCAGATAGAAGCTTGATTCTCTTTGGCAGCAACATGCATAACATTGTACCTACATCCTTCCTGAAAGAAAACTACAGATTCTGAGCTTCATTTTTGTCAACCACAGTCTTTTGATGCTAACAATGCTGGAAGCAGGCTTACCTGCACGATGGTTGGATTGTCCCCTGAACCAATGAGATACCGGGGATTACTCCAGGTGAGATTGGAAAAGGTGTCGTCTTCTCCCTTCTCCACAGCTTTTCGAAGTTTGGCAGTGAGATCTTGAGTACGGGGGGTTTTGTAACTGTTGGCACGTTCTCTGTTTACAGTTTCTGACTCAGACAAGTACAAACCATCTGTCATTAGAAGATAGAATTTAAGAACATTTAACTTCACAAACATTTTCTCATCACCCACTGTGTGCTATATGAGGGCAACAAAAATCTTTCCCACAGAGCTTATATCCTAGTTGGGATTAACAAGTAAGCATCAATTAGCATATATAGCAGAAGGGCCTGTGTTCAAGCCAACAACATGGCACAAACATACCACTACGGCAAAAGTCCAAGAGCAAAAGGACCTCACTGGACTCTAGCTGCAAAAGGCTTCGTGAAGAGGGATGAGGGCACACCAGCAGCACCCGTACAAGAACTTCCACGAGCAGAGTTCCCATAAAGGCAGAGTGGAGCAGATGATTTTTTTTGTTGTTGTTTAATTACAACCACCTGGGGAAGTCTGAAAGCAATCTCTAGAGGAATATTTTCACAAACTGTAAAGAGGGAAACCTGTAACTGTTCAAAATCACTCTGATTCCTCCCTAAGAAACACCTATGCAGGGCCAAGTAAGGAAACAGAAAAGCAAGCAGATGAGGTTTTTGACTAAAGGCCTTATGTCCACAAGGAAAAGGTGCCTTCCCGGGAGCCCTAGTCAGCCAGGGAAACAGGACAGCTGTGAGCTCCTGGAGGGGACAAGACAGAGCTGGGCCAAAGTTAGACACTGCTAGGGTTCTGCACAGTGCTAAAAAGAGTTCTCAGAAGACCCTGCTCTGGAGCCAGAGTGAGTATGGCCAGATCTCTGACTGGACAGGTCCTACAGGTGAGCTCAACTTTTGCAGGATTATCCGGGTCAAAGCAGATGGCACAGTCCTACAAGTAAGTATAGGCAAGTCTCAGTGCCTAACAAAGCCCCTGACTCCCACGGGCATCAAGGAGAGAGGGAAACAAAGGGAGCAAAACAAAAGGGCCAACTGTGGCCCCTCTGCTGCTTCTCCTTGGCCTTGTCCAAGGAGGACAGGGCCTGGAGCCAATGCCTGGCCCACTGCCTCTATCCTCAGGGTCATCTCCAGACCAGGTGGCTGACCCATTATCCATGGCCTGGGCCTTAGCTCTCTACTTCCTAGCAAACTGAACTTCTCAAAGGAGAAAACCAATGACAATACATGGGGAAGAAAGCACGAAACACCTGGGGCCCACCTAATAGTAACACCAAGAAGTGAGCTGCTACATAATTTACCTTTCAGTCCACCACTGCTAATGAGTGGTGCTATTTTCACAGGAGAAAGTGGTAAAGAGGCTTTGTTTGGAGAAGGAAAATAATCACAAATTCCTCTAGCAAATTTCTCAGCATCTTCTCTAGTTGAAAAACCTTTAAATCGAGATCCTTTGATCATTTTGACAGCTTGCAATGCATCCTTTCTATCCTCATAAACATGAATCCTTTCTGCATGGAAAAAGTAATAGGAAAATTAGAGAGGAATAATCGGAGTCACTATCACAGAGTTCACACCTGAAGGCCCCGGGTTTCATAACAAACAACTGTTACTCAGTTTTTCTCTCATAGTTCAGATTTTTCCCTTAAGATTTGTTTCTAAAGATTTATTTATGTATGAGAGAGAGAGAGAGAGGGAGAAACGCAAGCAGGGAGAGGGGCACAGGACAAGGGAGAAGCAGATTCCCCAATGAGCAGTGAACCCAAGACAGGACTCAATCCCAGGACCCTGAGGATCATGACCTGAGCTGAAGGCAAACACTTAATTGACTGAGCCACCTAGGCATCCGTTAGACTTATTTTTTAAAATCAGCTCTACATGGGACTTGAGATCGAGTTGCCTACTCCACTGAATGAGCCAGCCAGGTGCCCCAATATTTCAGATTTTTAATCTTGAAGAAAAGGGGCCTTAGCTGGTCAAAAGAACACAATAAGCTTGATCATATGTATGGGCTTGGATATAAAGATGTGTATTCTGTACACATATGTAACATATCTAAGGATACTATTTATTTTTTTAAGATTTTATTTATTCATGAGAGACAGAGACACAGGCAGAGGGAGAAGCAGGCTCCTTGAGGGGAGCCCAATGCAGGACTCAATCCCCAGTCTGGGGATCACACCCTGAGCCAAAGGCAGACACTCAACCGCTGATCCACCCAGGCTCTGAGCTGCCAGGTAAGGAAGCTCCCTCACCCCCAACTCAATTCTGCCTAGATTGGCTCCTATGTTCCTTCACATCATAGATAGTCGCTTTGCATTGTGTTCTTGGTGCATGTCTGCCTCAGCAGGCAAAACCTGGGGAGACAGGCTGTGTAGGGGCTGTGCTTTTTTTTTTTTGACTTTTTTTTTTAAAGGTTTTATTTATTTATTCATGAGACACAGAGAGAGAGAGGCACAGACAGAAGGAGCAGCAGGCTCCATGCAGAGAGCCTGATGTGGGACTCGATCCCAGGACTTCGGGATCACTCCCTGAGCTGAAGGCAGACGCTTAACTGCTGAGCCACCCAGGCATCCCAAAAATGCATACCTTCTGACCCAACACTTCTACTTACCATTTTGTGAAAATAAAAATAAGGTACATTTTTATATAGAGATCTATGTTACTTTTAAATGAAAATATACCAAAAATAAAAATCTGAATTCAAATACATATATATAAATAAAACATAGGCGAGTCAGGAATAATGCACAAAAGCAGTTATAAAGTGGTTAATCCTAGTGACTTACGATTTGGATGTGGAGGAAGAAAGAAATTTAACTTTTACAATATTTGTTTTTATAAAAAGCAACTTTTAGGGGGATCCCTGGGTGGCTCAGTGGTTTAGTGCCACCTTCAGCCCAGGGCGTGATCCTGGAGTCCCGGGATTGAGTCCCCGTCGGGCTCCCTACATGGAGCCTGCTTCTCCCTCTGCCTGTGTCTCTGCCTCTCTCTCCTTCTCTGTGTGTATCTCATCAATAAATAAAATATTTAAAAATAATAATAATAAATAAAAAGCAACTTTTATAATAAAGATTAAAAATAAATAGAAATTGCATCATGACCATTTCCAGTGTCAACATTCTTTAAAAAATTCTTATGGTTGAATAATATTCCATTCTACTCATGGTACATAATATGTCTAACAAATCTCCTATTTTGGGGTACTCCCACAAACGGTATCACAATAATGATAGTCTATAATTTCTGACATTCTAATCAATATCAAGCTTTCATTAACTCTTTCCAGTGCTATCTACTTTAGTCTTCTTTAAAACTGCAATTCTAGGGGCACCTGGGTGGCTCAGTCAGTTAAGCATCTGACTTCAGCTCAGGTCATGATCCTGGGGTCCTGGGACCAAGCCCCAGTTGGGCTTCCTGCTCAGCATGGAGCCTGCTTTTCTTTCTCCCTCTGTCCCTCCCTCTGTTCGTGCTCACTTATGCATGCTATCTTCCTCTCTCAAAGTCTTTTTTTTTTTAATTGCAAATCTTTGATGTTGAAAACTACTTATAACTGTACTAGCCATTTACATTAAAAGGTATTCAGATTATGCTGAAAAAAAAAAGGGAAAAATTTATCAGCAAATGGTAGCTAGTCAAAACCTATTTGTAAATGTAGCATGTCTCAAAGAATCCAATTTTCTTCATTTTTAAAAATTCACATATACAGGCAACCCTCTCGGGTCCCCCTCGCTCTTTGGGAGCTTTGTACTATGGCTCAATAAACTTCATTTTGCTGCCTATCAAATTAACTAAAATAAAATAAAAATTGTAGGGACACCTGGGTGACTCAGCCATTTAGCGCCTGCCTTCAGACCAGGGCATGATCCTGGAGTCCTGGGATCGAATCCCACATCGGGCTCCCTGCATAAAGGCTGCTTCTCCCTCTGCCTGTGTCTCTGTCTCTCTCTCTCTCTCTCTCTCTGTCTCTCATGAATAAATATAAAATCTTTACAAAATAAAATAAAATAAAAAATTTTTAAATGAAAATTCACATACACATTTACAAACAATTCAGCAGGGATCCCTGGGTGGCGCAGTGGTTTGGTGCCTGCCTTTGGCCCAGGGCGCGATCCTGGAGACCCGGGATCGAATCCCACGTCAGGCTCCCGGTGCATGGAGCCTGCTTCTCCCTCTGCCTGTGTCTCTGCCTCTCTCTCTCTGTGTGTGACTATCATAAATAAATTAAAAAAAAAAAAAAAAAAAAAACAATTCAGCAGAGTTCTACCTAAAAATGCTAACAGTGGGGCACCTTGGCAGCTCAGTGGTTGAGCATCTGCCTTTGGCCCAGGTCATGATACTGGGGTCCTGGAATTGAGTCCCACATCGGGCTCCCCACAGGGAACCTGTGTCTCCCTCTGCCTGTGTCTCTGCCCCTCTCTCTGGGTCTCTCATGAATAAATAAATTCTTTTAAAAAAAATGCTAACAGTGTCTCACTTGGTAAAATTATGGCGATTAAATTTTCTCTGTGGTTCAAGATTTTCAACATCACATTCCCCTGCTGTCCATCTACCATCTGTGTAAGAAACACCAGATGTGGGGCATCTGGATGGCTCAGTCAGTTGAGCATCTGCCTTTGGTTTGGGTCACTGATCTCAGGGTCCTGGGATGGTGCTCAGCAGGGGCCTCCCCACTCAGCAGGGAGTCTCCCCACTCAGCAGGGAGTCTGCTCCCCACATGGGTCTCCCCACTCAGCAGGGAGTCTGCTTCTCCTTCTTCTCCCCACTGATGCTCTCTCTCTCTCTCTCAAATAAATAAATAAAATCACTTAAAAAGAAAGAAATACCAGATGCTTGTTACATTACCATTTCTCGCTGGGATGTCCTCATATGCTGGGCACACCCCATAGTACAGAGGCTGCTCCACAGAGGCCCTCACCATGGCTTTGTGGCCACTGACCCCAGAGGTGGCACTGAAGGGCATGGAGCAGGTCTTAGATGCCATGACATCTTCTTCTGGAGGATTCAAGCCCACGCTATAACCAAAATCTCTGTCTTCAGACAAGCCAACCTGCTCAGCCTGGCTTCCTACAGTAGCAGACTTCAAAACCCTTTGTGCATCCTTGCTTAGAGTGGTGGCATCTGAGGTGTCAAGGCCAGGAGGATATGAAGGCAGTGTTCTTCCATGTTCTAATAAAGCCTGAGCCAATTTTTTCTCAAAAATGAACCTTGTGGTTGAGGTAATGGGTCCACATTTCAATCCGGCTTTCACAATTTCTTCTCTAAGGTCATCGGGATTCAGAAGTTTCAGTCGTGCCAAGATGGCATCCATTGTCATTTCACCTAGGCTCAAGAAAACAAAAATCAATCTGATGGCTAAAAGTACATCATCTCTCATTAAAAAACAAAACAAAACAGAAAAATATCCAGCAGTAGCAAAAAAGCTGGCTTCAGTTTCATTTCAATCCAGTTCCTCCTTATTTTTTGTAGTCTTTGAGCCCTCCATGAGAACTTTCTGAAGTTTCCTGTTTCAAAATTAATAAACTAAAAAAAAAAAAAATTAAGCAGTTTCTGGTTCATTTGGATAAGAATGTCAGAACCTGCTGCTATTACATGATATACTAACATTCCAAGAAGGTAAGCACCCTGGGGAAATAAGCAAGCTCATTTTCTCTAGAGTGTAAGTGGGGCAAACCCAAGGAAGGCAACTGAACAATATCCATCAGAAATCCAACTCCAGAAACAGACCCTACAAATATATTTGTACTTTATTCCATAAAAAAAGGGAAATTTATTTATGCAAAGATTTAACCAGAGGAGCCACAGAGATAGCTCTGGCAGTCACTCTGCTAATACTGGTAACAAGTAGCTCATGTTTAACGTTTTGGGAGGGTCTTTCCACGTGCCTAGCTCTAGTGTAAGTGCACTACACCGCTAAGTATTTAATGGTCATAATTCTTCTGTGTGGCAGGTATCATTACTGTTCACCCCCCACTTTACAGATCACAGAGACACTAAGTAACTTGTTCAGGTTACACAGCAGCCCAACAAGTGGATGTGAACTGAACAAGGGTTTTAATGGAGACCTTTGGAGAAAGAGCAGGTAAACCTATGGATTATAGGCTTAAGCATGGTCAGCAAGAATTGGGAAGAAGGTAAGAAATAACAGGGGTGGAAACAAGGGCTCAGATTAGAAAAACTGGAGGTCTTAAGGACAGATGGACCAGATGCCATGGGGAGGGGTTTGAGGTATTGCAGTCAGCCTAAGATAACAGCCAGATTTCCAGTCTAGTTGCTTATGAGTAACTTCACCTGAGATAGAGAATGCTAGAGAGAGAAAGATGGAGACCTAGGCACTGAGCATCAGAATCACGTTACTGCCACCAACTGGGCATTTCAGTTTTCAAGTCCAAGATTTACAAGTTCAGAGTGAATAACAGGTCTGGGAGTCATAAGCGCATAGATGGGTGATTTTAACACCAATAATACACCAGGTATAACAAGGAACAAATACAAAGAATTAAAAGAAGAAACAGAGAAACTTCTAGAAGGGATGAAAAAACAATTACACACGGTAATCAATAAAACCAAAGAGTAGAGTTTTAAAAGACGTATTTGCAAATGAAATGATGGGACATCCAAGATTAACTTTAAGTTACTCTAGGGGCACCCAAGTGGCTCAATTGGTTAAGTTTCTAAATCTTGATTTTGGCTCAGGTCATGATCTTGGGGTCATGAGATGGAGTCCTATGTAGGGCTCTGACCTCAGCAGCAGTCTGGTTGAGATTCTCTCTAAAACAAATAAATCAATCTTTAATTAAAAAAAAAAATACACACACACACGTATGTATTTTAAAGGTTTAACCAGAGGAGGTGTATGTATATGTGTGTGTGTGTATATATATCTATCAGGAGAGCTGGGGAAGGAGCAATGACAAATAAAATAAGATTCACAAAATATTAATACCTTTCATAGCCAGGCGATGACTACAAGCAAGGAATTCATTATATTACCCTATTTCTGCATATTTTTTTATTTTTACTTTTTTTTAAAAGTAAACTCCATACTCAGCATGGAGAGCTCAATGCAGCGCTTAAACTCATGATCTTGAGATCAAGACCTCGGCTGAAATTAAGAGTCAGAGCTCAACTGACTAAGCCACCCAGATGCCCCTGTGTATTGTCTTTCTAAGCTTTTAATGCCACCACCCCTTCCCAATTCCAAGATTTCAAAAATGGCTGTTACTTATTTGCAAAGAGGATATTATCCTTTTAAACAATGAATGTACTGCACAGTCCCAAAAACCTGCCAAAGATTTTGAAGGGGGGCAGCCTACTGATCACAGGATTCTACCCAGGGAGGGTACCTAAGTAGATTCCCTTTATACGTGGATATAAGAGCAACAGAGGTGACTCAGTGATAGGAAACTGATATGAAAAGCACAGGAGAGGTAAAAGCCACAAGCAAGGGGGAGGACGCCTGGGTGACTCAGTCGGTTGGGTGTCTGCCCTTGGCTCAGGTCCTGATCCTAGAGTCTGGGGATGGAGTCCCACATCGGGCTCCATGCTCAGTGGGTAGTCGGCTTCTCCCTCTGCCCCTCTCCCTGCTTGCGCTCTTTCAAATAACTAAAATCTTGGAAGAAAAAAAGCCACATGCAAGGGATTGGGACAAGTGGGGGCAGACACTGAATAAACAGAAGAATTGTATCCATTCCTACAAAAGTCTAGTTTTCCCATGTCGTTGCTCTAAAGCTATCTTTCTAACCTGAGCTAGTGTGAAGGGGGTTTTGTCCTTGTATCTAGTCAAACAGTAAGTAGAATAATTACATCACAGAACTAACTGTGTGAACTTGGACAAGTCATGCAAACTCTAAGCTTGTTTCCTCATCTGTAAGATGGATATAACAGCTCTACTTCTTAGGCTGCATTGAAAATTAGATAAAACAGGGCAGCCCTCGTGGCTCAGCGGTTTAGTGCTGTCTTCGGCCCAGGGCCTGATCCTGGAGACCCGGGATCGAGTACCAGGATCAAGTCCCACATCAGCTCCCTGCATGGAACCTGCTTCTCCCTCTGCCTGTGTCTCTGCCTCTCTCTCTCTCTCTGTCTCTCATGAATAAATAAATAAAATCTTAAAAAAAAAAAAAAAGAAGAAGAAAGAAAATTAGATAAAATAATACATGAGAAGTGTGTGCTGCTGTGTTTGACACTGACAAATTATCCCTAACTGTCAGTTCTGGTTACTAAGTTACCAAGTAACACAGGCTTATTAATCTTGCAGAACACATGATATGCTAGAAAGTCAATTTGAATAAAAATAATAATGGGTTTTATTTTATTTATTTATTCATGATAGTCACAAAGAGAGAGACAGAGAGGCGCAGAGACACAGGCAGACGGAGAAGCAGGCTCCATGCACTGGGAGCCCGACGTGGGATTCAATCCCGGGTCTCCAGGATCGTGCCCTGGGCCAAAGGCAGGCGTCAAACCGCTGCGCCACCCAGGGATCCCCTAAAAGTAAGTTTTCGTTTTTCTGGGTTAAATACTCAGGAAAGCAGTGCACAGTTACATTTTTTGAGCAACTGCCAGATTCATTTCAGAGAGGCTGAACCTTTAACCTTTCCACCAGAGACCCAGTAAATGAGAGAGACCCAGTTTCTCAGCATTTCTACCAACAATTTGTGGTATTTTTATTTTAACCACTTTAATGGGCACAACATCTCATTGTAAGTTTTTTTTTTTTTAAGATTTTATTTATTTATTCATGAGAGACAGAGAGAGAGAGAGAGAGAGAGAGAGAGAGAGAGAGGCAGAGACACAGGCAGAGGGAGAAGCAGGCCGGGAGCCTAACGTGGGACTCCTCCCAGGCCCGAGGATCACGCCCTGAGCCAAAGGCAGACGCCCAACTGCTGAGCCACCCAGGCGCCCCTGTAGGTTTAATTTGTATTTCACTCTTGGCTGGTGATGTTGAGCATCTCTTCATATACGCGTATTTGCGTAACATCTTTCTGTAAATTTTTTATGAGTCTAAAGTGACTCCAGAACAGAAAACTTAAAAAGGAAATGTTTAATTAAAAAAAAAAAGTCGGGGGGGGGGGATCCCTGGGTGGCGCAGCGGTTTGGCGCCTGCCTTTGGCCCAGGGCGCGATCCTGGAGACCCGGGATCGAATCCCACGTCGGGCTCCCGGTGCATGGAGCCTGCTTCTCCCTCTGCCTGTGTCTCTGCCTCTCTCTCTCTCTCTCTCTCTCTCTCTGTGACTATCATAAATAAATAAAAAATCAAAAAAAAAAAAAAAAAAAAGACACTCCGAACCTTACTCTCTTAGCTCCATGCTCTACTGGCCACACTCATCACTGGAGCTGTAGCATCTGGGGAACCGGCGCCTTGGTGCCCCGCAGTGACCTGGCACAGGGTGGACGGTGTCCCTGGACAAGTCATGCTACTGCCCCGGGGCGTCCGTCAGCCACAACTTTGTTAAGGGCCTGACAGAAGGTAAGGCCGTCAGGATGGGGGAGAGCTGGGCCGGGGGGAGCGGCCGCTGCGCCCACCGCGTGGTCTCGGCCGGAGCCGGGAGGCCGCGTCGCACCGTCTGGCTCCTGGGCCGCGAGGGCAGGCCAAGGGCAGCAGTGACCCCTACGGACCCTGTTAGCCCTGAGCCTGCCAGGCGGACCCAGCTGGACTCCTCGACTCTGCTCTCCGGGGACAGAATCTCCTCCTACCAGAGCACCTAAGGGCGGATCCTCTCTCCCTCCAGAAGGAAGTCGGACTTTCGCACAAAAGGGCAAAGTAAGCGTGACCGAGAAGGGTCCCGAGGGCGGGCGGCGGGCGGCGGGCGGCGGGCGGCCCAGTCCGTGCTGCACGGGACCCGGCGGCGGACGAGGCCGCGGGGCCCCCGGCGCCTCCGCCGCACACGGGCCCGGCGAACGGAGCTCCGGGCGTCCCCACGGCCTGTTGTTGGGGGCTCCAGGGGGGCTCCAGGGTCTCACGCGAGGCCGGGGAGGGAGAGGGCGGGGGGGAGGGGCGGGGGACGCGAGGATGGGGGAGGGGAGGGGAGGGGGCGAGGGCAGGGGGCGAGGGCAGGCCGGGCCCAGACCCAGCCCAGACCCAGGCCGGGCCCAGGCCAGCGAGCGGGGGCCGCGGGCCGCGGCGGACAGGCCTCACCTGGGGCCGAGGTCGTGGCCGCGCCAGCCAGCGGGGCTGAGGGCCCGCTCGGGGCCAGGCCCTGCGGCCGCTTCTCCAGCCGCCGCACCAGCCAGCGTACCGCGAAGAGCAGCACCGAGGCGCCCAGCAGCTCCCAGGCCAGGGCCGCCCACTCCGCCGCCGCCAGCCGCGGCCACAGCATCGCCGCCGCCCGGCCGCCGCCGCCGCCGCCGCCGCCGCCGAGGACCAGGCCCAGGACCCGCCCGCCTGAGGACCCCGCGGCCCGAGCTGCCCGCGCCGCTGCCTGACGGCGCCGTCCCGGCGGGGGGCGGCGGGGCGCGGCGGGCGCGGGCCCGAGGCTGCTCGTGCGGGAGGGCGGCTCGCGCCCGCGCCCGGCGGCCCGGCGAGGAGCGCGGCCCGGGCCCCAGTCCCCGGCGCCGACGGGCAGCGGAGCGCGTCGTCAGGCAGCGGCGCGGGCAGCTCGGGCCGCGGGGTCCTGGGCGGGCGGGTCCTGGGCCTGGTCCTCGGCGGCGGCGGCGGCGGCGGCGGGCGAAGCTCGGGAGGGACGAGGTCCTGGGGCAGGGCCCGGAGCGGGGCGCACGCGGCTGCCAGGACTCCCCGCACTGGACGCGGGTCTCAAGTATGGATTTTGTGTGCATTTAAAGAGGAAGGTGCCTTGCTGGGGTGGAGTCGCCGCTTCTTGTTTTTGGTTGCGAAGTGTCCTGAAAACAGCATCTGCCCCCAGCAGCAGTGCGGCCCTTTCGGGATTTTACCTGCTGGGTGCGCTCGCGGGGGGGGGGGGGATCCCAAGGGACCCCGAGACAGCGACCTGAGCCCGAACCAAAAACGGGCCCATCGACCCCTCCCCCGCACCTAGGCGCCTCGTGACCGTTTCACGGATGTGTGCGATGGTGGAGGAGACCCCCCGGCTGCGGCCACACTCCCTCCGGGTACCCCGCCTGCCCCCCCCCCCCGACTCCATCTTTGGGTGGTTACTGGATTGCCCGGGCTTCTTCCTTCCTTCCTTCCTTCCTTCCTTCCTTCCTTCCTTCCTTCCTTCCTTCCTTCCTTCCTTCCTTCCTTCCTCCCTCCCTCCCTCCCTCCTTCCCTCCCTTCCCTCCCTCCCCCCTCCCTCCCCTTCCCTCCCTTCCCTCCCTTCCCTCCCTTCCTTCCACCGGGAGCTCCCCTGCTCCCCTCCAGGCCACGGTTAACAGGTTAACACGGGCCAGAGGTTGCTGTGGAGCCCCCACAAGGTAGGGCCTAAGCAGTGTTACATCTGATCTGCCCCCGCAGTCATGAATTCGTCCTACTGATCACTCATCCCAGTGGTTCAGGGAGAGGGGCCTGGGGAGATTGTGAGCTCTGGTAGAGGCTGTGCCCACAGCCAGCCATCCCCCTGCCACTGTGGTGACAGAAGCCCCAGCCGTCACTGCACCTTTGCCTGCCCGCCCGCCTGCCCGCCTGCCCGCCTGCCTGCAAACCACACCCTGCGGCCCAGCGACTGTGTGGCAGCAACCGACAATGGCCTGTGGAGCTGGCAAGCTGCACCCTTGAGCGAGGGCACACAGCAAACCTCCCAAGGGCTCTCCAGTCCACGGGGGAAATGCAGACACGAAATCTGGGCCTGGAGCAGCAGTCCCAGGCCACAGGTGGAAATCACGGATTATGCCAGGAGATAGAAGGCGTTTTTGTTCTCAGCACCACGGAACTGCCCTGATTGCTCCTGTTTTTATGCTTGGGCTATTGATTATATGAAAGAGAAACTTCTCTCATGTAAGCTCCCGACCTTTGGGGCCTCTTCTCTTACAACAGATTCAACCAATATGTTGATCCTAGAGTTTTCTATGGATTCCAGCTAACAGTAGTGATCCTGCTATGGCTGGATCCTCCACACCACCGTCTAGTGTGGGCTACACTTCAAATAAGACTGGGATAATCATGGGGGAAAACCGTTCCAACCTTCAGAACCCAAGGCTGTTCCTCACCGCTATTTACCATTGAAGTACAAGTGGATTTCCAACGAAGGAACAGAAATGAGGCCTATTAAGAACCAATGGTCTTTTCTGAGAGGAGCAGGTTTGGTCTCATTCCTAACTGGTTTCTCCTAACTCCTACCCCTAATCCCTAACTCCATTTCTGATCCAGATCATGAGACCGCCACAGACTGTATCAGTCAATAAATAACAGAGTGAAAAAAATCTAGTTTTCATGTGTCTTGAGTGTCCTTTAACAAAGGAAGGAAAACCTTGTGCAAGTCCAGCCACATACGATGTTACTTGTGTGGGTGCGGGGGAGGGCGTTTAGCCAGTAAAGCAGCCTGTGCCAGGTCATCCTGGCAGGCACAAGGCACAGTCACAGCAGGAAGCAGCAGGGACCCTCAGCAGAGGCACAACGGGGCCCAAAAGGAAGCCTCCCTGGCAGGGGACCCCAGACACAAAGGGTTATTGTAGACAGGGATGTCCCAATCTTTCTGAATTTTAAGAGGTCTTTAATATAGAGTATTTATCCCTAATTCATAAATCTGCTCTATTTGAAGTGTTCTGCCACCATTTCAACACCAAAGTAGCAATGGAGGAAATATCCCAGCTGGTATTTGTTTATACCTCTCTAAAGTCACTGATTTCAAAGAAACCCATTTGCTAAGTGGGATAAACAGTATTGTCCTCTGGCCCCTAATGCCCTATAATCTAGTAGGAGAAACAGGGACTCTCCAGAAATACCTGCAATAAAAGGAAACCATGCAAAATGGCATAAACTTAGTTCCCTGTATGTAAACGTACACAGGGAAGGAGTGCTGGGGGTTGGAGGTTAGGGAAAGTTTTATGAGGGAGTGTCATTAGGTCTGCTTTCCACTCATGGTCATATCCCTTGGGGACAGTCAGTGATGTGCTGGAATCTCCTGGGGAAGCTTCAAGCTTCGCCCGCCCCTCGGACCCCACACCCCTTCCCAGCTCCAGTGACATGTTGGGAGCTTCAGCTCTACCCAATGAGGTTACTGGCACCGAAGAATCATCAAATTCTACAAACCAGGCTTCTCTCTAGAGAGCTGTACTTCTGGACATCATGCATGACAGCCACAAGCACTCAGACACTGTGAGTGAAGGCACAGCAGGGGTGGCACCTGAGTGGCATAGAGCCCTCCTGAGCCCTTACTGGTCAAGCCAGGTCTCCAGAGGCTCGAGAGAACCATGTTTATTATTTTTTATTTCTTGCTCCTATGTCATGCCCACCATCATACTATGGCCATGGTGGGGGGGTGTGTGGCCCACGGTCAGTGCTCTGGCCCAGAAGGGACACATCCTGCAAGCCATCTCACCGGCTCTAATGAGCTGACCTTCCTGCCCCACAACATGCACCTGCTATGTCCCCAGACAGCGGGGGAGGAGGAGTATTGGTAGAGTGCGCCAGTGGTTACCACAGGACTCTGAATGTTGAATGGACTAAGCTGGAGGAGTTGATTTGGGCCACACTGTGTGCTGTGAACTCCAGTGAACGTACACTTCAGACAAATGGTGGAGGCTTGTACAGAGCTGCCTCCGTGGCCAAGCCGGGCTCTGGAGGGGGCACAAAACAGAGACACAGAAAGAGCTGTGGGCAGGGCTGGCCTAGGTGAGGGACAAGAAGGATGTTGTGGATGGCAAACCTTAAGGGTTCAGAGACCAGAGTGACTATGGCTAACATGGAGAAGCCAGTCAAGGGAAGGGGCTGTTTTCTAGATGAAGGGGAGGCATCAGCTTTCAACACACCAAGGTTTAAGAACTAGGAAAATCATTTTGAAATATCCATGAGTCTTTAGAAATGGACATTTAAAGCTCACAAACAGGTGCCTGAGCAGCTAAGTTAGTTAAGCATCCGACTTGATTTCGGCCTAGGTCTGATCGTGATCTCAGGGTTGTGTTTGATGGATCTCAGTGGGAAGTCGGCTTGGGATTGTCTCCCTTCCCTTCACTGTTGCTCTAAAATAAATAAAACTTAAAAAAAAAAAAAAGTTCAAAAACAAAATGAGGCGTCTTGTGAGATACCTGCAAGCTGGCTATCATCTCTGCCTCTGTGTTCAGACCCAGACTATTTGTGAAAAGCACACAGACCGTTTCCTCCAGTAGTTCACAGGTCAGGTGGAGGGCTGAGTGGATAAGAACCTCCAGATGCTTCCCAGAGCCGTTGCCCGGCTGCCATGATCCACACACGTCCAAGCCGGCTGGAAGCACAACGTTAAAGGGTTGTCATGGCGCTGCTTCCCAAGGACCAGCTAGGATGCAAGCAGGGCTTACCCCACACCAAACAGGCAAAAAAAAAAAAAAAAAAAAAAAAAAAAAAAAAAAAAGGAGCAATATGGTTTAATATCTCCTGTTGTTTCCAGGGAAAGATATCGTCAAAGTATACTTTTTTTTATCAGAATCTGCCAGAGTCATTGTCAAATGAGGACATGCATAAAGGCAACCAGAATTCCAGTAAATGCTGCTTCTGGTTTTAGAAAAGTCACTGATTGCTGAGAATTCCTTCTCATTTCACCAACGCTTGGATGTTCTTCCAACAGCTCTTGTGTTTTAGCCATCAAACTGGACGGTAGCAGCATCAACAATCCTACTTGTACTTCCCACATAATCTGCACGAGGTATGAGATTTCTGAGTGACCTGATGATTTCTAAACACCAGGCACGCCTCTGCCGTAAGTCTGGGTCTTTCCCTCAGCACATGTTCCTGCTGCATCTGCCACCTGCTGAGCCAGGACACAGCCACCACAGATCTGTGCTCAGCCCCTCCTGAACACCCACTGCACCACCGCAGAAGGTGCAGCATGCTTATAAAGTAAACTCATCAGTGCGTTAGTCTGGTGCTTGCAAATGTTAGCAACTTTACAGGCAAAGGAAAAAGTTCAGGGACACAGAATCATTCCTTTCCTGATTAGAGGAAAAAAGATTGCATCCTCACCATTTCAGGGAGTCAGCACCACAAAAGGTGGCAGTCAGGAATCTCCACTGAAGCTGTGTAGTGTGTGTTACCTAACCCTTAGCTATGGAAGTTGATAAAGTGGAGTCCTAGGAAAGAAATATAAATCCTGGCACAAAACCACATTCTGTGATCACTAGTTTACTTCTTTTCTGTGCAGTTTTATCATATTGGTCATTAATGAGAATACTTAGCCAAAGGCTTTCCACATCCAGGGAAACTAGGCCATACCATACCACCACTGAGACTGAGAGAAGTGTTTATGGTCCAGCTGCCATTGGCTGTGACATTCATGGGGCGAGTGAAGGAGGCAGCACCCCAGGACAAGGACTGCCCAGGGACATGCCCACAGCCTCCCTTTCTCTTGGTCTACTCAGCTGGACGTCGCTCCTTTGTACCCACCTGCATGTGGCAGCAGGGGTGGCATGGGTGGCTAAGGCGCTGCCACTCTGCTGCTGCACTCTAAAGGCAGCACAAGTTAGCCCATCTGAATCTTGTAACAGAACAGCAAGATGCTCTTTTAAGACAGGTACTTAAATAATTTATAACAACACAAGATAAAAGTTACTTCCAAATATGGTAAAATATAAGTATTAAAATAAGGCCCCCGATAAAGTATGAAAATCTTTAACAAAAAATAGTTTATTGCACAAAATTTAAGGAATTCCCCAGCACACTTAAATTTATAAAAAATCAACATGCTTTTTAAAGTTACAATTCGTTGTGCATGGTGACACCTTTCCCCTAATAGCCCCAACCTGAGGACTCCTTTCATGAGGAAATTTTTAACAGAAATGACTTAACGTAAAGCCGCCAAGTTTTCTAGACCCTCTACAAAATTACCCTCAAGGATCCTATTATAACCTGAGACCACCACACAATCAGACTTGCCTGAAACGTGGAGTCAGTGAACTTGAGTAAGGCTCAGGACATCTCACACATCACAGGGCCCCTGAGGGAGGCTCCAGGACATTTGTCTTTCAGATACACTGGCCCCTTCCACTACTAGAAATCTTTACACAGGACATTTCTATTTAAGAAGTTACTCATAGGAGTAGGAATATATGCCATGGCTTCTGCAGTATCCCTACACCAAGAAAAGTCTTTAAACTGAGAAAGAGCATAATGAATCAAAGAATCTTCCAGCAAGTCCGTATGATTACCTGGACCCCAGGGCAGTTTCACATCCTATCAAAATCTTGCCGGTTATACCTTCCAAACAGAACAAAACCATATAAATCCCTAAGATCTGTGGCATCTATTCAATGTGTTCCATGGAAAAATCAGTGATAACCACACTGCAATAAGCTTTTTTTTTAAACATAAGAAAAACAGAAATGACATTATCAAGGGTCCGAGCCAACATCTTCTGCAGTGGGGACATGACATATAGTATACATCACACAGAATGAGTAATATACAGAAACATAATGTAGCAGAAAGCCTGTTCTTACATATACTGCAGACTGGACTGCCGTTTCCTATGAGTAAATTCCAAATTCCTACTTCTACCCACAACAGAATATTACAAACGATATTCACTGCAGAATGTAGCCCTGGGAAGTAAAAGTGCCAAGCAAGTCCCTTGGAGATTTAAACAAACAAACAAACAAACAAACAAACAAACAAAAACCCTCAACAAATCAGAAGCAGGTGATTTCAAAGTCCAGCTTCCTTCTTCAGATGACTTGTTAAGGAAGCCTAAAAGTGGCGTCAGCTTGAACAAAAGGGCCCCCAGTCAGGAGCTGCAGGCCACCCAGGACACATTGCAGTGGGTGGGGACAGCCAGGAACTCAGATCTAAGGCAGGCTGGGTGCTCACAGAGCTGAAACACGGGGTGACAACGAAGGTGGCACAGGAGATGTCAGGAAAGCAGGGAGTGCTGCTCCTGCAGGCCCTCACACGCACACCCACACACACACACACAAAGGCGCACACATACACACACGTGCACACACACAGCCGCACACGTACAGACACACATACACAGACACGCACGTGCACAAAAAGATGTGCACACAGGCATGCACACCCATACAGCAGATAGGTAAGACACGAGGGAAACAAAGTGAGGAACAGAAACTTGCTTTCACTTGAGGATGATTCAGAATCTGTTTTACCCCTTCCTAAGGAGAAATGCACAGTGACCGGCTTTCACTGGGAGACCTTCAATGAGCAGCAGCGAGGAAGCAGCCACAGCCTGAGGCTGAGTGTCACGTCTTGGTTTTAAAATTAAAACTGAAGATAAAACACCCAAAATAAATAAGAATGTAAATTATGATTTTTCTTCTCTAATGGTACAAAAACAACTTTGTCAAAAACAATTTCCAACTTTTAAGGTGAAAAATAGGCTATATTTATAATGATGTCTTCAAGTATTATTTCAAAATTAACCCTGTACAAGTGATATACATATTTCAGAAGTTTCAATACTTGCTAGGGAATTTTTTTTAAATAGGAAGCATCTTTGTAGTTAATGCTACTTTATCAATTAACCTTCTAATAGCATAAGAGAACACAAATAGCTTAAAAATACCAAACCATTTTCTCCACAAAAGAGGCATAAGTAATAAGTCGATACAAGCATATATGGCCTGATCAGTAACACTTCCAACTTCATCTTCAGACCAGCAGATCTGCACCTGGGGGTTTCTCTTCACTAACTCACAACAGTAACTATCAGCTTCCATTTCTTTGCCAAGTAGGGGACAAAGTTACAGACCTCAAGGGTCAGAGCCAGTCAATTACTGCAGACGAGGAAAGGTACGGTACGCACTCAGAGAGCCTGCTTCCTCCAGGGGAGCTTGGGAGGCCTCTGCCGCCTTCTCACAGAGCTGACCTATCCCTTCTAGAAACCCCTCCAGATGAGAGGTTACAGGAACTTCTGTCACCGCAAAGAGTTCAGCATGCCCACACACAGGCAGGCCCTGGTGGACGTCTTCATGTGGGCACAGGGGGAAGAGGAGTGGGGGGGCAGAAGGGGAGGCCTGGAGAAGCTGTGCTGCCTGGCTTGGAGCCCTGCGGAGCCTGGTCCTCTCTCCCCTCCAGTCCTCTGACCCCTCCCCAAGCATCTCACACATCAGGCCAGTGCACAGCAATTGGCAATCAATCGGCAATCGGGGGTCAGCCAAGGTGAGAGACACGGTGCAGGGCCAAGGGTCAAGTGGAGATGGGGGGGGGGGTGTGCACTCAGGACAAGGCTCTCAAAAATAAAGTGAAACTAAAACAAAGAACCTTTTTGCTGCAAGAATATTTGGTTTTAGAAGGTACAGTAAATAAAATAATTATATTTCTTAAAATATATTTTTCTGATGACATCCCTAAATCCTACATGTACATTACTTCCTGACAGATTTTCAAAAAGCAATCAATAAAAAGACAATTTAGGTCATTCTTAAATAATATGGACATATACTTTTTAAAGATTAGCTTATGATTTCCTGTATTTATATACACATCCTATAATGAGAGAGCTACTGAAAATAAAATAAAAACCAAAGGTGCAAATAAAGTTTCATTTTGGCAGGGAGGTAAGGCTCTCACTGAATTAGGAAAGAGAAATGGGACCCAGTCATGCAGTTTCCACCGGTGGCCACTGGTTAGCGTCACCCTCAGAGCAGCATCTACAATCACTCAACAGAGACCTTCTGCAAGTAACCCTTCAGAAACATTCAAAAACTTCTCGCTGAGATCTAAACTAGGCTGTCAGCATTTGGTCATTTCATGGGAAAAGCTAGCTGTGATTTGCAAATGACTATTTCTCTAACCCTTGGCTCTTGCTCTTTTACTCCTTGTAAAGGCAGATGCAAAATTTAAACTTCATCTCTTAGAAAAACACAGAACAGTCAAATAAATAATATTGATAAAAGAATATTCCTTTGGGTAGTTACAAGCACTCGGAGTGGGGGTGCTCGGTGCTCACTGTTCCAAGCACCTCTCTGGAGACCCTGCACTGACTGTGTTGCTCTGTATCTCCCCTGGGGTTGGCGTGATCTCCCAGGGGAGCAGCGCTGGCGGTGGGATCCCCCTGAGTCCACGAGGACAGTGACTCGTGCACTGTGACGGTGTGTGCCTCCATCTGGCGCTGCAAGCTGTCCATCTCCTGCCTAGGTAGACGGGAAGCAAAGGAAGGAAGGCAGGCCAGTCAAATGAGAGCCAAAAATGAGGCTATTACTTCCCCCAAAGACAACTGGTCATCTCCAATATGGAACCTGATAAGCGTGGCCCGGACAGCAGTCTGCTCATGCATCTGCAACCCCTTCCGGGGTGGACATTTGGGAAGCAACACCGATGGGGTCACAGTGTTTATGGGGCTCAGCACTTTTCTCTGTGCATGTGCAGAGGCCAATAGGCCACACAGGGCATGTACTGCGAACACTGGCCTCTGGCTGGTGGGAGCAAAACCTCCTGCTCTGTGGCCCCTAAGGGTCACTTAATGTCTAGGCACCCCTCCCAGTAAGAGCGGCCGAGGGCCCAGGGACCCCAGGCAGCAAAGACCTGACCAGCCTCTGCGGGGCACACAGAGCTGGTAATAGCAGTCTTCCAAGTTAAACATGCAATCTATTTTTAAAGACCAATGAGGCACAACACAGAACATGGTTCCTACTTCAGCTGCTGGAGACAACTATTGAGGTTCTTGAGAGGTTCCTTGCTCACAGCAGGCGGGGGCCTTAGCAGCTCCTCCAGTAGCGAGGCTGGGACAGGGCAGTCAGGAATCTTCACTGGTGTCACGGGGCCGGAAGAGCTGGTTTCGCCTTTCAGCTCCTTTCTCTGTTTTTAAGAGCACATGGTTAGCGCTCTCAAGTAGAGGCTGACCCCAACCACACCTTCCCCTAATCATGTTCCTAGCTTAGTGGGGTCCCTCCAGGAAGGCATGCCCCCCTGCTTCCAGGCTAGCAGAGCTGACAGCTATGGGGTGCAGGGAATGCTGGCTTAGTAGGTAAACTTCTCCCTAACACACATGACCATGCACGACACAATGTGGTGCTGGCTCCTTAGGATAGGTCTAAATCACAAACGAGAACACCCCTGTGGAGGTTTTTCATGGAAGACCGTGGCCTTGATCCCATGTATCCCCAAGAAATTAAGTCAACTCCCCTTTCTAGAACTTCAAACTTTTTCCACAGAAAGGCATACAGTGCTAAATAAACCTCTAAGTCTGAGTGATTTCTTTGCACCTGGAAAATATTTATGTAGACCAAACGGACAAATGAATGCCACCTACGTAGAGGGTCTGAGTGGGGCTCCCTGGCCCCCTCAGCCCATCTGGCACCTGCTGGTCTCAACTGGCAATGATGCCCTCACATAATTTATAAGGCATATTACAATAAAATGGTACCTGAATTCATAAAAAGAAGCAAAATGCTCTTGGAAAAGGCACCAAAATATAAAAATGATTTGGCCTGTTGCCAAGTAGAAGACTCCAGCATCATTTATTTCACATAGTAGTTGCTCAATGTTGGCCAAATAGAACTTCATGTCCGAATAACTACAAGGTCTCCCAATACCTGCCCCACCTGACAGGGGCACCCAGACCGAGTACCATCTTGGTCGTGCCACGCCGCAGGTCCAGCCTGAGCTGCTGGTTTTGCTGGAGCACAGTCTTCATGTTGTTCTTCAGTTCTGACACTTTAGCTTGAAGCATGAATTTATCTTTCTGCGTCAGAGACAGATCTTCCCGTACCATCTCCAACTCAGCTTTCATATTCTAAAGAAAGGGAAGTCATACATTTTTAAAGACTAAGAGATCTCACACATACTGCTAAGATCTTAGTTTGTATGTCACAAGTCTAAGGAGCTAGAAATTAACACCGACTTTTATATGATGCTGTACGCAGTGCTACTACACCAGCATATTTCCTCCCTGTGGTCTGGGTTGGGCAGCATCCTGCTACAGTAATGTCCTCAACGTTCTTACCCAAATTTCAGAGCCTCTGTTTAGGAACCAGCAATATTCCCATGTCCACTGTCTACAATGGACCCCAAGAGTCAGCTGCTTAAATTCCAAGGTCTGCTACTGGAAAAAACCTTGCCATTAGGAAGAAAATATAAATCAATCCTAATTGTTATTACTCAAGCCAGCCATTCACAAGTAGAAATCCTGGCAAGAGCTCTACTCCCGATCCTTTGCGCAAGTGATCAAGTCTGCACGTAGATTGCTTTGTGGAAAAAAAGTTCATCACAGACTGGTGAACTTTTCACATTTATTTCTCATTATCTGGCTGCATCAGATCCCATTCCTGGTACATTTCATGTAGCTCAGCCCAGAGCATACATTGTGCTGGGGCTTGGCCTCCTTCACCCATGTGACCTGGGCTTCTTTTTGAAACAGATAATGTCTGTGAGATGGTTTGGTAAAGGCATTCAGTTTGCGAGTCACTCATGTTACACACTTGGCGTGCTGTGATCATCAACTAACTTGTGAAGTGCCATCAGTGACTTTTTGCCCCAGGGCCTTTACACAGCACATACCTGCAATAACTGCTGTATTCCATCCAGTTCTTTCTTACTCTGCTGTTCAGTCATGTTCAGCTGCTGCTTCAAGGACTGGAGTTCTCTTTCTTTCTGTTCCACCTCCCATTTGAGATTTTCCATCTAGAAGAGGGAGAAAAATCACATGACCAAAAGAACTTTAAAGTGGCTTTCTTGAACTAAAAAATTGCTCTAGCTGTATCTCTGCATATTGCTTAACATCATACTTGGAAAAAATAAATATCCCTTTCCAAGCAGACAGAGAATGAAGAATTGAGCATGTCAATCAGCAGAGTATAGCTCTGTCAGTCCTATTAACTGGAAATGCAAAGTCTCCGCAGCAGGTCACCTCTTGGTTTCCTATAGGCTGCTTATTTAGCTGCTCGTCCAGCTGCTTCTGCAGGAGCTGGAGCTGGGTCCGGGCCTCCGCCAGCTCTGCCTGGAACTGTACTATTTCCTGGGAATGTTTCTCCTCTTGAATCCTAGCATAAAAAACAAGAAAGCATGAAATCACAGCACCCTTACCCCACCACGAACTGTGCTCAGCTGAACGTTAGCCATCAAGGGCGACAAGAACTCTCATACTGCACACTCTGGGCGGGGACTATTCTAGGAACTCTGTAATACTGTCATAACGAATCCTCATAAGAGCCCCTGGGAAGGACATTTTGCTAGCCCATTTTATGGATTACAGTGGGGAAAAAAGCTCCCAACACACACCCCTGCACATGCCCAAGTAGAGGCCACCCTAACTGGAGGCTGCAGTGAGCCTTGGTGGTGACCCCTGGGACACACACCCCTCACACAGGCTCTGTTCTTGGGGAGGATGGCAGGCACAGAGTGGGAACAGCTATGTCAGGCCAGAAATTTCAGAGTTAAGCTGTGGGCTTCCTGAGACAGGATCTGATGCACTGTCCTCCTTAGATTTGCCTCCAGAGCACCTGGAGGTTTGCTGGAACACAAGTGTTCACAATGTGCTGAAGGTGCTAACTGGAAGACACACGGTGACGGCGCTCCCGCCCACCCACACCAGCCCCAGCGGTGACCCAGCCCTCTGCCTGCCCAGCACTCACTGGAGACCCTCGGCCTCAGCCTGCAGCTTCTGAACCAGCTGCTCCTTGGCCTGCAGTTCCTTCTTCACCTCACTCAGCTCCAAGGTGGCGGCCCTGAAGTGGCGGCGGTTATGTCCTGCTTCCGCCTTGGAGGCAGCAACCTGCAAAGACATAGACCAACATCACCAAGGACAAAGGCAGGAACCAGGCAGAACACACCCTACATGATATCTGCCAGGAGCGCTATCACCAACCCCACCCTCGTCTTAGCTGCTCCTGCAGCTGTTTCTTCCAAAACTTTTCAAGCTCCCAGAGGACTGAAGCCCTAACACACGCTTGGCATGCAGGCACATAACGTACGGCCAGTAGTCCTGCCGACTGAACAAATGCATGCAAGGTTTTCTTGTTCTAAACGGTCCTTATACTCCTCAAATACCTCTGCAGTTCTTGTGAAATCCTGTCATAGTTCATGTTTTGGGGGAGGATGATAGACCCTCCATCATACCAAGTAACGGCAGTAAAGCTACTGACTACTCCCATTTAGGACACCAAAGTTTTCTTATGGTGAACAATAGTTTCTCTCAAGGTTTCTGAGATCAGCAAGTTCTCAAATATAACAAAATCTTCCAATTTCCTTCTCAATAACTTAGTTTTCTTGCCTAATTGCACAAGCATTTAACTTTTTAAAGTTTAATGAAAATATTAATAACATGATAATTGGATATAGGAAAAAAAAACTCTTAAAAGGAAACAAAGCTCCAAAAGATGATGTTAACAGTGGTTTATCACTAGGTGCAAATTCAAGATAATCTGTACTTCAATCTTTATGACTTCTTTTTTTTTTTTTTTTTTTTACTTTTTACTAGCACGTACTATTCATACAATCAAGAGTTGGACGCTTAACCAACTAAGCCACCCAAGTGCCCCACAGTAGCATATTCTTAATGGACCTTAAAACTGTTCTTCTTTAAAAGATTATTTTACTGTCTTACCTCAAAAAAAAAAAAAACTATTTCTATTTTATCACAGAAAAAATTTTAATTAAAAATAACTTTTTTAAAAGATTTTATTTACTTACTCACGAGAGACACAGAAAGAGGCAGAGACATAGGCAAAGGGAGAAGGCGGCTCCACGCAGGGAGCCCGATGTGGGACTTGATTCTGGGACTCCAAGATCACGCCCGGGGCCAAAGGGAGGTATCCCCACGGAAAAATTTTTAAAGGATGTGGCAAAACCCATGCACATGTACTCCTGAACATGTGCACACACTAGACACATTCTGAACATCTCTTCTGTGCCAGGCACTGGGACATGAGGGTCAATGAAGCTTCTGTTCCAGCCATGGAGCTTCTGTTCTAATGATGAATAACAGACAGGGCACCATGGTAGGGATACCTAGGGGCAGCAGTCTATTCTAGCTCACAGGGGCATCCAGGTAGGCCTCTCTGCTGAATACTCACCTGATGCACCAATGAACACCTGAGGACAGAAAGGAGCCAGCCAGGAAAGGCAAAAGGTCCACACAATCTTCTTTCTTAATTGTTCTTTTTAACACTAACGGAGTCACATATTGTTCTCACAGAGTTTGCTTTTTCAACTCAACTCTACAAGTGGGACATTTTTCCCCAGCAAATGTCTCTACAGGGCTCTGTGCATGCATCTTAGGTCCCTATGATTATATCTGGGTTAATCCAAGTCCAATCTTCTTTTGTTTTTTTTTTTTTTAATTTTATTTACTCATGAGAGATACAGAGTGAGAGAAAGAGGCAGAGACACAGGCAGAGGGAGAAGCAGGCCCCATACAGGGAGCCCGACGTGGGACTCGATCCCGGGTCTCCAGGATCACGCCCTGGGCCGCAGGCGGCGCTAAACCGCTGAGCCACCGGAGCTGCCCCCAGGTCCACTCTTCTATGGATGCCCATCCAGCTGCCCACTGTCACCAATGCTGTGATAACATTGCTTTTAGAACACATGACCAAAAATATTCATACAATGAATTCCTGAAAGGGAACTGAAGTGTCAAGGGTACACATACTCAGTTTTTTAGACACTGAAAAATTGCATCCCCACAGGCTCTGAAGTTGTAATTTAGAACTACAGGGAAGTTAGGCACACACCTGTTCCTTGAGGCTGTGCACTTTTGCCTTTTCTCGCTCCAATGCAGCTTGTAAGGTGTGGACGAGCTGCTTCGTCTGGCGGTCCTCCTCCTCTTTCCGCTGCAAGACTGCCTGTACCTATGGCACATTGCCCCAGTGTAAGCGAGGAAAGGCTCAAAGTTCCAAGGTCTGTGGAGCCCCAGGAGAAAGCAGGGCCACTCTGCCAGTGCCACATGGGGAACCTGGCAGCACAGTGGCACACAACTTCATGATGCATCACCAGCAGGTGCACAAGCTGGCGAAGTAGAGAGAATTCTATTTCCAGAAAACATGAGTTTTGAGATCGCAGTAAATTCACATGGCCGTGTTCAAGCACAGAGCAAGGAACCCAGAATATGCCTGTACTCGAGGCTTATAAACACAAGTACTCCATGCTGAGGCAGGAAATGCAGCTGTGAAGCCACCAGGTATGGCAGGGGTGGGGATCAAGGCCAACAAAAAGCTTATAAGTTCTCTACTGGCTGGATAATTTGAGGTGGGGGCTGGATTGGGCTGCTGACTACTACTGGAACATGGCCCTGAAGCACCAGGCCTCCTCCCCGATCTTCAGGGAGGCTGCAGAGCCTGAGCAGCTGAGAACAGGGTCTAGAGAACAAGCCTCGCCAGGGTTCGAATCCCAGCTCTGAATCACATAGGGAAGAGAGCCCCTTAGGAACAGCGGGACCACTGCGAGCAGGAGGACAGAGCACAGTGCCTCCACATGGCAGAGCTGCAAGATGGACCTCACACTTCACCGGACCCTCCGTGTCTCTGGGATGGGGTAGCACTCTCCCTGCAGGTGGTTGGGACAACTGCATGGGGCAACATGAGCCAGACTGAAAGCCACCTGTCCTATAGCAAACCCCCATCTTCCACGAAAGGGGTTTGAATACCTGGAGGTTCAGCTGAACCAGGTCCGCCTCCCTCTTGGCTAAAGCTGTTTCTAAGATGCTGTTGTGTTCCCGCAGAGCCGCGTTGGACTGCCCCAGGCCTGTAAGCTTCCCTCTTTCATGCTCTAACTCAAGGGCCAACTTCTTATTCAACTCCTCAAGGTGCTTTATCTTCCTCCTAAAGCCTCTGGATTCTTGAAGCTGAAACAGATCAAAGTTGCTGTGAATTTACATAATGACCTGTTCTGGCCTCCCCCATGCCAGAAACACAAGGAACCCTAGGCAGCCACAACAGACCACCCCAGAACTGCAGCAGAGGGAGCGCAGCCCCCATCCCTGCAGCCACCAGCTTTCTCCCGGGGAGTCTGGGACCCAGTCGAGAGCCCCCAGTGACATCACCAACTGCCACGTGTAGCATCACCTGAAGCCACAGCCTCTCTGCAAGAATAGGTTTTCTCATTATGTGCAACTAGAGCATTCTGACCAGGGGCGTTTTAACTCTAATACTTTGACAGCCAGCACCTGGAGAGAGCACGGGGGAGCCTCGAAGTTGAGGGGGGTGTCAAGGACCCCGACAAGCGGACAGTGCACACGAACATCGTGCAGCTGTGAGCCACAGGCCAGGTTCTGCCTCTCTCTGCACTTGACAGCCACCTGGGGGCAGAGAGGCCCGCCCACTGTGTGAATACAAAGCTCAGCCCACCTCATCTTCCAGCTCCAGCACCTTCTCCCGGTGTTCCTCCAGCTCCTGGCTGGTCAGTGTGATGATCTCCTGCAGCTCCTTCTCCAGCATCGTCTTACTGTGGTTGACAGCCTGCAGCTCTGCCTCCAGAGCCTGGATTCTCTCCTAACAGCCAGGACAGTAGGTAGATTTGGTCATGGCTTTCAATATGCCAAGTGACAAGCACTCACCTCCCTCCCTCCAGGGCTGCATCGTGTCCACCACATCAGCCTGCTGACCACTCAACAGGCGATGTGCTTCTTACAGTACTTCCCTCCCCTACAGGACTGGCTAACTACCCTAGCCTGCGTGCTTTAGTAACTCACAAAGTAACTGTTCCAGTTAAATGTTTTGAAAATACAGAAAAACTCAGACTTAGAAATAAGAATGACAAATTACTACTTTGGCCAACAGGCTGCACCAGATACAGTATATATTTTTTTTCTTTCTTTCTTTTTTTTTTTTTCAGATACAGTATATCACATGTGCATGTTCATGCTCACGCTCACCACTGTGGTGCAGATAGTACTCCAATCACTTCGTGTGTTTCTTCACTTAGCTATTCTTTTTTTTTTTTTTTAAGTTTTTTTACTTATTTATTCATGAGAGACACGGGCGGGGTGGGGGAGGCAGAGACACAGGCAGAGGGAGAAGGAGGCTCCAGGCGGGACTCAATCCTGGGTCTCCAGGATCAGACTCTGGGCTGAAGGCAACGCTAAACCACTGAGCCACCCAGGCTGCCCTTCACTTAGCTATTCTAAAAAAAGAAGTTCTACTATCTACTCCATTTTCACCTTGTTTTCCTGAGGATTAAGAAGGTTAAGTAAGCTGCCTCAGGCCCCATTTTACAAGTGGTGAAGCACAAAGGAAACCAGGATTTTGGGCCCCAGGCTGCCACGTAGGGAACAGCAGGCTCCACATAGCATTTACGACCTACCCAATACTGTATAATCCAAAGAATTACGAACAACCAGAAAGTATTTTTAGGATGAAGAGAATTGCAACTTCCCTCTCCCACTATTTTATAAAAGAATCAGCTAAAAAAAGTATTTAATTTACTTAATTTGGTAAGGAAACAACATGCTATGATGGCTTCCCATTCAAATTCTTACATGGAGAGATCAAAACAAACTTCATTTAAGAAGAAACATAATCGCTGCATATAGGTGAAACATTAGATAGGAATAAACATAACCAAAATAACGTAGCAGATAAAACTTGACACTAGCCCAAGCCTGCAGGTATGGGACACCCAGGACAGCTTCCAACTCAGTGACACGAGGACACTCAGGGAATTTTGACAGCCTTCACCATGGAACTGAAGATGCCCCGAAAGCCCAGAGCCCCCACCCTGCTGGCCCCATCCTCCATCCTCCTCCAGGATGACATCTGCCCATTTATCCTAAAGAAGAGTCCAGACCAAAAGGCTTCTGCCTCATGATGTAACAGCAAGAAGAGCAGTGCCTGTTCTAGTCTCAGGGTTTGCAGTCATCTCCGTCCCGCTCCGGCCCACACTGACCTTCCCCAATCGGCTCCTGTCAGCAGAACCACCTATAACCACCTCCAACCTGGACACATAGCGCTGCCCCCTCTGCTGGCCCCGGCCTGCCCACCAGCTCACAGCTTTCCCTCCTCAGTGACCACATGCTGTCAGGGACCTGTCCTGTTGGCCACACTGCAGTCTTCACATGGTCCTATCAACTCTCAGCTACTGCAGGAAAGCCCTTGTGGTCTCCCCGCCCCAGCCTCCCCTGGCCCCAGCTGTGCTCAACCACTGCCTCTCAATGTCCCACCATAGAAGAGTGAGATCTCATTCCATCCCATGCCAGTCCCTGCTTGAAGCCTCAACCCTGGCCCACCTGGCCCACCGTGGCCCCTAGCTGCACAGCACAAGGCCTCATGCATGCCCTACAAGGAGCATTCGCCTGCGGAGATGCACCCCACGTACTCTAATGCCTCCTATCTATTCAAGACCACTTCAAAGAGATTTTCTGGACTCTCCAAATACCCCCCCTGGAACTCCCAACATAGGCACTCAGGCTGCTCAGAACACTTTATCGACTCAGGAAATCCCTCCTCAGACGCTGAGGGGATATGGAGAAGGCCAGGAACGGGCAGGGGGGCTAAGGGAGGAGGCTGCGCTGTGCCCTGCGCAGGTGTGCAGGGGTTCATCGAGAGTGTCTGTGCAGCATTCAAGTCCCTGGGTCACGCCACTAGCACACAATACTTTACAGAAATGCTGCCTACCCAGTCCTGCCCCAGGTCTCCAGAGAGCGAACATCTGTCACACATAGAGTCCCCATTACTGAGTCTGCACAACAGGCAGCCTGGCCAGGAACAGACAGGTTACCCACGTGCAGAAGGACGTTGCTGCCTCCGCCAGCCACCTGGGCTCTCAGCTGGCTCAGCTCTGACTCTGCCGACTCCTTGGCTGCGAGGGCCTCCTGCAGGCGGCGGCTAAGAATGCCCACAGCGTTCTCATAAGCCTTATGCTTGGTCTTCATCTCCTTCTGAGCACTGCTCAGGTCTGAGCCCAGCCGCTTCATCCTCTGCTTCTGCTCTGTGATGGCCCTAGGGTGTGGCAGGCAAGACAGAGGAGTCTGAACTCACTTCCAACAAGACGCCCCAGCATCAGCACTGAGGAAGGGCCTTCCTTGCCCACCCCCAGCTCTGCCCTGGGGAGCTGCTGCACCTTCCAGGTCCAATCACCCAGATGGGGTCGGCGTTGGCTGCCCCCACAGAGCCCGGTACTGAGCCTACTTCTGCCCTGCTCCCTTCTCAGAGCTGCTTAAAGGATCTCGTGCAAACAGAGATATCCCTCCAAATGCTTCTAGCACTCTTCTTGAACAGCAGTAATAATCTCAACAACTCAGCTCACAAGTAATCTTCAGCTGACGAAAGCAAAGAAGTGCAGGACACAAGATCCACTGTGAAGGTTCAAGGCCCCAAAAGGCTACCTGGCATATCAGCTCTGCTTGGGGGAGAATGTGGCAATGTACTCACGTGCGTGTACACACACACACACACGGCAGCCAGCAAACCTCGACGGGATCCACTCCCAGCCTTGACTTTGAATTTTTTTTAAATTTTTTTAAAATTTATTTATGATAGTCACAAAGAGAGAGAGAGAGAGGCAGAGACACAGGCAGAGGGAGAAGCAGGCTCCGTGCACCGGGAGCCCGACGTGGGATTCGATCCCGGGTCTCCAGGATCACGCCCTGGGCCAAAGGCAGGCGCCAAACCGCTGCGCCACCCCGGGATCCCCCAGCCTTGACTTTGGAGGCAGACTTCCTTAGCCTCCCATAAGTAGATCCTGTGTTCCTGCTCCCCAGATGGTGTTCAGGGTACCCCTGGCCCTCTGCTGCTGCACATCCCCAACAGAGCTCGAGGCCACCCACGCCCACCCCTCCCACCCGCACACACCTCAAGGTCCGCTTACTTGGTGGCTTCCTGCTGTAGCTCCTCAATCTGCTTCTTGAGCACCTCGTTGGCCTCCGTAAGAGCAACCACCTGCTCTTTATCAAACTGCAAAGACTTCAGAAGGGAAGATAAAGTGAGGACAGCAAAGCCCTCCCTCCACAGCCTGATCCTCAGGACTGTGGCTAAACGGTGCCGTTTCAGGGTCACCCTTGAGCAACAACGGTTCTGGAGATGACCCTGACAGAGATGTCTGCCCTCTGGACAAGCCATCACTTTAGAGGCCCCAAGTGCTGTAGGGACACCCGGGAAAGGCTCTGGCTGCAGCTGCGCCCACCATCCCTGAGGGACACCCTGGGCCCCTCCCAGCACCCGCTGGGTGAACAGCTGACGGCCCCAGCCTCATGCCACTTCCAGAGAGGAACTTGTTCTAGGCTGTCCTCCCCGCCCTCAGCACAATAAACCCCTAGGCACACTTGGCCAAATCTCAGTCAAACACATCTCAGACCTGCAAGTGTGTCTCCATCTCGTTGCGCTCCCTCTGTACCACCTGGAGGTGGCCTTCCAGGTCCACCATCTGCTGACGGATGTGGGACACCTCTTTCTGCAAGCGCACATGTTCCACCTCCGTGGACTTCTTCTCCCCTTGAAGTTTAATTAACTCTTGCCTCAGCTCCTTCAGCTCGGAGTCAAGCCTCTTCTTCGTGGCCTTCAGCTCACCAATGAGCTGGTCTTTGGAGGTGGCATCCCGCCGATAGGCCTCCACCATCACCTGGCCAACAATACACAAGCTGTAGCCAACAGGAGTGCAGGCTCCCAGAAGCTCAGTGGCTTCAACAAAAGTGCTTGCCACTTATCCTTGGCCTAATAGATTTTGGACTACAGATAACCTATTTCACCAAGTCCAGGATACCATCAATGGAAGCACCTGGCAAGTCTGGGTGATGCACACTGTATCACCTGGAGGCCTCACCTTCCCTGGCAGGTGCACTGCCGGCTGCTGCTGGGTCCTCCCCTGCTGGTATCCCAGCAACAAAATCCAGCACCACTTCTAACTCTCCCTCAGGTCAAGCTTCCTCAAACCCATGGCATTGGCCACTTTGTGTTCATTCCCTCCAACAGCCAGCACCAGTTTCTCTAACATAAAATGTGCACCCTGCCCTCTGCATGAACCAGAACTCACCTCAACACCAGATAAGGGTATAATTTTTCAAAGATACATGAACAGAAGTCAGTCTGTATAGTAGCCCGGCACACACTCTCTGACATGACAAAAGGGCAGGATCCACAACACAGATGCCAACCCTACTCTGAAACTGCATCCTCACTTGAGACCTTAAAACGGGGGTGGTGGGGTGATGAGAGCAGAGCTGAGCTCAGCACCTTTAAAAAAACACTGATGGGGTCTAAATGTTGCTTCCCCCTTGACCAGTTTTGTTCTAGAGAAATTATTAAACTACACAGGATTTTTTTTTCACACTTGCCGCACAGAAAGAAAACCAACACTTTTTTTTTTTTTTTTTTTACCTTTTGTTGAAGAAACTGTTCCTTTATTTTCTGTATCTGCTTTTTCAGAGTGGCGGCCTCTTGCTGCAAGTGCTCCACCTACAAAGGACAGACAAGCACAGACACTACACTGAGGCAGCTTGTGCCCAGGCTGAGGCTGACCCTGAGTTAGAACCACCTTCAGGCTTGTAAAGACATGGAGGCCGGCCACCACTGCTGCCTCTCTATTGTTAGGGTCATCGTCTCAGCCACAGTGTAGATACCAGAGACTCCACAACACAGGCAAGACTCCAGTGGGAAAGAGTGCCCCAAATCCCACGTCTCAGCGTTTTTCAGGGGTCAGTGGGTGTCCCTGCACCCCCAAATTCAGCTTCATTCAGGTGGTCCCTGCAATCCCCCTAAGTGACACCCCCACTGCTTCAAGACTTTCCTTTGTGTCCTGAGAAGCAACTGGCCCCAGGGCAGTGTTTGCAAAGGAAACACAGGCTCCCTGTACTTTAATTCCCAGAGAAAAATCTGCTGTTGATTTCCTTGTCCTTGATGCTCAGGGAGGGGGATCTAGAGGCAAATGGTTCCTTGACACTAACTTCACTGCCCGCATCCTGTTTGTTAACGTTTGCCTACATCAGGTCATGTCATGCTGTTAGCGTAACAGCTCCCAGGAGTGTATGTTAGCTCACGTCCGTACATGCCTGGACACTCTGCTATCTCCTGCCCTTACCCATGGGCACACCACCATCTTGCTACATGTCCAGCAGGCCCCACTGCAGGCACACAGCAAGAAAAAAAGTTCCACATAACTTTTCCCACATTTGAGCGCCACGTCCTCTGTGGACAGAAACCGGGGTTTCTTAGTAGACTATTTTCTTTGTTTTTTAAAGATTTATTTAAGATTTTATTTGAGAGAGAGCGTGAGTGCACACACGTGCGCAGTCTAGTGTCACAGGGCAGGGGTGGGGAGGGACGACGACAAGCAGACTCTTCACGAGGAGTAAAGCCTGACATAGGGTTGGACGCGGGGCACTATCCCATGACCCTGAGATCATAACTTGAGCCAAAATCAAGAGGTGGTCGCTCAACCGAGTTACCCAGGTGTCCCTTGGTAGATGACTTTCAATGAGCCAAACAAGACCCGGTTTCCCAGCCCTCAGCATCTACACACCCAGCAACTAGCAGGAAGCACACAGTCTGCTAGTGTGGGTCCCTGCCAAGCCAAGCCCTAGGCCCTGGCCTGGAAGTGCTCTTCCACGTTTATAAAACAAGGTGTTCAAAGAAAGGACCCAACAATCAGCACTGGTCCTTCCTCATGATTTCCACTCATCACAGAATGACAGCAAAATGCATTACCTGGCTGGACTTAACAGCTAGCTCTTGTCTCAACTGCTCTAAAATTTGTGATGTCTCCTCGGTGCCCTCTTCCAAGCGCTTTGCTCCTCTGTCCAGCTCTTCTCTGCCACTCCTGGCTGCCTGCAGAGCCACCTCCAAGACGATCTTCTCATTTTGCAGGAAGCGGATCGTGTCGTCCCTGGAGGCAGCCTCCCCCTGCAGCTCCTCCAGCCGTGCACGCAGCTCGTCGTAATGTACCTGCAGGTCGCCGAGGGACTGCTCCCGGGTCTGCAATGTCTCCTGTGTCGAGGTGAGCTGCCTCAGGAGGTCCAGATGCTCTTGTTGTAAAACCTCAAGCTGCTGGTCTCTCTGTTGCAAAGTCAAATTCACCTGGAAAACAGAACTAGACTCAATGCAACTGCCCTTGAATGAAAACACTACACTGCTCCAAGAGTGTACTTTTCTCCCTGTTCAGGTTGGAGATCATTTGGATGGACGCTTTGGAGGTAGTCTTCTGCACATGAAGCTCTGGTGTAGAAGAATACAAGCAGAAGTCAACACCTGGCCAGCTCCGCAACAGCAGCTGGAGTGATATGACACCATAATGACTTCAACAGACACCCCAACACGAGCACACGCAGTGGGGCCAGCCATGCAAGGAGGGCCGTGTGTGACCCCAAGGTGTCTACATGAGGCCACAGTGGGTACTTGCCTGCTCCAACTGCTGCTCCAGGGAGACAGCCAAGGCCGCCATCTTCTGTAGCTGTTCCTTCTCATCTTCAAACTCCTCCAGCCTCCGCTGCAGGTCCTGCTCCACCATTGCCTTTGCCTCTTGAATCTGCATAAAGGCAGCTTCCTGGTCCAACATGTCGGCCTGAACACAGAAAACAATTTTCTTAAAAAGCAGGATAATCTGACCACCACCACAGCAGACTGAATGGAAAAGCCTGCCACCCTGGTGAGAGGCCCCAATCCACATCACAGTCCTGGTCCTCAACCCACAAACAGAGGAGACAAGGGCCACAGGAGCCTGAGGGTGGTGATCTCTCACTGCCAAAGACAGGCCACACTTCCTGTTCCTCTGCCTATGGTACCCTCTGCTGATCCTTGGGCCTGGCCAAGGGGAGAAGCAAGCAGACAATCCAATTTTAAGGAATGGGATAAAGTGAAGAGCTGCCTCTAATGTGAGGACAGGATATAGTGTGTCCTTGCGTTGGGGATGTGATACTGGGAATGTTCTTGTTCAGTTGGTAAAACCAGAGCAGGGCTGTGAGACAAGCAGAGTATTCCTTACAGTCTGATTATTATGTACATAAGATCTAACACCTAGGTGTGTTTCTCAGGGAAAAATGCTAGTTTATAACTCAAAGTTTTTTTTAGCTCTTTGGTATGGAGCCCTTGAAGATGTCTGTTGTGCCATCATGCTCTTCTGTCACCCTTTTACCGTGAGGAAACACGGGTGTGTGCAGAGAAGCTGGAGACAGGTGAGCAGCCACAGTCCCAGGACGCCGACTTACCACCTCCTCAGAACACAACCACCAGGCTACATGCTGCCCAGATGCCGTGCACCATTCCTTCTCCATTCCCGACAAGCCTGTCGAGTATGTATTATTATCCTCATTTTATAAAGCAAGGGAACAAGGCTCAGAGAGGGTAAGATATTGGATGGGTCTCATGGCTAAGGAGACCAGGTCAAAGCCACTGGGCCTCAGTACCCGGGAAAGAACCTGCAGAGGTAGCTGGCCACGTCCTAACTCTCGCATGTCGTTGCTGGGGTTAAACTGGACACAAGCTGAGAGCACAGAGACAAGAAAATGCTGATTACTGTGAGGCTTTCAGAGATCCAACATGCTGCACTGCTCCTCCCGATGTGTTGTGTCGGCACCTGCCCAACCCTAGCCAAGTGCAGGTGCCCGGGCCCATTCAGATAAGCAGGACACAAGTCAGAACTGCAGTTCAGATCAGACAGAGGAGCTTCCAGTGAACCTCAGGTTGGAATCCCCAACTGTAAATCACTGCCACTTGTCCAAAAGATTTGAAGAGACATTCGAATATATACAGAGAATGCCAATGTTTACGTACATGTGTTTGTAAACTATCCTAACCCTGACCAGTGTCAAAACAGAGCCCTAAGCCCAGGACACCACCACACAGCAGTCCCAGGACAGTGCAGCTCTCACCTCAATGCCCTGGAGCTGGACCGCAATGCGCTCCTTCTCCTTGATGGATCTGTGCTGGGTTTCCGTCAGCTGGTGGGACAGGGACACATTCTCAAGTTTCAGGTGTTCCAGGAGGCCTGCCTGGGTCATCTGTCCAACCTTCAGAAGAGAAAAGTTCCACAAGGTAGAATGTGGCCAGGTTTCACATGCAAGTGCAGATCCGCCTCCCCCTGAGGCCATGAGGGTGAGGGTCCTCACCCTAGGGAAGCTGCTCCCCAGGACCCTGCCACACAGGGCACACTGCCCACCCTCCTGTCGGCCATCTTCCTGTCACCCACCCTGATACCTGGGCCACCTGGGCCATGTGTGCCTGAGAGGGACAGGCTGGCGGCCCAGAGATCAATGGTCCATCCCTCCCAAGACTAAGCATTTTGTAGCAAGAGCTACACAAAAGTTCCCATCGAAGGTATACATGTGAGCTCTCAAAGGTGAGGAGCCTCTTCTGGTAAAGAGACTTCTGTCTGCTTCTGGGACAGCAAGGGCTGTAACCTGCCCCCAAGATGACCTAATACATCTTATTTCCCGGCCCTCTCAGTGTGTGACTGAGATACTCACCAGACTGACCCCGGCCATTCCCAGGAAGCAATCCAGCCCAGGATCAGACCTCAGCCATCACAGACAGGCCTCCTCTGACCCCACTTTTCCTTACACACCACACCAGCCCCAAGAAGAGGCTCAGGAAAGAGAAGCCTGAGGGCAGATGGGTCTGTGATTGGACTTTCCTGCACATCATTTCCAGATCTAATGTGAACACTTCTTGACTTGTGAGTTGCCATATGTGCCCAGAAGCTGTGAACTTTGTAGTCTACATAGAAACTACCCAGAGGGGGAAAAAAAGCTACCCAGAGCAGGAGAAAGCGCCATTTGCAGGGATTGTGTTCTAAGGCAATGGAAGAAAAAAAGACCACCCTGCTCTGTCCTGCCTCCTGAACGAGTTACCAGGAAATGAGGAAGTGTCTTCATTACTCTATTCAGGAATGCTGATTCTGGGATCCAGAGGTATCTGAGAAAAGCAGTTATGGCTCTCAGACTCCACTGCCCGGTGCCTTTCCTCCACTTCTATCTTATGTCAAGACACATAAATGCAGCTTCTTTAAATATTTTATGCCTTGTCTAAATGCACTGTTGCTTTAAGCTTTCATTAACTTGCACAGCAATTTCTAAGTACGCTGTAAGGATAAATGTTTATCTGTATGATCCTTTGGCTTAAAACATATGTAACACAAATTTAACAGTATTTCTACTTTGTGTATTTGTACACTTTAAGATTTTTTTTTTTTTATTTCTTAAAAAGAGCTTTCGGTGGAGTTAATATTTTACATCTTCTATGTAAGAAATAAAGTTTTAGGGACCCCTGGGTGGCTCAGCGGTTGGGCGCCTGCCTTCAGCTCAGGTCCTGATCCCGGTATCCAGGATCGGGTCCCACATCGGGCTCCCTGCGAGGGGCCTGCTTCTTCCTCTGTGTCTCTGCCTCTCCCTCTGAGTCTGTCTCTCATGAAAAAAAAATAAAGAGGGCAGCCCGGTGGCTCAGCAGTTTAGCGCCACCTTCAGCCCAGGGCCTGATCCTGGAGACCCGGGATCGAGTTCCATGTCGGGCTCCCTGCATGGAGCCTTCTTCTCCCTCTGCCTGTATCTCTGCCTCTCTCTCTGTGTGTGTCTCTCATGAATAAATAAGTAAAATCTGGGAAGGGAGGGAGGGAGGGAGGGAGGGAAGGAAGGAAGTTTTTTTTTAAGATTTTATTTATTTATTTATTTATTCATTCATTCATTCATTCATTCATTCATTCATGAGAGACACACACAGAGAGAGAGAGAGAGAGAGGCAGAGATACAGGCAGAGGGAGAAGCAGGTTCCATGCAGGGAACCCAACGCAGAACTCGATCCCAGGTCTCCAGGATCAGGCCCTGGGCTGAAGGCAGTGCTAAACTGCTGAGCCACCCAGGCTGCCCAAGAAATAAAGTTTTAAATAACTTATAATATTTTTATCTGGACAAAAAAAAGGAAAGGGAGAGAAAACAAAACACGCATAACTGAATTCAAAAAGGAAGAGAAGAAGAAAAAAAAAAAAAGGAAGAGAAGAGAGTGACCGAGGCACCATTCGGCACCCTCTTGATCTAATTAGTCCAAAGCATCAAGATGTTGAGCAAAGTGCACTTTAGCCCCTTGCCTACCATCCCGAGCGCCCCTGGAGCACAGCAGGTCCAAAGGGAGAGGCCTCAGGGAGAAGCGCAGGTGTTACCCCACGGGCCTGGACAGACACAAGCTCCCTAGCTACTTGTGAGGATCAGAGGCTGACATGCCTGCACCCCCAACAAAATGCAGAGAAACAAGGGTGTTCATATGGGAAAGCCGTGCTGACCAAGCAGGTGGAGCAAAGATCCAACCAGGAAGGGGAAACTGGTCCTGGCATATCAGAAACGACCCAGGAAGGCAATGATCGGGGCTTGGGAGCCAGTGTGAAAGTCCTGAGACACAGGCAGACGTGGGTCTGAGAGCTGGGTTCAAACAGTGATCAACACCCCCCAGGGGGGGCTTGTCACAGCTATAGGCACAAGAGCTCCAGAGAGGGGATTTGAGAATTAAAAAGGTGCAAGCAGAAGCTCAAAGACTCATGTCAGAAGGCTATGGAAGGTGGGTGCTCTGTAGGATGGGGTGTCAACTTGATGAGTGGTCAATGGGTTTTTTAAAACTGTATCCGTAAAATCTAAAAACATAGAGACTTTTAAATTTAGGAAACAGGCACCTGCTCTACAGGAGACACACCAGGGCCATACCTGGATGTGGGCCATCTCACCCTGCAGTCTGACCCGGGCCTCCTGGGCCAGGGCGAGCTGCTGCTGGTACCACTGCCTGACATGCTGCAGAGATGAGATCTCGGCTTGGGACGCCTTCAGCTTGCTGCTCAGGGTCGTTCGTTCCAGTTGCACCTGCTGTAGCTGGTTCTGTAGGGCTGTCATCTGTTGCCGCAAGTCATGCACTGAAAGCAATCAAGTAGAGCGGCTCAGAGCACCTGCTGCACCTAGGAGAGCCTGGGGCTCTGCAAGCACACGTCAAGCAGAGTCAGTCTCTCAGCAGAGAGCGAAAAACAAAGCCACCTCTCATTCACATAGCAAAGGCAGGTACTGAACCATGGCCCCTGGGGGAAATACAGGGGTCAACTCATCAATCCAAGCCTCATATCATGTGACTTTATGTATAAAGGCATCGTATTTAATCTATGCTATTGATTCATCATCACTGAACTCATAGCCAACAGCCCCATAACTCAGACCTGAACGAAGCTCACCCAACACACGTATTTCTTTCATAAGACACACTATAGAATTCTTGCACTAAGAGCACAAAACAGTGTTAAAAGCTCATTTTAAACAGCAAAACTACCTAAAAAGCATAAAGATGCAAGGGGGTGACACTAAACCCGTGGAGGGCACCTGCTCAGCGGGAAGGAGTACGCTGGGTGCATGTCCACCTTGCACAGAGTGCACCTGCGGGCAAGTGACTGAGTGTAGTACGGCTTTGGGGCTACAGACAAGTTTGAGTGAGCCAGAGAGTTCACGGTTAGGTATCCACAGATCCTGAGATCAACTGTATGCCCACAAAGCCACTGGGGGTGCTACGGCTTTGGTCCTCAGATGGCCTGAATGGTCTCATGCTGCTGATTCCAAGAAAACACTCTGTTGTGCAGATATGGTCAACTCTTAACACTGATGAGGGCAGAGGGGAGGAAAGGAGGAAGCGGGAAGTCACAACAACCCAGATCACAGTACAAACTAAAATTGCCAAACATTCTAAAATTAAAATTATACTCAACATTTAAGAAAATGCTTATAAATAAATAAATAAGAAAAAAAAGAAAAGAAAAAAGAAAAAGAAAGAGAAAGAAAGAAAGAAAGAAAGAAAGAAAGAAAAGAAGAAAAAGAAAACGCTTACCATTCTAAAGACCATTTCTAAAAATTAACAAAGATGATAGTTTAAGAGGATCCCCAATCCCTTATCAGAAATTCTTGGGGCCACATGTGTTTCAGAGTTCAGAGTGGTGGCGTCCCCAGTCCTGACCACAGCAGACATGCCCTCAGCTCCGAGTGCAGGCCTTCACACCGCACTGCAGCCACATGTGAATGTCGGGCAGCTCTCCGGCCAAACGAGCTCTGGTCAGGTCAGGCCTTGCAACCCAGGCTTAAAAATTATTTTAGTGCTCAGAACGTTTTGTATTTTATAATTTTCTTAAGGGTACTATGAAATGCTCAAAGACAAAAGTCTACAGTTGTGTTTCTTGGCAGAGTGCTTTCTTCTTTCTAGCTGGATAAACGATCTGTGACAGTGGTTTGTCACTTTTTCTTCTATGTCATCACATCTGAAACCTATCTCACAGCCTTCTGCAGTCCTACAGAGCCATGACCTCTGCCGTCCTTACTATTCTGCGAGGGGGCCTCATCTACCCCGCCTGCACTGGACGATCTGAGCCCTGGGCCAACCTTCAATCTCCCTGCCCCACGCTCCTGCCCATCTTCCTCCTGTCAGCCCGCACACAAATGTCGTGAGCAGGCAGCAGTCCTCTGGGCGCCTGGCAGAGTGTGCGGTATGTGCCCCAAGATGAGAAGACAGCGTGAACGATGGGCCACAAGGATTGTCTATGCACAGCCTGCCACCAAATTGCCCGGACATTACTACTCCATAGGTGATGCCCAAAGGGATCCAGCTACAGGAAAAAAATATATATCTTAAGGTAAGGAAAAAAAAAAAAAAAGGTTTACTAATTTACAACAAAAGTGTTGCTTTCAAATATTTTAAATAGAAGGTGCCTGGAAGCTCAATCAGTGAAATATCTGCCTTTGATTCAGGTCATGATCTCAGGGTCCTAGGGTCGAGCCCCACGTCAGGCTCCTGGCTCAGTCTGCTTCTTCCTCTGCCCCTCCCCCTGCTTGCATGCACACTTTCTTTCTCAATCAAATTAATAAGTAAATCTAAATAGATAAATAACTAAAAGTATTTTAAATAGAAACTGCAAATTCTGAGGAATCAGCAGGCAGCTTTAGTCCATGAACAACAACAGATTTGGAAGGCAGAGTAAGTGGAAACATTACCACCAATGATCAAGGGTCCAAAGTCCATTTCTAAGACCTAAGCCCTTCCCCTTAGTTGCATGTGCAAAAACACACAGAATTCCACACACTCAACCAAAAACATTACTTAATTTAGAGAAGCGGACAGCTTGTATATAAAACTGGCAGGGAATACAACCTCTCCCAGCATATTAATATAACAACAGGTCAGGACCCAGAGCAGATGAGATGAACCCCAACCCCGAACTGGGCCACAGCTTGCTGGAAACCTTTGCAAGATTAATGAACAGAAATGCAATGGCTGGGGACAGCTCACCTGTGTTGTCCTTACTGAGGATGTTTCTCTGCATCTCTTCTACTTTGGCCATGAGTCTTTGGTACTGCTCTTCTGCCACCTGTAGATCGCTGTTGGACGACGCCAGACTGGCATTCTTGGCTTCTAGCATGTTCTGCAGGTCATTCATTGCTCGCTCCAGGTCCCAGCAAGACTGCTTCAAGGTGTCCACCTCCGAACTGAGCGAGTCCTGCTTCTGCTGGCTGTTGTGGCTGTGTTCCACCTGCGCCTGCAGCCTCGTATTCAGAGCGGCGAGCTGTGCCTGTAGCTCTGCCTTCTCTTTAAGTGCCTGGAAACATCCCCAATCAGAAATTGGCTTTCAGAAAATGAGTCACTTTCACCCTGTGCATTAAGAGGGCCACAGAACGAACAAGTGAGACATAAAGGGGAAAGCACCATGTTTCCTAAGCTTTCAGCTGCTGATAGTTCCCCCAAAAGAAGGCAGGTTGTCCAAATAGCCAAAGGGGCAGGAGCAGTGACCACAGAGTCTGCCTACCTTCTGCACAGTAGCACCCGAGCTGTGCAAGCACCCGCTCCACCATAAAGTTGTTGGAAAATTATTTGTTCAAAAATCAAGTGCATCAGTGTGCACGTGTGCACACACACAAAGAACAAGTACCAGGAGTGCTGAGGAAACCCCGCAACATGCCTACAGGGAAAGGTGACCTCCTCCTACACCAGAAGGCTTTGAGGGGCTCCAGCCAGGGCACTCACGGCACCACAGGGATGCAGTCTGTACGATAGAGCAGAGAGTGAGAGGGGAGCTGGGGCCTCAACAAGCCCTAGGCCGCATGGCAGCAGAGAACATCCAAGAGATGACAGGGGAAGGACACCTACCCCTTCTGCCATCAGCACCTCCCTCCTTGGCAAAAACGAGTCTATCGGGAGTGTGAACAGGAATTCCAAAACACAAAGATGGGCAGACAGATGCACATCAACACACGTGAGAAGCAAATCAACACTGTGAAGACCAATGTCAAATTCAACAAACAGAAGAGCAAATACCCAAACAAATTGAGTTATCGGAGCATATGAAATGAGATTTTGCGATAAGTATAACTTGGGTTTTTACAGAGAGAACAGAATGGCTCACACCCGTCACAATTCACCCAACTCAAGAGTAAATCAGCTTCCCAGGAGGAAAAGGTAAAGGAAGATAAAAGCAGGCAGAGTTTCCCACATCTTTCATGGGGTTGAATGTGCAGATAAAGCAAAAATGTGTCTGATGAGGCAACATTCTAAAGAGGAACAATGAGGGATCCCTGGGTGGCGCAGCGGTTTGGCACCTGCCTTTGGCCCAGGGCGGATCCTGGAGACCCGGGATCGAATCCCACATCAGGCTCCCGGTGCATGGAGCCTGCTTCTCCCTCTGCCTGTGTCTCTGCCTCTCTCTCTCTGTGACTATCATAAAATAAAAAAAAAAATTAAAAAAAAAAATATTTAAAAAAAAAAAATAAAAAAAAAAAATAAAGAGGAACAATGAGAAAATCATAGACTACCAAAATTCACCCTGAATTCTCAGTAACCACCTCCTCCGTGGACATATTTATGCACACAGAAGGTCAGCCTGTGTCCCAGGACCACATCATGCAAAAACCACATCAGGCACGAGGGGCATGCCTGGCCGAGGAAGCTACTGCCACCGTGAGCTGCACTGCTGCACCCAGTATGTGAGCACCCGCGCTACCACACCATCCTGTGCCTGTACGTGTCCCCTGCTCTCTACACCAAATGGAGAGAGTTGGATTCAACTGAACAGATTTACCCTGATTATCAAGAAGAAAACTGAAAATTAAGGGATGGAAATGGTTTTCAGGGATATGTTAAACAGATACAGCAAAAATCACATCAGGAAAAGCATAAGCCACAGCAAAATGTGTTAAAGGAACAAAGACAACAATTGTCAATTTTACCACTCCAGAAAAGTGAAATTCACCAAAAGGGCTATTAGGCATCTATCAGCAGAGCTAGGACCACAGACACAGGGGGAAACCGAGCCATGCGTGGTCAGACGGGATATGAGCGCACATCTTAGTGAGGCTGACATGACACACAAAGGGAGAGGACACAGACACCAGACACCATGGCTGCTGCTCCCAGACCTGTGCACAACTAACTGCACACAACCAAGAGGCGCCCACCCCCCTTTTACAGGCACGGCCCGCCAGCCAGCCCAAGAGCCTCTGGTACCTGACTGGCCTCTGCGGATAGGGCCTCCACCTGGCCTTCAAGCCTCATCTTGTCTTTAAGGGCCTGTAGCATGGCATCGTGGGTCTCAGCAGCAGAGCTCTCCAGGGATATGCTGGGGATGAGGGACAGAGCATGAGGCACCTGACGTCTCAGGATGCATACCACCCCCCTCCTCGCCTGTCCAGTGTCTCCAGGTCCCTCCCAGCACTGCTCCTCTACCGCACACGGTTTTAAATGAATAAAAGATTTAAGTGGAGCCCTAATGCTCTGACAAATCCTTCCAATAAACACCCCCGTGCCACTGGAACGCCAGTCCCAGGAAGCACTGGTGAGATTTTAGAGGCAGGTCTACACAAACACTGGAAAACAGCATATCCCGACAATGGAAATGGGTACTGATCACCCATTTCTTATGAAGCAGCACTTGTGTGTCAGTGAACAGTTAAAGACCAAGCCCATCATCAGGAGGGAAAGGGGGCAGCTAGCAGACAGCACCCACCTGCTGCACATGCTGTCTGTCCGGCTCCGCGCCTCCCCGTTGACCTCCTGCCCCTGGTCTTGGTGCTCAGCGGCGGCAGCCTGGAGGACATCCGTGATGGAGGGGAACTGGCCCAGGGCACCAGCGGCAATCTCTTGGCCATTGACCACATAGGAGGCTTCTTGAGTGCCCACGGTGTTCATCAGAAGCCCGCACGTCCCGCGGGCAGAGACACTGCTGTGGGAGGAGCTGTCACTCTCATTCCCATCGGCCTCAGACATGTTGTCGCCCATCAGGGACACATTTTCCAGGTGGTCATCGGCCTCAGGACCCAGGCTCAGCTCAGATACCACTGACACCACGCTGCTTCGGTTCTGCTTCAGGGAGACCCTGGCAGAGTCCACAGCTGCAGCGTCTCCACCAGAACCCCCAGCACTGACGTCTTCAGTTTTATAATCAGCCAGAGACCGAATTTTGCTTGATTTGGAACTTTTTTTCCCCTTAGGGTGTGTCAGGAGCCCTAGGCTGCCCACCTTCGGGCCTCGAGGGACACTGGTGCGCAGGAAGGAATATTCCTTCGTCAGAGCCACAGCACTGGCCCGGGGCAGGGCTTCTGGGTTCAGCATGAGTTCGGGGTCAAGTGTGCTGGACAATCTCATTCTAGCTGCAGGCTGACTGGACTGAGAAAGCACAGAAATGACGCTGAAAGTGACAGATAGCATTCAAACACTGCCACCCAGAATGGCAGAGAAGCTGCCCCATGCCACCGGTCCAAGCTCACGTCTTTCACCACTGTGCCTCGGCAGCGTCCTAATGCTTCTACTAGAGCACGTTCCTCCTCATGACCCTACTCTTCCAAGGTTTTCCCAGCAATCCTCCTATATTCACTCTTCTCATCACACTTGAAAACATTCAAGTAGTTTTATTTCTTTAAGTTGGCTTCACACCCAGCATGGAGCCTGACATGGGGCTCTTCAATTTCATGATCCTAAGATCACAATCTGAGCGGAAACCAGGAGTCAGACGCTTAGAGGAGCCCCCTCGTTGCCTTTTCAAAATGACTTTTGGAGAAACAGCCAATCCTATGCTTTTTCCATAAAGCCAGTGCAATCATAACAAGTAAGGGGACAAAGTGGGGAAAGGGAAAGCTCTCAAAATGATACTTGAGATCAAGGGAAGAATACTTGAGATCAAGGGAAGAATAGATACGTAAAAATAGCTGGAAAAGGGTCAGGGTGCAGGGCAATGGACAGACTGGCTGGTGCAGATACCAGCATAGACCATAAAGCCACAGTACTTAGACCCATTGAAAAGTGAAAAGTGAAAAGGATCCCTGGGTGGCGCAACGGTTTAGCGCCTGCCTTTGGCCCAGGGCACGATCCTGGAGACCCGGGATCGAATCCCACGTCAGGCTCCCGGTGCATGGAGCCTGCCTATGTCTCTGCCTCTCTCTCTCTCTCTCTCTCTCTCTCTGTGACTATCATAAATAAATAAAAATTAAAAAAAAAAAAGTGAAAAGGACAAGACAGGTGGAAGACACAGAATGCGGCCCAGAAATCCGTCAAAGTACAGGTGGGGGGGGACGCCTGGGTGGCTCAGCGGTTGGGCATCAGCCTTCGGCTTGGGGCATGATCCCAGGATCCGGGATCGAGTCCCGAACTGGGTTCCTTGTGAGGAGCCTGTTTCTCTCTCTGCCTACATCTCTGCCTCTCTCTGTGTCTCTCATGAATAAATAAATAAAACCTTAAAAAAATTAATTAAAAAAAAAAAGTACAGGTGGGTTTGCAGACACTAGAGGAGCTATACAACTCAGAGCGCAAGTGCTGATAGAGAAAGCAAAATGAGGCAGCCAACTAGCCATCCACAAAGGGGCTCGCTCCCACTTCTCACTGGCATTCAGCACATTTCAAATGGGGTAGATTTTAAATATTTAAAAAACACATTTTAAAATACTTTTTAGGGTAGCCCTGGTGGCTCAGCTGTTTAGCGCCACCTTTGGCCCAGGGCCTGATCCTAGAGACCTGGGATCGAGTCCCACATCGGGCTCCCTGCATGGAGCCTGCTTCTCCCTCTGCCTGTGTCTCTGCCCCCCCCCCTCTCTCTCTCATGAATAAACAAATAAAATCTTAAAAAAATAAAATAAATAAAATAAAATACTTTTTATACTACCTTATACTATTCATACAAGAAGAAAACATTGGTGAACTTACTTAGATTCCTCAAATGGGAGATCCTTTTGAAATATCAGGTAAACCTCAAAAGAAGTAACAGTAGAGATAGAAAATTTTAACTACAAATATTTAAAACTGATGTGCAGTGAAAAATATGCCAGAAAAGGAGTTAAAATATATAATCAAACTGGGAAAAAATATTTGCAATAAATATTAAAAAGGAGTGATTTCCTATATATAGTAACATCTATGTAGCAAAAAGACAGTCACGAGAAAAATGAGCAGACTGACAAAGACACAGAAACATGCGGCGCCTGGGTGGCTCCATCACTGAACATCCAACTCGTGGTTTTGGCTCAGATCATGATGTCAGGGTTGTGAGATTGAGCCCCACGTCAGGCTCCACACTCAGCCCAGAGTCAGCTTGAGATTCTCTCCCTCTGCCCTTCCCCCACTAAAATAAATAAATAAATCTTTAAAAAAAATACACATAAACCACTAACCCATATAAGGTGTGAAGTGCTAAGAGACATGTTGTTCTCACCTGTCACAGGACAAAAATCCAATTTTGGTTATTTTAATGCTCACAAGAATGACAGCACCAGCAGTCTCATAACTGCTAACTGGGATATCAACCAGTCCAGCTTATCCAGAATGCAACAAATACCAAACTAACAAACACATAAAACCTTTACACCCAGTACTCTGACATTCAAGGACTTGTCCACAAAAGCACATTAAGGCACAAAACATTTATTGCAGCACTGTTTGCAATTTCAAAAATTTGGAAACATCCAGGGGCACCTGGGTGGCTCAGTGGGTTAAGCATCTGCCTTTGGCTCAGGCTGGTGCTAGGATTAAGCCCCACATCAGGCTCCCTGCTCAATGGGGAGTCTGCTTCTCCAATCTCTCTAAGAAATAAATAAAATCTTTAAAAAAAAAAAGTTTAATTTTAATTTTTAATCCCTTTATTTTTTTGAAGATTTTATTTATTTATTCATGAGACACATAGAGAAAGAGGCAGAGACACAGGCAGAGGGAGAAGTAGGCTCCTTGTGAGGAGCCTGATGCAAGACTTGATCCCAGGATAACGGGATCACAACCTGAGCCAAAGGCAGGCGCTCAACCACTGAGCCACCCAGGTGCCCCTTTGAATCTCTTTAATTTGAAATTCTCAAGTCACAGAAAAGTTGAACAAAGTATGAAATGAACATTGAAGCCCATTTGCCTAAAGTCACTTGGTATGATTAAAAAGATTGCTTTTATTAGCACGTCAACAAAAGTTTCAAACCTAAATAAAACTGATTCTAGCAGATTGGATGGATGTACTCATTAAATCCACATAACATGGTACATATTCTAACATTGTAGACCACCAGTCAGCACACACTACACCACTCATAAAATAAACAGCCGAAACCTAGAACTGACTGCTCACCTAGGTAGGGAGAAAAATTATACCCAAGAATTATACCCAAATACTTGCAATCTCTGCGTTTCAAATGGTAGATCCAGGAATCAAATGTAATAGACACAAGGGAAGGCAGCCCCTATGGGGCAGGAGCCACAATCCTGCTTCAGAAGAGCAGGAACTGCAGAGAAATGATCTTCCCAGAGAAGCAAAGAGAGAGAAACCAAAAATTACTGCTTTCCACACACGAAGTTCCCCATTAACTTGTGCAAGACAGGGAGACTCACTCTTTCCTGCTGGCGCTTCACTCTGTACTGTTTGAGCTGTTCTTCCAGCCGTTTCCGAGCCTGAAGTCGGACCAGCTCCTCCTTCTCCAGGGGCAGGGAAGCCTCTATTGAACCTGTGGTGAGGAAATGACCATTTAAAAACTTATAAAGTGCCAGGGCACAGAGGACAAATCAGAACAGCATTGGCTGTTTTGTATTCAGTTGCCAATTAAATTTGAGCTTCAAACAATGTCTCGCCTTTTCCTTTGAAAGAGCTATTTCCTGATAGAGACAACTGTGAGCCTACCAGCCTGCCAGGAGAAGATCCACTGGCAAAGTACAGGGTCTGTGCTCATGCTACCAGCGTGCCCTCCCTACAGGCATTCAGCTGGTAAACCGGACACGAGTCACCTGTGACTTGTAGCAACCAAAGCACCTGTGAATCTACAGTCAGTGCCACCGCCGCGCGTTCAGAGGCTCCAGGACCCTCAGCTTCCACTTAGCTCCCTGTGTGCGCAGGACGTTGCATAGGAGCATGTGGAAAGTAGTGTCCATGAAACTGTGCCCAGGGACCACAATCATGTGGTCAGGAGACACCAAATCTGCTCTCTTCACACAGTTACATCTGTGGATACAATCTGACCCATAGTCCATCTAAATTTCAAAGCAAAATCAAAGGTAAGCAAACAAGCAGTACTCAGACGTTACTAAGGAAAAAACTGTTCACAGTGACCCATTTAGGACTCACCTCAAAGTGAAGGCCGAGCAGGAGCTGGTTACCTGAGTTTCCTGACAGAGGCGACTCCAGTCCAGGGACCATGCTCATGGACAGGAGGGGAAATGACAACTTTTTGGCCAAAGCAGAATTTCAAATATCTTACAACCCCAATCTTCTATTTTTGAGTAATAAAAAAGCTGAACAGTGAGCAAAAGGTACGACAGCCACGGGATTCTCAAACACACAGCAGCTGTGCACCTGAGTTTGGCCGAGGGCACAGGCAGGGTCAGCTCTCTGCTGATGAGAGCAGGGAAATGTCATAGTGTAACCACTTTACAGACAGCACCATCTTTCAGTGTGGATTCTGAGAAGATAAGCAGCTGTTGTTTTAAATAATCCCTGAAACCTGAGGGGCGCCTGGGTGGCTCCATTAAGCATCCAACTCTTGGTTTTGGCTCAGGTCACAACCTCAGGGTCGTGAGGTTAAGCCAGAAGAGAGCCTGCTAAGATTCTCATGCTCCCTCTTTTCCTCCCCCCACTTGCAAGCACACACTCCTTCCAAAATAAATAAAAATCTTAAAAAAATAATAATCCTGGGATCCCTGGGTGGCGCAGCGGTTTGGTGCCTGCCTTTGGCCCAGGGCGCGATCCTGGAGACCCGGGATCGAATCCCACATCGGGCTCCCGGTGCATGGAGCCTGCTTCTCCCTTTGCCTGTGTCTCTGCCTCTCTCTCTCTCTCTCTCTCTGTGACTATCATAAATAAAAAAAAAAATAAAAATAAAAAAAAAATAATAATAATCCTTAACACCTGAGCAACTGCCAAGAACTTCACTAGGAAGTCACCAAGTCATTACCAATGTGTGTAGTGATCACTGAAAAGGCCTGGTTCTTTTTACAAAACTAAGGGGTCCACATGGCAAACACCTAGGGGTACATGTCCCAAGTCAGCAGGCTCAGGGCTGGGTGAATGGGGGGTCAGCAGGGGTTAGGACTCACAGATCCCTATAGTCAAAAATCCAGACTTTTACATGACAGCTCTGGACTTCAATGTTGATAGCTAAGGTTTTTTTTTTTTTGTTTTTTGTTTTTTGTTTTTTGTTTTAAAGTAAGCTCTACACCCAATGTGAGGCTCTAACTCACAACCCCGAGATCAAGAGTCACATGCTCCACCAATGAGCCAGCCAGGCACCCCTAAATTTACAGAAATTTTAAAACACAATGCAGCCCTAGTAAAATAATGCCTGTAAAGAAAGGGGCAAGCAATCCAAAAGAAAAATGGGCCAAACAAACCAACAGACAATTCACAGAAAAGAATGCCTAAATGGCCAACAGGTAGAAGATGCCCAAATTATCAGAGAAGTGCAAGCTCCAAACTAAAGTACCAAAAGCAGCATCATGGCACAGCCAGTAGGCTGGTGAAACTGGAAACAGCACCTGTGGGCCAGAGGGAGCCTGTGCCTCCTCAGGGTCGTTAGTGGCATGGAGAGAGGGCTACACATGTCATTGCTTCTGAGAAATAGCCCACAGAAATTCCAGCACCCACACTGTGGACACCTGTGCCAAGGCACTCTCCGCAGCATTAGTCATACAGGGACGAAGAGATGCAGGAAGCCCTCACCCGCCCCCCTTCCCGGCCACGATAGGGGCTCCTGACCAGCCTGGAAAGAATGAATCTGGAGCTTTATCAGACAGCATGGGGCAATCTCCACATGACAACACTAAATAGCAAATATAGAATGTGATAATATAATCCTTTTTTTAAAATACAATGACCGAAGCCTGGCCATCTGCAGAGGCCTGGAAAGGATCATGTGAGAATGTGGCTTACTTGGAGGGGAGGGGAATGAGAGTCATGTGTGGTACGATCCCATTACATAAGATCACATAGGTCTGTGTATGACAAATGTGCTAGAGACAGGCCTATAAGTTTCCAGGGCTCAAGGCTGCCAGTTTGTGACCCATTCACCTCTGGGTCCCCACACTGATTAAAACAACTCAGAAAAGAAAGTCGTTAAGGTTTAACTCCCCACCGACTGCTTGCTCACCGTCCAGGATAAAAAAAAAGACATGTCGCACAGTCCTTTAAACCCAGACCTAGGGATGCCCGGGGGGGCTCAGTCAGTGACAGGTCTGCCTTTGGCTTAGATCATGATCCTGGGATCGAGGCTCACGTCAGGCTCCCTGCAAAGCAGGCTCCCTCTCCCTCTGTGTGCTCTCACCTCACTCCAAATAAATAAAAATAAAATATTTAAAAATAATAATAAATAAATAAGCCCAGATCTTGAGTACCGTCCCAGGATCAACCATGAAGAAGTGTTATGTTCTCTCTAAAAGGGAGCCACTTACTAAATGCACAACCCACCACAGTGATAAAACAGTGATGACAGAGGGACGGGCAGCAAGCCGGTCAGGGCACATGCCTCTGATGGTGGTGAGCAACAAGGAACATGGGAGGAGGGGCGAGGGAGAGTGGGGAAGAGCCCAGTGGGAACAGATGCTTACACAGTTGCGTTTCTTGCATAGGAAGACTGAGTCTGAGAGACTGCAAAGCTTCTTTTCTAACACTGCCCTCAGCACTAGTCCCCTGAGACTTCCTTAGGTTGTCATGGAAACCAGCCACACCTGGAGAGGCATCAGGACCCACTGGGCTTGTGGGGGTCCCAAGAGATGACGAAGGATCTGGGCTTGGCAGCATCGGCCCATTCTGACAGGTGTCGACCTTGCTGGGAACATCCAGGTCTCCATCTCTGTCTGAAGCTCTGTGCACCTCGATACCAGCACCTGAAAAGACAGCATGCTAGGGGCATCATGGTTTTAACAACTACATCAAGTTCTTCAGACACGCAGCTAAAACAGGACAGAAGGGACTTGGGGTACGTGAGCATGCGCTATCTCCATGTCCTATGAGATCCTTCACTCTGGGAGAAGAGCAGGCCTCACTCTCAAGTCAGTGGGAATCACACAAGTGGCTTGGCTGCTTATCTGTGGAATCACGGTCGTGGGATTTAAGTAGAAATGTTTTCTTCTCATTTAAAGGAGAGCAATGCGAAATCCTATGAAAGTCTGTTTTCAAAAAATAGCAAAAGAAATAATTGCTACAGGGGATCCCTGGGTGGCGCAGCGGTTTGGCGCCTGCCTTTGGCCCAGGGCGCGATCCTGGAGACCCGGGATCGAGTCCCACGTCAGGCTCCCGGTGCATGGAGCCTGCTTCTCCCTCTGCCTGTGTCTCTGCCTCTTTGCCTCTCTCTCTCTGTGACTATCATAAATAAAAAAATAAAAAAAAAGAAAAGAAATAATTGCTACAAACACAGCTAACAACGTTCCTAACAGGAGCTGGAAACTGCTAACCAGAGCCATAGCCTCACACTGACATGGGGCAGTTCCAAAGTTGTTTCAAAGCAAAAGTTTATCCTCCAAAATGAGAAATCTAAGGCAAAAAGGTACAATAGCTGATCCAAACAATTACACCAAAGCTGAGCACAGAGTCTGTGCTTCTGTCTGATGAACACTTGCTAGATAAAAACCCAAGTTTAACCAGTGATGACTATATACCCACATATACAGCTCAGTTTCACCCACTAACATCATTATACACAGATTTGTCATACGCTAACAAAACCTCCTTCAAAAACAAACAAAAAACAAAACCTATTACCTTGTCAAAAGAAAAAAAAGACTTCTTATAATTAAATGATTTTTACCTTCCCTGCCCCCTCACCCCAGTGGGGGAGCCAGTTGGCAGTCAAGAACCAAGATGGTGCCAGAGGGAGGAAGGGAAGGCCCAGGAATCTCTGGGTGTGGTTCCAGAAGTTCCCAAGTACGGAAAGGCCTTAGCCTCCCACAGGGATCCCATCACTGGGATCCCTTGACGTACCCAAGAGGCATCCAGGAAATTGCCCTTTGCCAAGCAAATTTAAATGGGTTTCTGACACTCAAAATGTGAGTTCCAACCAATACAGCAACTCACTGTCACGCTTCCCTGGGAGGAAAAAGAGAATACAAACGGGGCACCACAGACTCAAAGCTGGACTCAGCCCTGACCCAACCATCTGCTCCTCTGCACACATCCCTTCGGCTCCATGTTGGGTGAGGAGGAAAGGGAGTCTGCATTTCAGATACAAGGTAATTGGGTCAACACCACTTTCTGATGGACTTAGAGATCTGAGAGAGTTTCTACATCTTCCCATTAACATAACAAAATAATTTTTTGAACATTATTTTGCCCATTTAAAAAATGTGAAAGAGGGATCCCTGGGTGGCTCAGCGGTTTAGGGCCTGCCTTTGGCCCAGGGCGCGATCCTGGAGTCCCGGGATCGATCCCACGTCAGACTCCAGGCATGGAGCCTGCTTCTCCCTCTACCTGTGTCTCTGCCTCTCTCTCTCTCTCTCTCTATCATAAATAAATTTGAAAAAAAAAAAAAAAAAAAAAAGACTATTGTTCCTGGGAGGCCTGGGTGGCTCAGCGGTTGAGCGTCTGCCTTTGGCCCAGGGCGTGATCCTAGAGACCTGGGATCGAGTCCCACATTGGGCTCCCTGCATGGAGCCTGCTTCTCCCTCTCCCTATGTCTCTGCCTCTCTCTCTCCGTGTCTCTCATGAATAAATAAATAAAATCTTTAAAAAAAAAAAAAAAGACTATTGTTCCCAAACACAAGCCAAATTGTGGATAAACAAGTAACAAAGATGACAATGATAAAATATGGCTCCTACCACTTCCCAGAGCATCTGAGTACTTGTGTTTTATGCACCATTTCTTTCAGTCTCACAACTACCCTAAGGCGTGTGCATCATTAATCTTCCATTTACTCTGCTTCATCGTCTTAGTGACATTTAAGAGCTGAATCCTGCTGCTGAATCCTTGGTTTTGGGCACCTGCTTTTACCAACCTGCCTGGCACTGAAGGAGCAGTAATCAACCAAACCATTTTAGGTGCCTGAATATCACTTGCAAGAATATAATGCAATTTCTGCTACAAACCAGTACATATATACTCTATGACTTTCAAGCACACTACGACTTTCTGACCAACCCAAATAGCAAGGGGTAGAAGAACCGAGTGAATTCACCCAATAGTTCTAATGCATGAATAAGCCATCAGCTAACATGGAAATGTGGTCCAATAATCCCTAGATCACTAGTGGATCGTTTCTGGATAGTTAGTGAAGTTAGTGAAACTTGGGCAACCAACCAACAAAAGAGGTAGGATGTTAGGCAGAGAAGAACGCTGTCAGTGAAGACTCACAGAAGCCTTAAAGGAGAGAAACACTGATGCTGCATCCTCCTGGAGCAGCACATGGGACAGCTCCTATCCTGTTTAACATGCACGGTACTTGATTTAAAGTTGATGTTAAGTAAGAAAAAACACTCATCTGATTAGTAAAAACACACTCTAAACATAAAGTTCACTATGGTCTTAAACACCACAGTCTTGTTCCAAAGTGCAAGATGATCCACATCCTCCTATTTAAAGACAAAATATCAGCAGTGCAGAGTAACCAGTGACTTACACTGAGCTTTGTCCCATTGGTTAGGTGGCACCAGTGAGCCTGGGGGCTTGGGGAGGGCCTCCGGGTGAGCTGGGGTGCCACTGCTGGATCCAGCTGGCACTCTGTCCATGGTCAGAACGGCACAGGCTGAGCTGAGACTTGAGGGTCACAAGTAAGATGCTGGCAGGTTTGGTTTCGGCCATCAGCAGCAACCAAGAGCTTCTGGGAAGGGCCGTACTAGGCTTTCCATTTGGCGGAAATCTAGTCTCATAAGTGGCTTGAAATCAAACCAAGTAATATCATGGTACCTGATGGGGGGGGGGAACAAAGTATTATGAAGTTTCATTTGTCAGATCTGAGTAATTCCAAGACTAACATCTGGCTCCCAAATTCACTGCTACATAATAAACATATATGTAATAATTCAACAGATAACCCTTGAGTACCTACAATATCCCAGTTTTTTTGTTTTTTTGTTTTTTTAATATCCCAGGTTTTGAGGATAAAATGCTGAACTAGCCACACCAGAACCCATTCCCAAAGGTGCTTTAATGTCTGTACTGATGCTGGCTCAGGGCCACCCCGCAAGGCCAGAGCACAGGGAGCCTCCTAGCAGAGGCAGGGTACAGGAAGCTGTGGAACTGAGTTTCTTGTTAAGATTTAAGCAATTTGAGTGAAATAACCACATGTGGCCAGTGACTTCTATACTGGACACTCCGGCCTAAGCACTCACAGGGCCACAAGAGCCAGCTCCCCTCCCAGGAGGCCTGACCTGATGGTGGAAGATGCAAGTACATGGAACATGGAAACTCTACACCATATAGGAAGAAGCATTGGGCGGCGGAGGTGGGGGGGGGGTTGTTACACATGGAAATGTAGCCACCTGGGAATCAGGGTCCAGAGAAGGCATCTCACAGCAGGTGACCAGTCTCGTCTTTCTGCTTTCAGCCCATCCTGCTAGGCTAAGTAGTTGTTGTTGTTGTTTTAAGATTTTTTTTTTTCAAAGATTTTATTTATTCATGAGAGACACACACACACACAGAGAGGCAGAGACACAGGCAGAGGGAGAAGCAGGTTCCCCACAGGGAGCCTGATGCGGGACTCATCCCCAGACCTGGGATCACTCCTTGAGCCAAAGGCAGACAGACACTCAACCTAGGCGCCCCATTGCTAGGCTAGGGAGCAGAACTTTGCCCAAAATCTGGCAACTGGTTGCCATTTTGGAAGTGCAACAAGCATGTTCATAATCTGTTCCTCATCACCAGGTAAAGTGTGAACCACCATTCCTTCTGTAGAGATGTCAGTATCTACATCCCTTAAAGTAAGTTTCACGTTATCCTATATACTGTTCTGTGTTTCATGAGTCAGGACAAAAATTTACATAACTTCTTTCTCCAGCTTACAAATCCTATATAGACATCGCAGGTAAGAGCCTGAGCAGTGGCCCACAAGAGAAGAGGCTGATGATGCTGCTGACTCCACAACAGGAGGATGCGGGTGTGCCTCTTTATCTACAAGTCTCCCTTGCCATACCCCATGAACAGGCACCCACTGGTGACTGACATAACCTGGTCTACCCATGCGTCGAGTGACTAGTGATGGCAGTGTGCCCTGTGTAAACCCAGGAGTGTCTAGCTTGCAGCTCTAATAATCCACACGTTCCACTCTGCTGTCTAGCACCTTACAGGCCAAAGTTGCAATGGTTCAGTAGTGGTGCTGATAAAACCATGAAAAGGTTGCATGTACCATCAGAGGTAAAACCAGCCCTATGGGTTATACTAGAAAGAACCTTGGATAGCATGTGTGACAATAGGGGTAATCACAATCCCACCAGCTAACTGAAAAGCACTGGGTGCCAGCGTGGCTTATGCTGTCTCACTTATGTAAATATTTGAAGACTGAAACAATACCTAGATCACAGAAATGAAGGGAGTTACCGAGGCTGGCTAGAACATGATCCTGTCTGCAATGAGGTTGGGGAGGGGTAGGGGGAGACCAACAGGCTCTT